CTCTCTCTCTCTCTCTCTCTCTCTCTCTCTCCAACCCTTTACCCTGAAGTTAATCGTTGCCGCTGTCGCCATCAGTGGCGCTGCTATCGACTCACCGAGAAATTCTCGCTCTTTGGACTACGGTCACGTTTTTCGGGCGCAAATTGCCCACGAAATACGGGGTCGGGACCACTAAAAACTCGGCAGACCCACCAACCACGGACTTTTCCCTAGATGCGATTTAGATAGGGTATGTCGGCTGACATGGACCGCGAGATACCGCCACCTCTGGCTTCTGCCTCTCTTCCCTTTTTCTTTAGTCACTCTCCCCGAGAAATCATGATATAGATATAGAGCATTCACTGAAAAGAAAAAAAGGAAAAGTTAGAAACGCCGTAACAGAACGGAAATGACAAAATGGTATCTCACCATTCAGAGTTCCTTGCTTCGTTCCTTGCCTCCCCTTCTACTGCCTTCCTTTCTTCGACCGCAGCATCCCGGATCCACTTGTGAATTTTACGCCAGGTTCACTCTACACTTTGTTTTCTTTTGCAGTCGAAGAACTGGAGTGTCTCGCGACCTGGAAAGAGGGCAGCAGCAGGTACCTGGTCGGACGTCTTCATCATCGGCATGCCTCCAGCAACGAGGATCGGTATCGTTGTTTTGTTTACGAACGTGCCGGGCAGAGCATCGGTGCCTTGAACAGAGCAGCCCTGGGTATTGGCGGACCAATGGAGCAGGACGTACCACCTCCTGGTGGACCGATCCCCGAGGGAGCTCAAGAGACCTATCGAGTAGCACAGAGCGGCGATGCAACCTGCAACGGACTCTTCAGTCCAATGGAAGGCTCCAGGACTATGACACTACGGAAAGGTAATTAGTAATTACTGTTATTATTTACACTCTTGGTAAAGTTAGTCTAAAGCTCTTTTTATCATCCAATTTACAGATCAAGGAGTGAGTGTCGTAAAACTGATGAAGCATTAGAAATTTCTCCTCTACAGAACTCAAGATCCTTAAACTTCCTAAGTCTATTTCTATTAAGCAAATTAATATTACCCTGAAGATCCTTTTGACGTAGTCCAGCAAGCGTATGCATCGTTGCAAACTTTTTACCTGCGTATCGTCTCCCTCGACATATTCGGGAATTACCAGGGTACTTATTCTGGGGAATTTCGTTGCTACTCGAAAATCCTGTTACCGGAAAGCTACAAAAATTCACTTACATTACATATCCTCTTACACAATATGTAGACACTAGTTAACGGCTTTGAAGTTTCATAACATATGCTGTAACTTTATTCAGAATACGGGTACAGTCCGGGCAGAAACAAAATACGTTTTTAGAGGATCATCCATTTATGGCTTTTTAATGCCAAGGAGTCACATGGAGTTTGCAGTGTTCTTTGTGAATTCACCGTAGGACACTTGCAGACACGCAAATACGTAACCAGAGACAGACGCAGAGAAACTCTAGCAATCAAACAATGGCGACGTTCAACAACGCGGAATAACAAGGAATGGAATTTATATTGAAGAAAGGAAGCATAGCGCGCACTTTAAATTGATGCGCAGCCATTTTTCGTATAACATAACCACTCTGCGTATATAGCTGTCTACATTCATTGTCTTCTAGTGATGGGGCTACGGGTGGGCGGGAGGGTGGCAGTGAAAATCATTGAAGCGAGGTACAAAAGCGTCCTTCGAGATTGAGTCGAGTAAAGAAACGAACCGGATACAGAATAGAACGAAATATTAGGCCTGTTTTTATTTTCGACCACCACGTCGGTGCTCATATTTTGGAAATAAAAATATCATGGAAATAAAAATTCCTGAGATTGATATCAACGTCAATATGGCTTCGGGGGTAAGTCCATCAAGGACGCTTTGCGTCTCTCGTAACGGTTCCCCATTCTTCGTACGAACAATGCGACACTTTTACGTGGCATAAAGTAGCGATGCTTTATCATAGTACGCGAAGTAGGAAACGAGCGTAGCGACGCCTGAAGTTCCGCTTTGGTATGGAAGCTCCATGCCGGAAGTAAAAGTAGCAAGTAGTAACTATCAGCTAGGGTGGTAGTACGGAGTAGTAAAAATGCTGCCGGCTAACAGCAACTCCATTAAATCAGACTCGCGGGATGCGCATATATTTTCTAGCCGAGTCGTCGAGATGACGTGAAAGATAAAGACTATAAGAGACGGTATAGGGATCGGTTGTCAAATGAAAAATCGACTTTCAAACGGTGAATTATGTTTCAGCCGCGTCCCCTGGAAAATGTCGATTTCCAAGCTGGCTAAGTGGCCACGGTAGCGGGGGCCTCACCTGGCATACTCTTGACCTCGCGAGGTCATACACATTCCATGCAAAGAACGCCTCGCTCCACGTGACCAGGTCAAACGGCAGCCTCTCCAGGAACGAGAACTCGGCAATCGATTTTCAGGATGTTCCCGGCCAGGACGAGCAGGACGTGAAAATTCTCTGCAACGGCATCAAACAGACGAACTCGGGTCAGACTGTTATTATGCTTGTGGCCCACTTCACTGTCGGATGGTAACTAAATTTTTGTTTCGACTTCTTACCGCTGGCGCCACTGTCCGTCCGTTAGAAATACTTGCGACGTGTTGCGTCACTACTGATTCAATGTTTTCTCTGATTCCAGTCGGAGCGGCTTCACGTGCATGACCTTTTACAGAAGAGACGGTCACGTGATTGAGGTACAAACCGGAAAGTCTGTTTCCAGACCGGAAGAGGCTTGCAACCCACCTCATTATCTACCCCACAGCATCCCTTATCTCACCTTAGTCAGTGAGTTAAATACTGATATAAATATATTTATTATAAGCTACACCTTCGTCATCCACTTTGTTCTAAGCTTCTGTGAGGTCGACCAAAATTTCTTGCAGATCCATCATCGATCCGGATTGGTCCAATAGGAATGTACCTTTCGTATGGAACTATTTGTTATGCACATTCGTGGAGATGCAGCCAACTGAGCGGGCGTTCCGCACGTGTTATATCGGCAGACGTGATTCGAAGTTCAACCAGTGAAATGAGGTTCCAGCCTGATGGAATTGGCTATGCTTTTTTTCTTCTCTTCTTTTCCTTGTTCGTCACCTCACGCCAACCAATTCGTTCTCTTTCTCTATTCGCATCCTGTAGACTCTTCTTGTTCTCTCAGCATCCTCCCGATCATCCAATGATCGGTCTTACAGACGTTTCTCGTAATCCCATAGGATTTACTGAATTCCGTCAGACCAATTACAGATTTCATTATTTACGTACTGCTTGCGCTAAAAGTTAGATCATTTTTTTAACAAGAATTTTATGCAATAAGTAATTTTCACTTGACGTACCTATTAACTTTTTGTATATCTCTATATACAGTGCCGTTGGTAATACCCAATCAAGTTTTCATGTCCACGTTGGTTGTATCTGCAGTGCGGACTGGCTAAACGCCACTCCAATCTATTACTGGGAATTTCTTCATAATCCAAACAGACAATATCTCACTGGAGTTTCACGTCCTTGACATTTGAATTTTCGGTTTTGCCAATTTTCATAATGCACCCAGAAAGAAATGCGGCAGCGTAAATTGTGCGAAATGGAACGAGATGGAAATGCGTCTAGACGTCACGGATTGAGTGCCTTGAAATTATGCTTCCTCAAAATCCCTCGTTTTTCCACTGTCAGTTTAACGGACGTACGTGAATTCCGTGGTAGCAGCAGATAGCCCGAAATTACGATGTCGGCGTCGCAACAGATAAGTACACCCTGGACACTCGGAATAACGAGTTCAAATCCCAGAGCAATTAAGTCACCAGGCTGCGCGGACGTTTCGCAAATGTCTCTTGTCCGGCCGAAAGCCGATTGGCCAGATCCATGACTCTGAGTCCCGGATCGTGAAATCTCGATTCTAGATTTTAGATTGCAAAAGGGCAGAGACGTAGGAACGCGAAGGGAGCGCCGTGACTATAGCACGAACAAGCTCTAGCGTGAACGAGGATGGGACTAGAGTGGAATTGAAAACGCGGCTCAAGCTTCGATTCCGTCCTCGTAAAGGCTGTCCTTCCGGTTGGCTGCACTCGTTTCGAGTATTCCTAATGTTCCCCGAGTTTCCAGGATTCCGAAACGCCCAGGGCTAAGAATTCTCTTTTACCACACCATAGACTGAAATGAATGCAGTACTTTTATACCTATATATATATATATACACACACCTTAGGAGTATTTTTTATATATACCATTAGCAACACGTTATACGCCCAGTTGGTTAAATGCTGCATCGTCCTGGGTCACGTCTTGTATTTGGACTCTTTACCTGATAATAAATTCATAAAAGTACGCTAATCACAGCACTAGTGCGCAGACGTTTACTGCGTCAATACAGGTTGTTACGCTAATGCACTTAAGTAATGGCGTGTGACCTGTCAGGTGTATCGCTCACGTGAACATCAATGCTTGAAATTATCACCTACGTTCTATCTTGTTAATGAACGTTTGCTTTACCCAAAGGCGTGCACTCTCTGTTATGTCGATACTTAAGAATCTAAATTACTTCGGTAGCTGGCATATACATATATTTTACGTACTCCGGGCACTTTCGGCGACAAAATAGACATTTAAAAAAGCTTTACCTCGGTACTTCGGTGAAGTTGCAAAATGTATCAAGTACAACCTAAGAACGTCATCCATACCGTGTGCTCATTATACAAGAAAATACTTCCACCCTGTATCGAAGCTCTCGAAGGTACTCATTATCAGCATCGGATACTCAAGTTTTGACACTCGTCGATAGTTCGAATAGTTTAAACTTGCCAGACTGTCAGAGGTATAACTTTCGGATGAATGGGGTTTAAAAAAATTGTTTTCTTGCAAACACCCGCCTATCAGGAGCTTTGTTGAAAATTTCTATAACCCAGAAGCCTATTGCGAGCGTATATCACGAACGAATAAAAAGTTGTTTCGTATCTTTGCGTTTACAGGGTGACTGTAATTTGTCAAATTTACCGAACGCCGCGAACGCGGTACATCGAGCGGTAAATTCAAACGGATCGAACCGATTTAGCGACAACCAGTAGGGCACAGCGAGAAAAGTAAAAAGAAGTTATGAAAAAATTAAAAAATATTTTTTATACACATTAACGATAACATGGATATTACTTGAGGTAATTTTTTTTTTTTTTTAACCATGATGGAAAACCAAAATATTTTTGATACATTAACGAGAACATGAATTTTATATTAAAGGGGAAGAAGAAGAATATTTTAATTTTCAAATACCAGTCAAATTCTCATTTACAATATTTCTCATCGTTTTGTCATTGAATGCCGTATTTATGCGCTGTACAAATTATAAAGATATAAGCCAACCCCCAAGTGCCACTAATCGAATTGCACTACACGGAACGACCAAAAAGATAAATACTCGCCATGTTGAGGTTATATCGATTCGTGGGTAAATCTGAAATAGCGTAACGCGCCGGAGAGCCTCGGGCCGCCGCGACGATTGCACACAACGACAACGTAGTCACGGCAATCCCTCAACTTGTCACTTAGCCCACCCCCTTGCACCCTTACTATACCTTCTCCGCCATCCCTCCATTGCCATCCACCGGCTCAGAACTTACCCCCTCACGTCCTAACCCACACCTGTCTAACTCCTTCTTCTCCCACTCTTCTCAGTACCGAACCGGTAACCCTTTCATTCGCGAACACCGTCAGATCCTTTCAGCCGTAAACCCATTTCGTCATGGGTTTGACTCTGTTCTATAGGTAAAGTTCACTGTTGAAAAGCGGAGGTGTCGAATAATTATGCGTACTTCGAAGACTTAGACTTCACTTCTGGTCCGTAGCCTCGATCCGCTTGATAGTAGATTTTGAGGTTAAGGTATTCCGTCATTACTTCTCATGTATTCCAGAACTTGTGCACAGGAAGAGGATGATGCTCGAAAGTAGTTGCAAGGAAAGTTTTGTAATAGGCAGTTTCTAATGAAGTGGCGAATACAGTTTTATTTCTGCAAGGTATCCGCGTCGCTGACAATAACGCTGCGCGGGACTATCAATATGGCCGACAGGATATTATCTGGAAATTAAAAGTTGCCCGCGAACGCTAATACGGATATAACGAATACTCGTTGAATGGAATTTCAAGGAAATTTAGTTAAAAATTTAATTTTTCCGATCAGCGTTAAATTTTTTAAAGTTTTTCACTTCGCTCTACATTGGATTTCGAGGCCGTATACAGACGTAAGGTCACGACGCGAAGTTAGCGGCAGGTCAAAGTGAAGCAGAGAACCCGTCCTTGAGAGCGTGAAAGATTGGATCTCGAGAACATACGTGATCCTGATGATCCTACATGGATACACAGAACACTGTCCACCGGTAATATCAACCGCTGGCAACTTAATGAAAGAAAAACAATTGTATTGAAAACACAAAGAGGCAAGATCAGCAGTTACCCTTTTGTCAATTTGCCAGCTGTTCGATAGACAGGAAGTTACACACTTACTCGTCAAATACTCCTAAGCGAGAAATAACAATCTCTCTTACCAGTCTCGTGCCACTCCGCCACTAATCCACTTATTTAATCTTGTGCATAATATACTTTGACGGATAGGCATACACGATGTACGAGTTCGAGGTATTTATATCCTTGTAAAAGCAACCTAACCTAACCTCACACTCAATTTCTCCTGTTAAAGATCTCAGTAAGTATTTCCTGCCAAGTATCCTTAAGCACACTTATTATTATCATCCCTAACCTCCATACCGTTTCCTATTTCAGTCGTGGTTTCTGCGAGTAATATTAGACGCGCCACCTGGACGGGAAAAGAGTGAACTAAGGTTGCGCGGGAAAAGATAAAGAATTTAAAAAACGGAGGTATAACGACACCTGGTACGGTGAACGTCGGTACATAACTGGCTACTACTCAACATCTTCGAAACAGATTGGCAATTCTACAAAAGTCCTTTCCCCGACAGTAGTTGGCTGTCTGTTTAGGAACGAAGTTACGAGGATACTGGAGAACGAGGACGAAGACGATAAAGAGGTTGAAGGAGAATTGTACAGAAGTCTCGTATCTATGACTGTGAAGACTACGGTGGTCCAGGGTGAAGGAAGATGGAAAAAGTCTGAAAACTTTAAGACCTTCAAAGGGATAGAGAGAGAGAGAGAACCCTAGCGAGATTTTTTGCTGACGTTATTCCCTCTCTCTCTCTCTCTCTCTCTTCTCAATTCTCATACGTTCGCTTAAAACGAGCGTTGCACATCTAGCAGTTTTACTTTTTCATCGAGACAGAAATTTATCCTATATTTTTTTTTGCGCACGCTGCATCTTCATCTATTTTCTATGTTGATCTATATCCATGTATCTATATCTGCTTATCTTTGCCTCCCCTTCTCTCCTGTACGCTTCTCCGCTTCACGTTCTCTCACCCTCTCGCATCCTCTCATTCTCTTTGCCTCGCGCCCTCGTATATTGATTATATAAGCAACCGAGTATACTAACGTGGCTAAAAACATTTGGGATGCACACCGCCAAACTCTCGTTCCTCTCTCGAACATTGGGAACTCTATAATTCCATGGTGAATTTGTATAGGGGCCGTACGTGAGTGTTAACGATACGTATCTCCAGGCGATAAACAAAAGATCCAGGCCGTCTCACCTAACAATAAGGGATGAGAGGTAAAAAGGAAGTATATAGAAGGAGAGAGAGAGAAAGCAGAAAAAATAAGGGATCCTAGGAGATGAAAGAGAGACTCCCCTTTACTTGGTTATCTGGATCATCAGAACTTGGAAATGAGTGCCGGTACCGATGATCTGAAAAGTTGGCCATTTTCTCTTTTTATTCTCATGGTTTCAGATACAAAGATCCGTATACGTGCAGCGGCCATGTGCATTTCTTCTGCGATAGAGTATTTAACTGCTTTGGGATTCTTTTGAAAGTCTAGCTGCTCCTTTCCTATTTCCCGAGCTATGATGTCCGACTGAATTGCACGAGAGAGAAAGGACATTGTCGGTAAGGTGAGAAAGAGAGAGAGAGAGAGAGAGAGCGAGTGGGAACAAGTAGGCTCTTCGTGTCCGCATTCGCATCCGCATTCGTATCTACATACATTGGTAACCGCATGCGCGTCCCTGGAGGAGAATTGCAGTCAGCCAGCGATGACTTGACGGAATGCAGGTGCAGAAATGCAATGGATGCAACCGAAAAGCCCAGACCGACTCGACAGACTAGAATCGTTTGATTCGTACGTGTCGCGACTCGCACGACGCTACCTAAAGTACCATTCCCAACCCAACCGTAGGAGAACTATTCGCAGGAAAAGCACGAAGAACTTTTCGAGTGCATTCTGTCGAGGAATTGGCCGGTTCGGTGACTGGCTGGGGGGTCGGGTGCCTTCGTGCCTGCCGACGAAGATTCCGTGTCAATCGAGCAGGGAACTTTTCGATTTGGTAAAAACGTCGAAAAAGTCATGAGCGACGCTATTACCGAAGAAGTCGAGAAGTCGTCGCCCTATGGATTCACCTTGTGGATTCAGTCCTTTAGCTGTCTGAGAAACGCCTTTAACAGGTTTTTCGCAGGTAAAGTTACGATTGCGCTATCGAGGACGTGGGGGTTGAGTCATGGGCGTCGGGAAGCTTCTAGAAATCTGAAAGGACTAATGGATTAGTACCTACGATTGAATTAACGATAAATTTATATCCTCTTGAGCTTGTCCTGACGGATTTCAATAGATTTCCTTTTCTCTTCGACAGTGTCGGCCTCTTCTTGCTTCCTACGTTCTTCTTAGTCTTCCCGTTCAATCTGATCGGACCCTGCGGTTAAGCAACGTTAGTGCCAAGACAAGTGTCAAGTGATAAAGACCCTTTGGAACTGTACCGCTTCCATTAGGTCGTTCGTCCTGTTCTAAAGCTTCTATCGAATCCGATGAATCTATATGAAAACGTGACTTAACTTGTGATAATCATTCCATGACTAGATTTATCAAATTCTATTTTTTTTCTGTTACATATTTTTATTAATTACTAAGTGCATTGGTACCTGTCCACGTGAGGGTCCTGTATATTGCTTGGGTGTATCTATATATCACCGGTAGTCCACAGCGTTAATGCTGGTTCTCATGGTATTCCTCGTTTTCAGTTCTGTTTCTACTCCTGGCACTCGCTCGACTTCTCTCAGTCAAAAGCGTCTCGGGTTGGCTTTCACGGTGCTTTCGAAAATTTTGCATTTTTCTCGTCGTCAGCCTTCGCCCGTGTAATTCGAGCGACTGGGAGGATTCGCAATTGGCACAACGCCAAGGCACCAGCAGCAGGGAATTTCAGCATTGCATCTCACCATTGGTATATCCTTTCATACCTTCATTTTGGTACCTCGTGCTAGTTCTCTGGGTCCATGATTTGTGTCACGAACGCAATTCGTCCTCGCCGTCGACTTCGGTAAGCTGGGAATCCTGAATTAAAAAAAAAATATTTGATCGATGCAAAAGATAATCCGCAAGGACGCTTCCATAAAAAGAATGGTCAAAGTTGATTGGCATACGATCTGATTGGTATATAAGTGAAATAAAAAATTATTTTAATAACATCTCGATACGTCAAAGCTACGGAAGTACCTTGGAGGGATATCGTCGTCGTACGATGGCTTCCTTGTTTCCATGGTTCCCTTAGTTTCAGGACACACGGTGTCACGTGGAGAATAAATGTGAAGAGATTAGGATTCGCAAAGGAGCGTCTTTGAACTTAATACGGGTGACCTGGCTTGGTGGCTTCATCGAGAATTGCCACGCCACTGCTTTCTGCCAAACGAGTGACTGACTTCTCTTCTTCCATATACATTTACTATAGAGAACTGTATATCAGACGCCATCTTGCGTCCTTTCGTTCCTAGCATCTGGCATTCGTCGTATTATTGCTCCATCCCTTTGCAGAAAGTCCTTCTTACGTGCAATTCCGACCAAACGAGTACTTTGAATATTTCATAATGAACTATAAAAAGTATAGGCTAGGCACGAAGATCGTAGTCTAATGAGATCTAGAAAAAATTCAAAATACAGACACAAAGAGAAACTAGATATGTATAAAATATCGGAACGATGAAAAATTACTTGTAAGGATCAGGAATGATTTCTTTGGCTCGGGTACATCAGGCCTGTAACGAATAGAAAAGTCTTGTGATTAGTGGTCTACTAGTTAGAAGGAAAAGAGAGCCACCCATTGTGTTCAGATTCCTTTTACGTGAGGGTCCGGCCTTTAATCGGAAATCGCCTAATGAAGCGGAAAAATCAAGTCGCCTTTGGTGGGACCCTTTGGTGGTCGGTATACGGGTGCAATTAACCATAAAAATAACGAGATTTTTCTGCTCTGGAATCGACCTTGAACGCTAATCGATACGTTAGGTAAGAGAGAGAAGGATATATACGGACCATAAGGATGGAACGTTGTTAAAGGTGGTAGAAACCAGGTCTGGGTACCCCGTCCTACTACCCAGTTGCTAACCCATGAACTAGCTGCCGAACAAGCCAAAGGGTCTTGGCCCAAGGGTGCCTCGTCAGATTTCTCTCATTAGAGTCCGTATTGTGTTCTTAGAGGTGGTTGACGCTCTCATTACCGCAATGGTAACCCTGATGTTTCTGTTGGTAATAACATATACCAGTTACAGTAGCAGTCTCCAGGTTCGATTTTGTCCTTGTACTAATGAGTCGAGAGTTTCAATTACAGAGCGAAAGAGCATCTTCGTATGCATATGCGCTTGTTAGTACGGTCTTCCATTGTTTCTTTGTTAATTTGGTACGACCACGTAGGTAGTGGAGGATCTTCAAAAAAAAAAACATTCTTCGTGTATGGAATTTCGTCTGTAAAAAAAATGAGAATTTTTGTATGACATTTTTTTTATGTAATTTTTTGTTTACAGCTAGTTCACCGGAACCTAGGCAGTGTCCGTATCTGGGTAAATTCACGGTGACCGGTATGAACAGAAACCAACGTAACACCAGGGAGAATCGTCGTATCAAGGAGAAAGTAAGACACGCTCAGGATCGATCGGACGATCGATACAATCGTAAAATTGAATTTGAATTGGAAGCAAGACGAGCTAATAACGAATACCTGATCCGTGATCATCGTGGAAGAAAAGCGCGTTCTAGTAAATCAGCAAGTAGCAGCACCGGGGACAGCAATAATTCAGCGCGTGGAGCGTCGTTTGGAATGGATCACGATCAGAGGAAGTCGACTGTCAGAAGACGTAAGCACGTGGATAACAAGAGGCACGACCCCCTGGAGACGAATTCAAGATCGCGAAGAAGTCCTAAGCTCGAGGACTTCCAGGTGGACATGGATGACTTTAGTCACGTGAGGCAGTTCTGGGCATCCAGGTTAGCGGATGCTGACGCCGGTGGCAGTGCGGTCGACGTGCAGCAGGAAGATGACTACTTCGGGGAGTACGACGTGGACGAGATGGTCCCCAAGAAGAGAGCGGATCATCACGGCCTGTTTTTAGCTACTTACAGGGACCTTCTGCGCATAAGGAAACACGTGGACGACGAGGAAGCTCCTACGAATGACAATTCGAATAACTCTGAGGACGACCAGGAGGACGTTGACGAGTATTTGGAGCGCAGGGAGAAGAGGGAAGAAGAGGACTCCAGATGCGCGTCTGACGTTACTACGCTCACCGTTGGCTGCTCCACTGCTGATCGGATGGAGTTTCAGAGTGACTGCCTCGACGATGACGATGCCATTACCGGTAACCTTCTGCAATTTCTGATTGCGTCCTGATGACTTGACAATGGATACCGAATTTAGGGGATGGGTTTAACGTATTTTCTAAAGAATGATGTCTTTGTTACAGCATACTCCTGTCACGGCAGGTGGTTCGATGCCGAAGGTACGCAATTTGTGATCGCCACGCCTCTAGCCCGGAGAACGTCCTGGTCCAATGAGAACAACAACAACGACAACAACAATAACAGAGCTCAACCCTTTCGAAACAGCCGAAGATTATGTTTCATGTACAGAGAAAGCGGTGGCGTCGTTAGCCTCACTGCCAGTCCGGTCGCCTGTCAGCGTGGGATCCCTCCTCCTCCGCCAATGCTAGCATTCAATGCAACCAGCACAGGTACAGTTACCAGTGTCGCCATCTTAACCATAACCTCCACAGCTCGTGAGCTTCCTGAACCTCTGATCTTAAATCAATAATGTTTTGACGTTCGCAGGTCAATGCTTGGAAGAGAATGGGGCTTTGGTGCACAGAGCCTCCCACTTCATAACCTCATTTCTTCTGGTAATAACAATCGCGGTATTCAGGTGATTCCCAGCGTAAGTCGAGCGCGTCGAGCATCTCAAGTATGACAAAGCTGAAGAATAGGAGAGAATAAGAATAAAAAGGACGAATGGTAAGGAAGAGGTGAAAAATAAATCAAGACGAAAGGATAGAGGATGATAACCTTGTGACGAAGATCAGGATTCTTATCTGCCAGTCTCAGCAGTGTCCTTTCTTCGAATACTTCTTTCCGATCACGTGAGCGACAACAGCGCACTCTACAACTCTCTTTTATCATTAGCCCTCTGGTTTACCGGGGAAAATTGACTCGTGACCTCATCTATCTGCGTATCTACGTACCTTGACATTTGTCTTGCTAACCTCGTTCGTTGACCGACAAGTCCATGACCACAGACTCAAAAGTATTATCCTCCAGCAATATCTCTTGTGTTGTACTAATGTATTAAGATACTCATGGGGATGTTGATCAGGATGGTAAACGGGTAAATTGACTGCGGGATGAGTTCGAGTTGACGAGTCAACTTGACGCGGCGTAGCCCTTAGGTTTTTTACCGATAGGTCCTAGACACTAGATAGTTATCGGTTAAATCTGAGAAAATAAATAATTATGGTTAGTCCATATCATGATAGGAGCATGGATCGACAAGATGGCGCGAATAATGCCGTCTATGATGGATCAAGGTGACGTCAACTATGACGATGACCATATTTTTTATCCCTATAGATATTCGACCTATGGTCATCCTCATGGTTATCGTGTGAAACGAGCATCTCGTTTTCATGTATAATTCGAATAAAGCGAATGGAGGTGGAATATCTTAAGGTAGAACTTAGATAGAAATTATCTCTAATGAATGAATTAAGGATAACGATGTCTAGCGAATGGGTTAAGCTATTAGGGAAGTGATTTAACGCAATAAACCTACTGTTTAATAGGATTATTTAACGTGTATCGGCGAGTGGGCTATGCGGCACCAGAATTCGGATAGGAACAGGAACGTTTATACTGATAACTAATGAATGCGCGGACATGGATGACATAGAAGATGTAAAATGGCTGTCGTCGGTTTACGAAGATGTAAAATGTAAATTGCTGTAACTGTGATTAATTCTGTTGCGCAGGATCGTTCCGAGATCTTCCTCTTCTACTTTACCGCCTCCCCACCCCCCTCACCCCACTCATTTCGTCTCACGATCCATCGTAAAATTTAAATTCAAACCGTCTAACCCTAACCTAACCTCACTCAATGAAACTCCACCCACTCGACCTCCCACTCACTTGTAGTTCCAATCACGTCACGTTACACGATACTGCTATCTACAAAACCTTCTCCCTTCACTTACAGCCCTCCTAAATTCTGTAGCGCGATACGATCGATCAAAACTTCATTTTTTTTTCTCAACAACGAGGAAAAACGAGAATTCGACGGGAGCCATCGGAAAGTAATCGATCTCGAGAGTTCGAATAACCAACACGGATTTTATTTTCGCTCACGATTTTTCGTTTTTACTTTCGTTTCCCTTAGGACAACCTAATGATGGTTGGAGGGTACGAGGTTAAAGACAAGAGGGATGAATTGGTGATTAACGGTCGATGGGTAGATCAGGAGAGGACCGAGTATCAGAGAGGATTTTCCAGTCGAATTTTCGGTAGCCTTTCACACTGCAATTCACTATAAGCAATAAGCAATAAACAGACACGACGAATTATCGGACGGTGTTATGTTTAAAGCGAACGAGATATTAATCCAGAGATACTCTATTATTCATTATCTATTGATTGAATTATTGAAAAAAGGGGTACGACGATATTATTGTAACTTATACAGAGTCTATATTGTATTATTGTACAACCATCTTTATAATATGTAATTAACCCAAACCGAGTGAAGAGAGAGAAAGAGAAAGATTTAGAAAAAGAGAACAAACCAATCGCTATTTTACCATTTTTCGAATGAAGAGCACGCCGTAGCGTACCTAGCTTGTATTTATTTCGTTTTAGGCTGATTAGAGCGTCGCGAAGTTGGTGACGGATTTGGAGGTCATTGACATGTTCAGGATGGATACAAAAAAAAATATTTAAATAAAGTCATCCTCCACGTTCGACTCTTACTTCAGCAATGAATGCGTGTAAATGCAAGCGAGAAAGATGGGAAAAGAATAATCTGGTATGAGAGAATGTTACAAAATGAAAGAGAAGAGCAAGTATGGGAGTGAGTCTGTTTGTCATTTTTTTTTGTTCATCTGAAATTTGTACGCACAAATCGTTAGCAATTGTGAGAGATGTTTAATTTAACATGACAGTAGATTTAACGTAGGTACTAGCCAATTAGCACCTTAAAATTAGATCGTACTGTACCTAAGCTACATACACTTAGCATACTTACTTGAAGTAAGCATAAGATCTCTAGTTATAGGGTAAGCTCATTGTGACAGCAATCAGATGGAGCCCCGTGGTCTAAATTTCAATATGCCAATACTGCTCGTAATTAATATACATGATAAAGTTTTTCTTTCGGAGCTCATGTTCTGACTCGTGTTAGATATTATAGAAACAAGACATTGACACACACATGAATTTATATTCTTTGCGATTTCCAAGTATAAAAAGATAATATATAATAGCACGTAGACAATGGATAAAGGAGAGGAGAGAATGATAGGAAGTTGAATCAACCTCGAACAAACCAGTCAATCAATCAATCAATCAGTTGGTCGATCGAGCAATAATGCCAGTGAGATTCCTTGATGGAGAGAGAGAGAGAGTTTATAGAGAATTATTTTATTTGAACAAATCATAACAAGAGAAGTATGTATAATATGGTTGAAAGATTCAAGAAGAAAAATGATTAAGTCCCAAATTTGAGTAAAAAAAAAGAGACAAACTTGTACGAACAATCTATGCATACATTTCCTGTGGTAATAAATAACGTATATCCAATCAAGGGACAATCATCCTTGACAAGCAATTGAAGCTTAGCAAAGAAATCTTTGGCAATTTTTACCAAATGAATTTTATCAGAATTAACCTGCAGACGAATTTTGAATAAAAGATTTTTAACTGAAGTACTACCAAGAGGAATGACATTTTTAGCGACGCTCAATCCGCAATTAATCTGGGAATGATCGCACGATTTTGTTTTCCATTTGAAAAGCATTGACTTAAAGTGTCTCAGACACCCCACGCGCCTACTCCCTGGTTAAAGGTACATACGTGCTTTCACGCATAATCGTATATTAATATAATATTATATACACTCATAAATACACAAGAAAAAAAGGTATTATACATACAGTGCACGTTTCTCATGTCAGATCACGGGGCAAAGGTGTATAAAGTGTGTGCGATGCGCTGGTCGGTTTAACTATGGATTCGAACTTTCATAACTTTGTAATAGTATATAAAACGAAGGGGATAGAAGCGAACCGGAAGCCAATGAATCACTCGAGGCTGATCGTTCGCAAGCTCATACTGAGAATGCAGAAACGATACTGCCAGGTCGATAGTAGGAAGTGGAGAAAGTAGGAGGATAATAGCCCTGTGCCCTATCTCACTATATCTCTCTAACCCTGTCTGGCCCTTTCTGACCCTATTCCCATCACCACCTTATCAATTTTCTTTATCTATCCTTCTTTCGATTCATCTCCCTTTCATATTCTCTCTTGCGGAAAAATACATCAATTTCTCGAATTTCATTCTCGAGAAATTGTCGCGAGTTGCAAACGAGGACTCTGTCATTGCTCGAGAAGGTTTAAGAAAGAGAAGATAAGATTTATTCCGTACGTGTACGGGGCACAGGACCAGAATCTCTTGTTCCGGCAAGGTTAATTAAGAATTTCATACGCATGAACGCTACTGCGCATGCGCAGCCACGACCCGGTACTTCTCGCTCATATTCAACTGCCACATTGGTATACGAGCATTTGAAATGAACGAGATATCGATAATCGTGTTTGTCGAATTGCGCGCGAGTTATCGTATTAAACGCTCATTTGAAAGAGAAAAAAGTGAAAAGATAAAGAAAAATAATAAAGAGGGAAGGATCTTTAATAGTCTCCCGAGTGAATGGCAAAAAGCAATAGAGTATGTATGCGTGAGTAGTATGTTTGCGTGCGCGTGCAACGTCCTCTGTGCAAACTAATAAGAGCGAATGACTGATCAAATGATTTAACGATTGAATTATTGACGGACTGACTAAACGATTGGCTTAACCTGGCCGAGTGAGTGAATTGTGATTGAACGGATTGGGATGAAAGAGACGATGACGTCGAGTGACAAACGTAAGTGTGTAAGCTACCTGTGCCTTGTAACAAACTACATATATATACATATATATGTATATACATAAACTCATCACGATAACCTATAAAAGTGTGTGATATGTGTCAATTATTTGTCCTTTTACATCCCGTATCCTAGTTAATCTACGCGTGGCTGTTATTTTTTTTTTCTTGTACATTTATTTTTAATCACTAACTGCTCGTGTAAGTACAAGATATAACTTAACAAAACAATATATATTTTACAAGTTTAATCAGCGCGGCACGTGTAGCTAGATACGATAACCGGGTAGCGAACACTGTAGGTGGTCTCTTGTTAAGCAGACTGAATGAACGCAAAATAATTAATTGGGACAATTCTACCAATTGACCAGGGCGACGAACAGTAAGTTCTTTTCTAATGATTTGCCCATTTCTCGATTTCGTTTATTTCAGTTATGAAATTAACAGAATTTGGTATACAATACGAAAATGGGAAGTGTTATTTTTAGATATTTGATCCAAGAATTTATTCAATATGTATTGGTTTCAATTAACTTACATACTTTGTGATAATCAGGATCTAATTCTCTTTTTTTACTGTTCGTGTGATTTCCAAGAAATATACACTATAGGTATTAGTGTGTATATATTTTTGAGTGTCCTGTATATCAAATTGAGATTGTATCTTAAATTCTTGTTGTAGACTAATACTAATGCACTTCAAGTATCATATAAGTGAGACGACGTCTCGACGCACGTGATGCCGTCGATGGAACAGGAAGGCAAACTCGACTTTTTTTATCAGACAAATGATTACAGCACGAGTAGGTTCTTTTGTCTTTTATGTAAATCCTTGGCTCACGACATTATCATTCGGATCAGCGACATGATAGCAAACTGGGATTATGATTTTAACGTACAGTAAAATTGCGTCAACATTCTTCACGTTTTTCGTTTGAGTCGAGGAAAACTTGTATTTTGAGACTGCAATTAAGGTAGGTGATTAGTCCTAGTTTTATTATGCAATAAATCGTTGGTTTGTGTGTAACGACAGGCAGTGGAAGGTCTGAGGTCGATTGAGGTCAGTGGTGGAAAGTGTTTCCATACGAATGAAAAAGAAGGCTAAACAAGTCATTGCGCAAACAATGCATGGCGGTGAACGTAAAGAGAATAATATAAAACTGACCTTAAATTAAATTGTTGTAAAGAGAATGAGAACAAAGTGTTTATTTTGACCAGTGCCAAATAGCCTCAAGGTCCTGGTCGTTAAGTACGAAAGGGGAAGCCTTAAGGGGAGCAGCAGCCAACCTTGAGAGAAGAAGATGATGTAAATCCATGCGTCGGCAAATTCTCAGACTCTGTAATTATCTTTATTACATTGGTACGCCAGTCATTTGCAAGCCGTTTGGAAACAGTTTGTTTCTTAGAGTTTACGATCTGATTTACTCGAGTAGAAGGTAATCGAGATAAAAAAAAGGTGATCGACTCTGATCATTCATCGTTGATCGAAGTAGGCCAAACACCTTTAAGTCGCATTTGACAACAACTGACAGTGACTTCTCTTTTCACGAATAGAAAAAATTGAACGATTATGTGTTAATTACTATAAACTGCTGAAATATAGTCACTCGATAAATGTTATCACATATTTTATAGCCTGTCCGATAAGATGAGTCTTCATTTTTATTTTTATAAAAATTAATTATTACAGCTGTGCTACGACATCGGACTACAGTTTGGATGGATATAGCGTCTGGACTATGGTAATAAAAAATATGCTTTTTTATAAACAAACATTACAGATATGACAAACTTGCAATTTCATCATGAACCGAAAACGTTGACACTGTAATCCTTAACAATCTTTCCGTCAATCATCCGACAGTTTCAATCTGATGAAACAAAAAATGTCCACCATGACGAACGTAATTCATTAATCCTTTCGCTACTCGCTAATAATTTTTAATTGATGTCAATTAGTTTCGTGAAAAACCCGTTCACGCCAATCTCGCGCAAATTCTTTGAAGTTACATCAAATACGAGAAAGAGATTAGAAAATTCACCGCGTGGAAAATTTATTTAAAAACTTAAAATTTTGTCTGGGTGACCAACTTAATTTATGATTAGCTGGGTCTACCTTGTTGCAGAGAATGTCCCTTTCACGCAGGAAAATGGATGTTAGGGTCATGTCCATGAAAGTGATTTCAACATATCCATCAACCTGGTGACAAATAATTTCGTTAAATGTATATTTTTGTATATCAATAAACACAGGTTAATAAACGTATGAGTTACCTGATTTAAAAGAAAAAGATGAAAATCGGCTACAAGCTAAATTCGTAAGTAAAATACATGCGTCTAACGGCAGGGTAATGAATGACAGATGTTATCAATTCTTTATTGATTCCTATTAATCAAACCAAGTTAAGAGTCTCAGAAGATGAAGCTTCTTCCATACGATTTAATGAATTCTGTCGTGAATGTACGCCAACTGGTACCAACTCAACGAGAAAGGGATCACTGTTACAGTTCAATTGGCGCTGGTGATGCCGCTGAGGAAAGTAGCAGACGACGTTCATCACGAGTCACTGCAAACGAGACGGGATCAGAAGCCAGTAAAACTCCCGTAGTGTGCCAAGAGACATGGCTGTGTGTAGATAAAGTATTATTTGTATTGTATAGTGTAACGCTATAGTGACGCCGTCATCGATAATCTGTCCCGTCATCGTTTCCATCATCAATTTAAATAGGTGGCGCTTGCACGGACACGCGTCATTACGGAGATGTACGCGGACGTGAACGCAACGCGTAGCTGTCGAGAATAAAGAGGATTATAAGGCGCCAATTCAAATCGTCTGTAAGAAAATTGTTTCTTAAATAAGACTCATAGTAAATCCTGATCACGGGTATACTAATGTTTCAATTATCTAACATCATAGTGCGGTGAATACGACAGTCCGAGCATTCAGGTCAGTAGTTGATTGATTTTATTTTTGCATTTTTATACGACTGATTCGCAAGGAAAAAGGCTATTAGAATAAAATTTCATTAATAATAATTGTTGAAGTGAAAGATTCTTAACGAAATTTTATAATAGACTCTGAGATTACGAAATAATTATTTGAATTGGAACTCCGTTGGTTATTTTTATTAACAGTATATACCAGAAAGAAGACAACGATAGTAAATACTAGTGAATGTAATGCTGTGAGAAATAAACTGCTTTATCGGGAGAATCATGTATTTTGGGAAGTTAAGGAAATTTTATGGCGAGAAGGAGGAAATGAATATTCAGTAATAATTCTTGGCACTGCTTACATGAATAATATGTAATAGAAATAAAAAAAGGATAATAAGAGTAAAATACATTAAACTAACTCGTATCTTTACGTGTACTAGCCTAGCATTACTGTATCCTATGCATTGATATTTATATGATACCAATAACAATATTAACATTTTTCAAATTAAAGTAGCGTTATACTAATATAATTGAATAAAATATGATAACAGAAAATGAGTTTCTTTTGTCAACGTGGAAAGAGAATATTGCAATGGCGTATGCACCAAGTGTGTCTGCGTATACTAAAAACTACAGTTGACATTGAACTCAACATTCGAGGCAGTAGCGTAACTCTTATCTCTACGTAACGCAACGGTATGTTTCAGGGACGAGGGAAAGAGAACAAGAAAAATATTACACATTTGCCAGTTTGACTCTCATTTGCGAAAGAAACGTTAGTGCCAATAAGATCAACCATCGATAATACACTTCGTGACACGGGTCTATCCAATATAATCTTCAAAATCCATTTTCTTATTTAATTTTCATCACGTCAAGTCAAATCAAGTATGTAAACAATAGTAAACATATCGATTAGGCATATGAGCACAGCTGAAACGACCGTTTATTTTTGTTTTTTAAAAAATATCAAGTACAAAATTCTGATTGGCTAGATCTAACGGAAAGCTCCTCTATGATTGATGGGTTTTATATTGATTGACAAATAGCCTGAAGCGAATTTACAAAATACCAGCTGGTTACACAGCATGTCTCATTCCTACTGAGAACAATTGAATACAAATTCTTAAGTGTTCTGTTTGAGCTTTCTTTTTGCTTTTCCTTTTTGATTTACCGTATTTAATACCGAGAAACCTGTCTGCACAGTAGTCAGATCGGATGTCTCGGCCAAGCAGCGGATCTTCTCATTAACGAGCGATCAGTGCAAAACCCGCCAATTGGGACAACCTATATACATGTACGTATATATTTGACTCGGTATAAGTACCATATGTTGTATACTGACGAATACTTTATTGGCTTTTATATGGCACATAAAATAACAAAAGAATAATTTTTTTAAATGCTAGATTTTATGTACTTGTCAAATTTTGCTGTTCTGAATGTTTTATAAACTAGAATATTTATGGTGTATATTATTACTTGGGCGTGACAAAAAATACGGATTTAACTGGGACTTTGTGCGATATTCTTCCTTGACCTTAAAAAAGAAGAGAAAACTGTAAAATATTGCAAGAAACATTAGCCGGAATTAATATTTTTTAAAACTTGTTAGTAAGCATATAACCCGTGCTGGAATTTTGAAATTAGAAATTTAGCAAAATCTCTTTCTTTGATGTGTATTAAAGCAGCATTTCAGTACGTCAATAATCATCGGAATACACGTGGTAATAAATTTTTAATATATATCGGATAGGTTTCAAAGTAAATTTAATCGTTTTCACCTCACTTGGATACAAATCACTAGCTTTCATTACTATAATGAAAAATAAAGTAAACAAATCTATCGAGAGACAGAAGATATAATTAAATAAACAAAATCTCGTGTTTATATGAAATATTGCCATGCTACTACTTTTTATAATATATTGTAATCTCACATGAGGCTGTCGTCATTATTAAATATTACTCAAAGAATATACTCACTGGCACTAAATTGCATATTGAAGCTTTTGCCGACAGTCGATAAAAGTGTGATATGCGCAATCGAAAGGAACTAACCGGGTTCAACTTACTATTATCAATTGAAATTGTTCTCTGAAGGATGCTGCAGACTGACTAATGATGGACAAATTTCCAGACAGAATAAACTGTAGAGAGATAAATACTCTGTAACTTTTCTTGTGTATCTTTGACATTATCTCTCTCTTTGTCTCTTTAGCTTTTATTATTCGAGTTTAGGGTTTAAATTACAATTAGTTCCAGTCTTCATTAAAAATGACAAAAACTTGAAATTTTTGTATTGCATTATATATGTTACAAATTATATTGTATCTTGAGGCAAAATGATGTGTCATATCATTTAAAAACAGATTTTTCCGACACGCAAGACTTTTTTCTTATCCTGATTGATAACAGGCATATATAACTGATAACAGCTCGGTTTGTTCTTAATTCTTTTGTCTGCTAGTTTTTATTTCTGAGATTATCTACTCGTCAGAAATTTGGACTCATAATAAGAATGTGTGTTAGTTTGTATCGTTTATCCTCATGATTTTTTTTATTTTCATAAATTCTAGTGATATTTCACTGACGTAATGTCAGATATAGGTTTAAAATAATAGATTGTTTTGTCTGCTGCATCTAACTGACATTTGTTGTGTGCATCATGTTGCTTAAGACAATGGACTGTATGTATTGTATTATGAGGATACTGATAATAATGTTCCAGTATCAAGTTCATCTGTTTTGTACAATTTCACAAAGAAATTATTAACATTTTCTACATGACGTTTCATTTGACACTTTATATATTACACTTTGAGGTTATAATTAGATCTCAATTGTTGTACAGTGCAAATTAAGGATTTTTTTTTCTTTTTAAAGATAAATTAGGATATGACTTTTTTTCTTACATATTCCACTTCTGTGTGAGTATCATATCTACATATGTTATTTATACTATCTGCAGATTTCTTAATTCTTTAGTAAGATATTTGCTTAGCATAATAATAAGTCAAAAAGATATATTAACTTTCATGAATTTCATATAACATATGGAACATAAATTTTTAAACTTCATTCTTATATGAAACTGGTCTAACGATTAATGTAACTTCAATTTGTATTATTAACTCAATTGAATTTATTTACCAGTTAAGATCTAATCTTTTTATAACTGTACAATCAATATCTTAAGATTAATCTAATTGTGTGAACGTGGTATACAGATTATAATTTATTAAATAGATAATGAAATATGTCGAAATCAAATAATAAATTCTAGCGATAGAATGGCTATATGTTAAGTTCTATACATTTCTATTTTTCTATCACAATAAAGTGATATGATAATAACTTTCCTTCATAATAACTGAATTATAGACTTGACGTAAGATAATTTGATTCGTTTGACTCTGCTGGATTTACATAATTATGTTGTATTTTTATTTGTTTGATCAGAATCGTATATTTACTAATAAATCTTTGCATATATATACTTGATGATCATTTTCATTACTCAGTAGATGTATAGATACGATGGAATGAATGTGTCATGATACAAAATGCCTAAAATCTTAAAGCCTTGTTAATAAATCTAATACTCTGGGTCATGTATAATTCTGTTTCAGATATCTCATAAGATGTCCATCCTGCAATACAAATGGCTACTCATATTTTTAGGTAAATTCTTTAGAACCTAAACGAACATCAATTACTTAAATTAATATCTATATAACATCTTTGTTAAATTTTCAGCATGCCGACACGTACAGGCAGATTTGCGGGTGTCGACACAAGACTTAACAGTACCTGTAAATGGACAAAATACCTATCAATTGTACTTGACGTGAGTATGTTCCTGATGTCACAAGTAAATATAAATAACAAACACATAATGTATACTCTAAAGCACTACATAACAGTGATAAAATTAAATTAATGAAGCTTGTAATTAAGAAAATATCTTTCAGAGATGAGTTATCAGAGGATGTGACAATCTTAATAGAGGCTCAGCATATCGACTTGGTCAGGACAGAGCCATCAAGCTTTCTAATAACGCGTGAAAATCAGACGGGAAATTGGACAATTACAGTATTGGGTCTTAGTGCTGGCTATGTTACACTCAGTTCAAACGTCACACCCAGCACTAATATTATGTAAGTATATAAATTTGGTGAAATTCACTATATCCTGGTCAGATACCAAACTTCTTTTCATAAAAATAGATTTGATAGTGTAAAAGAACTTTACTGACCATTTTTTCTCATAACAAATCATATTAAATGGATCGCCACTTTCTCCACAGTACATAACGAATTAATTTATAAGTATAGGTAATTTGATCAAATTCATTTATGAATTCTTTGACACATTGAAGATAATGATATGTGGAAAAAAATGTATCAGTATATTCCAGTAACAGAACAATAATTCGTTAAATGTATACTTTCTTGTTGATAAGAGATTATACAGCATTATGTATGATTGAGGCATATCTCATTGGTGGCCTCATTAGAATTAATTTTTCCATATGCTATCGGAATTTGATGAGCAATGCCCTATGATGATGTGGCCTTGTTGATTTTTCACGAGTAACTAAAAGATTCCGATCAATAATATATTTGTTATTTGGTTATTCACTAGTATTTAAGAAGATAGCCTCATGACCTTAGTGCTGCTCATCGAATCTGACATTTTACCATTGCTCTCAGTTGTCATTAAGTTTTCGTAGGACCTATATCTAAACTCTAGGCGATTATATTTATAGTGATAATTTCATTTTTGCGAGTATCCATCCACGTCCTTTATGGTTGATACGTCTTTGCACGACAATGGTTATTGTGATTAAAATTGTGCTTAGATAAAAAAGGATCTTCGTCCTATCGCCGGATTTTCTATCGGGTTTAATTGAGAATTAGTGAAGAAATGATTAAATAGTGCGATAATAATCGGGAACAAGATGAGCATATATAAAGTTATCATTATTCCTCGTGACAAGTTGAAGGACTTCAATTTCACGTAAGCGATGAATTAACAAATAAAATGAAAAGCGTCATGTAGGCATCCCGATGATGAAAATCGTCATGAAAATTGTACACTGATTATGTAAACTAATCAGAAGCATTTAAATTTTCTGCTCTCTTTTTCAAATCATTTTTCTCTCATTTCTTTACGTTTTTCAGTTTCTCCGACGCTTACGTTCGTGTGATTGTTGAAAAATCAGATGTTCTCTACCATGTAAGTGCAGTCGTCGGCTGGGTCTATTTCCTAGCATGGAGCATCAGCTTCTATCCACAAATCTACAGCAATTACAAGCGAAAAAGTGTCGTTGGCTTGAATTTCGATTTCCTGTCTTTAAATATCGTCGGCTTCATCATGTACGCCCTGTTCAACTGTGGTCTCTACTGGATACCCACAGTTGAGGTAAGCACATATTATTTAATTATGGGTATGAATAGGAACTACTTGCTATAACTGTTCTCTATTTTCAAAGTTTCTTGTTTTGGCACCAATCCAAAAATTGTATTTCTTCTTTTCTTCTTTCAGCAAGAATATTTCAGTCGATATCCAAAGGGTCTGAATCCTGTTCAAGTGAACGATATCTTCTTTGCACTTCATGCAGTATTTGCCACTGCCATTACTATTCTTCAGTGTTTTATTTATGAGGTAATAAAAAAAGAATTTTTTTTACATTTTTGTTTAAATCGATTTACCTTTTTGCTTGAAGGGAGTCATAACGTAGTTGTTTTTTTCAGAGGGGCAATCAAAGGGTATCAACAACTGCAAGAATCATTCACGGGGCTTTTGCTATATTTATTTTAATATCAATTATTTTATCTCTACTAGATACCATCACATGGCTCGATTTTCTCTATTATTGTAGCTACGTTAAGTTGGCAATCACTCTTATAAAATACGTACCTCAAGCGTTCTATAATTACAAAAGAAAATCCACCGTTGGATGGAGCATTGGTAATATTTTCTTGGACTTTACCGGCGGTACTCTGTCGATGTTGCAAATGATACTCAACGCCTATAATTATGGTAAGAAAACATAAATTATTACAAGGCAAAGAAGCGGTTTTTATCGGCTATAATTTAAATTTTTCTCTTAACACTGTTCTGACATTAAACACATTTCAATTATCCGTTTAGATGACTGGGAAAGCATTTTTGGAGATCCAACTAAGTTTGGACTTGGTTTCTTCTCCGTTGCCTTCGACATTTTCTTCATTATACAGCACTACGTCCTCTACAGGTGCGTCAGCTTCTCTCCTTCACATGAACCTTATGCGTTTACCCTCCTCTTGCCCTCCTTCACTTCCCATCTCTTATTTCTTTCCACTTCCATACCCATTTATCTCTGCCAAATACTCTGCTTCTTTATTTTTCGCATATATTATCCTATGCTTTTTTTATTTCAAAATTACCCGCCTATTCGCAATAAACATGGTCTGCATGTGGTTCAATGGATTCAACGGTTTACTGTGACTGAGATTGAAAAAAATATTTTCGAAGCATGTATCGTTGGGATTGGATAAAATTTGTCTGCATTTTTTAAATGTGTTATGTATTGTGTCACGAGAACTCGAAGGAAGCGCACACATTTTTTTTTCACGGCTCATGTATAACGTCTGCAACGCTCAACGGTAGAGTATTAGCATCTCATTATATATTTAATTAATAATTATTGCTTGTATGAGTTCTTTAAAGAAAAACATATAATCAACTCAGTCGGTATTTTTTTATCTCGCCTTGCCTCGTATTATCATGTCTCGTTTCCTATTTAAATACGTTCAAATTGATTAAGCTGGGCATACGATAAAATATACATATTTGTATTTGTATATATAGCTTATATACCGTCAAAGGAAAGATGGCTTCTTAGTTATCCTGCTTGTGTTGTATATGGGGTAGAGCAAGAGTTTTTGACATTGCAGACATGCCAACGGAGGGATGGTCGACCTGAAAGGCCGAGTGTAGCCAACCTGACGACAATTCTGGCTTGCAATATCACATGCTGCATATGCATGTATCTATAATATTTCCTCAGTAAAACCGCCGAGCAAGTAGTTATACAGATCCTCATTGTGACGTTGATAGTTACAAATCACCCATCTTCCTGAAATATTCAGAATGGAGAGAGCCTTTCGGCCTACTGGTAGTCAGGAAGAGAAAGATATTCGACCGATCCAAAACGACTCACAACGATGACAATGACAAAGGTCGACATTTTGAGAATAGGATGACTCTATTATTCCTATGCGATATAATTTTTTATTTTTATTAGATAGTGGCCAAGTGTTCATCGGATCGAGTCCCGTGACAAATTCCGTCAGTTTTCATATTGTTTCTTCTATTTTTCTTTTATTTACGTTTGCTCCTTGATTTTTCACTTTTTCTATTTTTGTCTTATTTAAACGAAGTAATCAGTATTACTATGTTTAAGTATTTTATTATTCCCGACGAGCATACTGAGCACCAATGCCTCCAATGGTAACAATGACATTTGTATCGATAAAAATTTTATATTATTAGTAGTCTCCATTCTTGTTTATCATGTTTTATACCTCAGTGCCTCCAATTATTATTTTTCATTCGTGACTCCACAATGTCTTCCATAATCGTTTCAAGCTGTAATATTATAGTAGTTAGACAGAAAAATACAAGTAGTTTGAACTTCACGTGTACGTCTGCGGTTCAGCTTGCTAATTATAAACATGCGAAATGACAATTTTTACAGTGGACCGTAGTAGGAAATTATTGTTTTATCATCCAATCACTGGTGCAATTTTTTTAATTGCGTATGCGTTTCAATTAAGCATGCTGGATATAGAATGACATGTAGTAGTATAATGTATTAAATTAAAGCGACAACAACTTCCTTGGGTATGGCCAGGAGCCGTAGTTTCAAGATGTCAATAATTGCCACGTAGAACGTAGAATATTGAATGTGGTTGCAAAATCTAATGAATAAAAAAATGCATTTTTGCGACCAGTGGGAATTTTTGTTTTGTGTGTGTGTGTGTGTGTTATGAGCTCACTATATACATATATTACTAATGAGAATTCATGTATTACGTAGTGACATGATTTTACTATCAGCTCTACGTACCGTAATACATTTTCACATGGGCGACCATTCGACTTATGACAACTACGCTATTATAATTAAGAGAACATTGAATTAATAAAATATTCATCGCATGGTTTGATGCATCAGTTTTAAGCCTGTTGATACGTATCTTTATGTGTAAATTGTCCGTCCGTACGTTTTGATAACATCAAGTTCCGCCGAAGTGGGTGAAACAAGAAAAGGAGAAACAAATCTTTATTTACCGCCCATCACGTTAGAACTAGGCAAGTACTGGAGCTTTTTTGTCTTAGAAATATTTATCCGTGCGCATCTACTGAATAAAAAATGAAATGAAATGAAACTGATAATCGCTCAGGCTTTCAGGTCGCAGTTGGTACTGTGTCCGTTTTTTTTTTTTTGTAAATTCAGTTAGCGCGGAAAAAGAAAGCAGAGAAGCGATGTAGAATTAAAAGCTACGAAAAAGATAACGTTTGCGTAGTGAGTAGAGTTGTTCGTTACGCCGATTGTCCTAGATGTCGTCGTTACGTCTGTAATGTTCCGACGATTTGGCGTCGCGACGTCCATACTTTCTTAGAAAGATTTAATGGATTCTTTTCATAGGACGGGGCAAGACGAGTATCTGCAACTGCCGCAAATCGCATCCGCTGTAACCACCATGTCGAATAATTCAAATACTTCAAATTTTTCATGACCATTGGTAAGGCAAGGTATCGATGATCAATTTATCGATAGACTCGTCCAGTTAGGATCGATACCTACTTAGAGAAGATCGTGGTTCATCCATATTACTGATTTTGTTGAGTTTTTGTATTTTTGTTTGCATGCAGCATGCGTGACAGTGCGTTTTTCTATTGTTATAATGCTAATGTATGCACGTGCATGGGCTATGTTCGATTAGCCGAAATTTGTTTAATCGATACATCAGAAATCGATTTCTCTGCATCTTATATTTTTTGTTACTAATAGACGGGGTTTTGCAACTCGAAGATCAGCGGTGTACTTCAGTATGTCCTGTTTTCAGGGATCGTCAAGAGTACATGAAACTGCCTGGCGATTGTCATAAGGATATTCAGGAAGACAGCTCAGACAAAATCTACAGTTGCTGATGATGTTTATGCGAATTTTGGACACTGAGAGTAATTACTCTTTATCTTTAATCTGTGAGATCTGTGTGATCGTAGTTTCTTAGTAATAAAGACACGATATTTATTTAATGGCACACACCGTCCAATTGCTACACAGCTATGGCTGATTCACACTTTAGCTACTTATCTTTTTGGTTCTCGCTTTTCATAGATTTGGTATATCGAGTATACAGGTTGTTACATTGTTTGAGTATTCTTTAAAGGAGACATTTTAATGGAAGATATGTGAACAAATTGGAACAGCAAATTCGAATAAGTCAGTATAATAATATTGGAGATGTAGAATTTTTTGTTTGTAATTTTATTAAGCCTTTCACGACACGAGAAGCTTTTACTCTAAAAATGGATTTTTCTGGACAACATTTCTCAGTATTTGTCAAATAGTTCTATCAGCTTTAAGGAGTGATGCACTTTTAGGAATTTCTACAATTTTATTTAGAAAAACATTTTCCCCTGTCGGGAAATTAGCGACAAAGGATAAAAATTTATATATTTGTAATGCCTAAAAAAATGCTGCTTTTATTTTCCTTATTGCTCCGCTGCTGTTGTACAATGGATACAAAAATATTAATTAAAACAGAAAAATATTTTTGTCATTCCTATTCTAAATAACCAAGCACATTTTCATATGATTTTCTTAATGAATTAATTGCTCTCAATTTGCTCCATTTTGCTCCGCAATTTGGTTTTTATTTTATTGAAGCATCTTCAAATTATAAGTGAAATTTGATCTTCTCTTGGCTGGATTGCAAACGTTTACAATATGGTTAATTTTCGAACTCTGTACATACATATCGTATGACACCGAAAAACTGTTAAAATTGAGGTTGCCCGAAAAGACACTTGCGGCGCTGACTCCGCTAGTGAAACCGACGATGGTGGGGAGAGTACCGGGCGAAAAGATATACATATATATATATAATCTACATGGCTTCTATATCTATATATAGGTTAGTCATTGACAACAGCGACGCCATCGGCGAAATAGTGAATTTCTTATTTTGACGCATTTCTGGTGTCGTTTTTTCGTTGATTCTCCTATTAGAGATGGGATTCCTCTACTCTAGTCTCCATGCAACGTAACTTGAAATAGTAGCACACATTTTATTTCGAAGACTGCCAAATATTTTTTTGCGTTTTTACAAAGTTTTACGAATTACTTGACCGCAGAGAAGAATAATTTTAAAAGAGTCATTGCAACTGTTATTTAATGCATAATACTTTACAGAAACTCAAATATATCCCCATTGATATGTCGGCGGGACAACATTTTTGCACGGCTTGTACACCACATGCGCAGTTCAATTCGAAAAGAATGACTTGCTACAGAATGTGAGTGAAATAGTACACGCTTACAGGGCTATCTCCGGATACAGGCGTACGGCCTCCAGTATTCGTCCAACTCAACCGTCACTTTCTTGTAGATGCTAAGGTAGCAGACGACAAAATTCAACCAAGATAATTTTTCGGCTCCTTTCGCCGGTTATTAGGTATACATTATTTTCAATTAAATTTTCCTTTTTTTAGTTAAAATAATAATAATAATCGTGTTTGTAAAAATATAATCCTATACAAAGTTATTGATGTAAAAAAGTTTAACTAAGTGTAACAGTTTAGTGGAGTCAACATAACCTCCCTGTTTATTCATTAACGCTGACATCATATAAGCTAATCATGTTTCAGGATGAAATCTCATATACTGGCTTTACTGAGCACGACAAGAAACTCATTAAACTTCAGCAGAAATTTCAACTGTTGGACTGCAGGTATAACAAAGATACACCGAACGACCTACGAAAGGACATACCCAACAGTATTGGTCAACCCCGATGGTAGCTCTATAATAATTCCATATCATGAACCAAGAGGGATAATAAAATTACCTCTGGATATTTTTACATTGTCGGAAGCTGAACGTAAAGCAAGACTTGAAAGACGCAAGCCTAAGACTAGAGTCAAAATTGATGAAGACATAGAAGATGACTTTGACGTCACTAAGTATTTAAATTTCAAGAAGAAATAGATACTACAATAAATCATATTCGGCTATCAACTTATTTAACATTGTACAGAAAGAATTAAACAGCTGATAATTGAAAATTCATTAATTATTGTACAGAAAGTATGATAGAACTTTATTATAAATATACATAAACCAAAATCCTCATCGACAATAAAATCACATCAAGGATTCATGAATGTCAAAGATCAATATCAATGAATGGATTAAAACTATGTTGAATCATCCAACAACAAAAAATAATCACTGATGAAACCATTGTTAGAAATATTCAATGTAGTTATAGATCTAGATGTTTCGTAAACATGTCACATAATATATAATGAAACAATAAAAAGTGAATAATAAAAGTTATCATATTTCTACTATTTTATATATCTCTTTACATAACATACCAATTATCCCAGTACGGATATCTGTGAATCATTATACTGTGTCGCCGTAAATAACAAGGAAATGTTGAGCGGGTCGTTCATACTATCACGTTTATACAAAGGAGGACGTCTAGGGGCAACGGCCTTGAACTTGCCTAAAATAGAAAGTCGCTTCCGAGTGTCAAGAAGTACCAGCTGTATATACATACGTATATATACTTACAAGATGCTGGACCACTTTCGAATTACATCCCGTTTCTCTACTGGTACATGTTGTCACTTTATATTCCCATCCGCAAAATATTCATCTACATACCCTACAGATACGTCAGATACATCAGATACTACAGATACATCAAAACATGCAAGAGCTCGCAGGCCTATTTAAATTTCATTAATTGAGATACGTATAAATGAAAAATATTTTCTATCAGAAACATTAAGACGCAGGGTGAAGAAGGAAGTGAAAATATTTTCTGAACTCTTTAAAAATTTAGAAAGTTCACTCTCCTTTTTCTCCACCCGCTTCCACTGCCATTCGAGGGTTTTTCTCAGTCGCGTTCTAAGTACTCATGTATATAGATGGTTCAAATAATAAATCAGAAGATGATTCATAGCGACGGATTTTAAAAGAAAGAAATGGAAGCTGATTTATTCATCCAGTCATCTCTTTTCGTAACTTTCTCCGATACTTTACACACATTGACCAGTCATCTCGTTGCAATTTTCGGCAACGTATAAATCGTAGATAACTGACGGTACAGAGAATGGGCCATCTTGAACTTTCATGAAGAGTACGTAGGCACGTACATATACATAGAGAATAAACAGCCTGTGGCTATACTTGAAACTTGAAAGTTGTCAACGAGCGAAAGTGACTCGTCAATATAATATAGATGTATATATATGTTATATGCATATACGCACCACTTACAAGACATGTTCTGTACTTCTTTCGATATGTATTTCCTCTTGAACTTACACACGCTTTTAATTTAAAAAAAAATTCAAAAGAAAATTTCTTCGCGACGAAGTAGAAACACAATGGCCGAGTCACTGTGACAGCCAAAATGGCTTTTTACTAAAACATTATTCCGACTCGAGGTTAATGGCATCTTTAGATCTACAAAAAGATAAAATGTTGTATACGGTTCCTGGAAAGATATAAGACATTATTTACTTGATACAATGTAGTCTCGTTACACGTTAGGACATACTGACTTCACAGTCTAACGCAAGAAGGCAATGAACGCGTTTCTAAGTTCTCACTAGTGGATGTTCTTAACGCTATTTAACGAACTGTTACGTAATCATGAACATCAACCAGATGTCACAATAACCCGGTGTCTTCTTCTTGCACAATCCTTTATAAAAGCTTAAACGATCTATGCACATAAATATAATAAAGGCAAAAAAATTGGGACATTAATTATAACCGTTTTAGTATACAAGGACGTCAAGATTTCCCATTAAACATATCAGACCGAGTGATTCGGCATAAATGGAACAATTTAAAATACATCTTGTACGAACAATATTCGTATAAGGATAGTACCACCAGGTACGGAGTGTCCAATGTAAAACGTACGTCGAGTCAAATAACAAGAGCACGAAGCAAAGCACTTTCGATCGCAGTGAAACTTCGTCATTGCGACATGTGTCTCGGAAAATTCTGGAGGCTCGTTAAGCAACAATAAAACGCATGAAGATATTAAGAGGTATTGAGGTACGTCCAGTATGGTTGCATGACGTCTGTTTAGTATTCAAGTACTTAACCATCCAGCTCCATCGTCATTCATTGTCAACCGTAACAGAATTGAATTCGCCTACATTTCGGCAAATGTTAAATATAATTCTTTGTAACAGGTAGACTTTCAGGATTTATATTTCAAGATCCATAGAACTAGGAATAGTGGCATTTTTTTAATCACATTCTCCTTCTCTTTCTCTCTCTCTCTCTCTCTCTCTCTCTCTCTCTCTCTCTCTCTCTCTCTCTCTCTCTCTCTTGCTCTTTGACTCTAAGTATGATTAATGTGGATTATTAACGATGATGCGCAATATCTTCTATCACTTTTAAAAATTCAAAGAACCGGAGATCATCTTGAGAAATCCACGATGGCTTCTGTTATTTTACAAAGAGAAATCAAAACTGGATGGTTTCTGTAGAATGTGAGATCGACTAACCGGAAATGGTTAAACCTCTAACAAGAGTTCACACAGAATGTTAATCGAATAGAAAACACAGTCGTTTCCGATCGGAAGGATGACATTTTATTACGCAATACCTCAGTTCCACACACTAGGTGCACGTAAGCCATCCTGATACGTCGAGTACCATTGAACGAGTGAAATCGTATGATGGATGTTCAAGGATTTCGTGGAATCGTCTAATATGGTTAAAAAATTAACTAGAGTAGATAAAATATCTTTTGCCGGTTGTCTTACTGCTTTTGGCCAGTTTGAAGCTAACGCTCGAGATTGGGCTCTTGTGACCTGGTTTACAAAGGTAACATAAGAAGATTGTCTGACCATATACACCTTCTCTACTTTCCTAACTCTTCTCATATTCTTCTTCGTTTATAACACTTCACATCCGTTACTAAATTCTCACGTTACTTTATCTTCTGTCAGCAAACAATTAATTTACCGTTCGTTCGTCCTATGTAATTCAAAATCATTTTCAACTTCATCACCTCACTGTTATCGATCTACCAGTTGCGAAATAATTTTCCAAGAAAAATTTTCCACTTCAACGAAAATATAAAAGTCAAAATAATTATCTAAAAAAAATAAATAAAAAAGACTACGTTACTTTACACTTCGTTTGAATAATATCAGTCTGAAAGTGATGGTGACCTGCTTTATTACAATAGGTTATAAAGGTACTAATGATAGTGGTGGATAGTTAAGAGTTCTGTATTTGGACAAAGAGACAGATATGGTTGTCAAAAGAAAAAAAGACAGAAGAGAAATGTAACAAATGCATTTGAACGTTCTGTATTAAACACTGTTCATGAAACAGCTTTAGTTGTATACAGCGGCGATGGCAGCTAACTAAAGAGTCGACCACACCGTGGTGGGAGTTAGTTCTGTTATAGTAGGCCACGAGGCAGCACTCGCGTTCCTGGTTGCATGCTCGCAACTCTCTCTTCACTAGATTAAGGCCCCCCGAGTCGTTTGCGCCAACTGTGAAACCCTGTTTGATCCGCGTCGTGACAACTGAAACTCGAGTTTCTCGTGGCTTGATTGATCGGAATAGATAATCAATCATCTGTAGAAGGGAAACATTGAAAACAATTAAAAAGAACGTAGTCTGTCATTAGCAACAGATACGTTGTAAAACAACCCTTGATATCGAGTACGAAACGTATATTTGTTATTGTACTGGACTTTGAAGTTGCTGACACTTTCAGGACTACATTGAAAATTATCGATATCTTAAAAATTGCCGTTGAAAAGTCCTGCCATTGACAGATGATATTTTGTTTGAATTTTGTCAAAGGCGTCAAGCATCCTGTGATGCATCTGATAAGAGTTGATAGAAGATACAGCGGCAAATGAAGAAAGTGGGAAATCAGAAACAAGCAATCAAAATTGATAACGGCCGAAGAGTTATTTAAGGCTGTTCAAGAGTCTTAAGAGAAGAGTTTTGAACAGTGATGATTATGACGTGACGGTGTAACGAAGTCGTGGTTGTGTCGTCATCACGTTAAAGGACGAATAAATCATTGTTAGTGAGAGCGAGCGTAAAATACTGAAGGTAGTAAGTCATTAATGGTGATTTCGCTTCTGTATTTTTATTGCGAGTTGTAATAAATCGGAAATCAAGTGGATGTTTGTTACAGTGCAGTGAATCGCGGAGCACTTAGAAAACGTGATCAATGTACAAATGAATTATTGAATTCGATGTCGGATTTAAAGCTGGTAAATATTTTCACGGTGAACGTGGTGACAGCGTTGGTCGAGTCCTGCCGTGCTGACACAACAATGTATAGAGGTTAATTTGGAAGCGGAAGAAAAAGTGAGAGACAAAGAAAATTACCCAGGCAAAATTCAATCATCCACAACCGTAAATTATGTCTTGTTGAATGTTTGCGACATTTCGCAAGTTTCAAGTGGACTCGAAGATCGTGCAATGATTGGCAAGCTCCTTCTTGCACTCTGGATACTAGGATGGATTGGCCGTGACGGTGCGTGGTTGAAAAAGATTTTTAAAATTATTAAATAACTACATAAAATATCTCTTAAAAAATTTTGAACTGATTACTTTTTCTACAGATTTAGAAAACACATGATTCCTTAGTAATTATCGATTCTCCTTGTTCTACCATTGGTTCTCCTGGTCGCTTCTACATATAATAATTTTGTTACTCTGCAACGTCCAATATTGTACAAGTTAAGTTACCACTACAGTAAAATTTCGATCATCCAAGCTATTGTGGACCGACCCTAATTCGGATGATCAAAAACCTCAACACGGATTTAATTTTGTAGGAAAATAAATACACATTCTATGTAGTTGCGCACAAAAAATCGCATCTACTCCGAACGTGTCCATGAATTCACGACGCAAGTATCATTGCACGTCTTTATAGGGTCGGATAATACAGATTATCCACCTACTGTATCTCGAATAACATGCGTATCCGAAGCGAGCTCGAATAATCGCCAACAGATATAAAGTGGACTCTTTAATCCGGCTTCTGCAGTATTAAGTAATCAGACAATAAAGACGTGCTCTTAAGGCAGATCAAAGTTTATCAAGTTCCAAGCTTTTAGGATAGTCCCACGAAAATTGTATGCAGACATCTAATAATGTATATATACATGAATAAGAATATCAAAATAACGCTCGGAGTTCCCGAAGCGCAAGGGAGCGTGCAATCTGAATAGTTATTAGTCGCTGTCATTGAAGGAAACTGGTGCAGCTGCAAATTAAGTTTGCACCACGGTCAGTGAAAGCAACGTTCGCTTCTGTACTATAACAAACTACACATTATGTATATGCATTCACATGCACCTGTTAACATTGCATGCACACGCTTCGACAGATCCAGAACTGACGATAATATATTACATTACCATTTTCTATTTCTGCTTAATGGAGTTTAATGAAATCCATACTAGTTAGACTCGATTTCATAAAGTCACTTAAACCTTTGAATTTAGGTTAAATCTATACACTCATTCTAAACTCGCAAATTATGCTTCATTAATAATCATTAGTCAAGACATACAAATATTACATCTCTGTCAAGTGAAAATTACAGATTCCTCTTTTAATCTGACCCCATAATGTACCTACTTTTTTTTGTATCCATCTCTATCACCTTCGTCCCGAAGAAATATGAAAAATTGTAGACAACTACCTGGCGACCTACATTCAACATCTAAAGTTATTTAATGACTCGATGGTACGTTCTTCGAGCATCCAGTTGGAACACTCATGTAAATTTACATAGGTTAGAAGTATACTGAACAGGTCAAAAGTCTTACACTGACTTTCCAATCGCTAAAGTCCGGTTATATCTTTCTCCCAGATTCTATTCGTGAAAGAAATCGTATCAATAAGCGTGTTACGCACTGCGAAGAAAAAGAGGAGACAAAAAAAGCACAAAATGGACGTCACATACAGGAAGTCGTATTTGGCAATAGTGCAATCGCGAGGAACGGTAAATTTCGAGAGCCTCGTTACGTCTGACCCCGTTTGACGGCGCGTAGGCTTTGGTAAAAGTCTGAGGAATCGTAAAATTCTCAACGGAAACATTGCTTTCGAGTTGACCTCAGAACGTTATTAACAAAGATCATCCTGAAATACATCGAGCGTAACATATGTAAACCTCAAAGATTCCAACTGCACAGTCTGGCACTTGACCTCGGCGGTTGAGAAGATACGCATAAGAACAAAGCTCAAAAATACCGTGTCACTTAGTTCTGGCGGAATCACGGCTATTTGCAATTGCCTTGTCACTCTGAGCACCTCAAATCTAATCAAATAACAACACAAATCCCATCGTCCAGTACTTAGTTCGACCAGGCTGGTGTTTCCAAACAAATGAAAAATGGCGTAAGAGACGAGTCAGTAGCGTGAAAGGGAACGATGATGAATACTTCTCGACCAGCATGGTGGGAGGAGAAAGGGGTGTGGACGATCCTAATAAAGCATTCTCTAGAGAATCATTGCTCCACGACTTTCTCCAGTACCTGTGAGCCGATACGATTAAGTGACACCAAATCCCCACATATATTCAGACTCAAAGAAAAAAATCATAAAAGCTATTTAAAACTCCACATACCCCGTAAAACTATAATGTTAAAAACACCACATGCCCCATAATATTTATAATGAGCGGAGTTCAAAAGGTACATAACCTCCATAAAGTTCACCTTATATCCCGTTAACTTTAAGGTTCATAAAGACACACTACAAAGTTACGTGCGTCTACTAGCTAAAAGGTTATTTGTATAATATATCCTAACCTAACCTAACAATCTTCACACCGACGTCTTCTTGAATTCAATTAAATTATTTTGATTAAAATACAGAAAGGAGGTTATACTTGTAATAAATTCATCCCATATTCACATTAATGCCAATTTGTCACTTGTGCTCCTCTCGTAGACTTCCTCTCTTTCCTTCGCTTCCACGAAGGATGAATAATTCACATAATCTCTCCAGATCCCGTTGCAGAAAGCGTTTCCAGTGTATTCACAAGCCGCTATTGTCCTGTACCGTTAGCTACTACTAGTAGACCAAGTCTGACTCTAGGTTTCCTTCAAGTCTCTATCAGCAGTGTGACCAAGCGTGTTCGTCTCACCTAATTTACTTGGATGGGTCGTCCGAGCTAGAGGCGAATTACCTGTTGCTGTTAGAAGCAAAACTGAATTGCAAGATTTCATGAATACCTGCGGAACATAAGAAAGAGTTTAAATCAGAACAGCAAGTGGCAATCGTGTTTTATTATCAATGTTGTTTCACTTATACTATGTGTTTTTAAAACTGTCTTGACTTGTCGAGTATCTAGTCGGTACTGTGAATTGCGTACTGGATTCGCTAGAATGATTTCGATTGTAACGAATTTCTATGCGAAAGAAATTAACGATGTAAAAAGGTTGAAGTGATACAAATACATTTATGCTTTAGGTATTTCTATCTTTACGTGTATGTATATATATTGTTTTACTTGTATATCATAATGGTATATGCAGATAGATACATGTATTACATATATTGTAATTTATCGATCACCTTTACATTTGCGCTCGCATTAGTTACGCCTGCCGAACAACTCGTTTCTTCGTTTACTTGCCATTTATGTATAAGTAAAGCCTAACGTTTCGCAATGCGATTGCGAAATTTTTGTGATCTAAGGTAAATTGTCCTGACTTTCGTTATCGTTTGCAAAGATTGGTATTGATTGGTATTGGGGATCTTTGGTTTGGATAGAAAATGATGTTATTCATATTTGTATAACTAAAAAAAATTTATGTTGTGAGGAGTGTTTTGAACGAATCTATGTAGTTTCTTTTGAATTCTCGCGTAGGAATATTATTCATGTGTCATGAATAGGTTGGAATTTAATGCAACGGGAACAATGACCTCTCCGGTATGAGTTTCGCAGTGATCATTAACGGTGAGTTAAACGAGAACCGAATGAAGGCCACGTGACAATGTGTACCAACTTCTCAAGACCTATAAACATATGAGATTGTAGAAACGTGATTTTAGCATACATATAGTCGGTTACTGTCAATTTTGTTAAGGAAGTCAAAATTGCTTGTGTTATATATGCATAGAATGACGCGTGGGAATGTGCAGTTTCGTTAAATACTCTTATGATATATTGTAACACGCGATTACGTTTTCTGACAGCTGTCAGCTGTCATTTAAATGAATTTAAGATGAGCACGTGGGCAGATGTATTTATATTTAGAAAAACATGAAGGCTCATTTACGTAGGAAGATCCGAGAGACAGTTTAACTTGTTTGATTGCCTACTGAGCAATTGCAGACAGGAAGTGCTGGTTAGGAGCGAGGATCGCGCGAATTTGAGGAGTAAAAAATTAAATGAAAAATTAATTGGGTGATTTTTTGTTTTTATTATAGGTGGAGGTGTACTTTGGATTGGAGGAGTGGCGGCTAGTGACTGGCCTACTGTTCTTGACGAGTCACTGGATGAGAAGAATGACGCCATGATCTTTAGATCGGTTGTTGAGTCCATGAGGGAATGGGAATTTCGGAAGCGGTATCCACGGAGGGCTAAAAGGGAAGCATCCAGAGTTTGTTATGAGGAAGTTGGATGCTTTGAAGATACTGGTCCATTTAGTTACCTTGAGATGCTGCCATCGCCTCCCAAGGACGTTGGTACCAGGTATGTGGATGACGAAGTTTGAATTTTTGTTCCCGAGAAAATATTAAAAATACTTAATATTTATCTCTCAGGAGACATTTAAAGTTTTTGGTACAGTTGTTCTGTTCTTTTAGATTCCTCGTCTATGGTAGCAGGAAGGCCAGGTCCATCCCGACGGAAGTACCTGCGGAAAACATCAATGACAATGCCCATCGTGTCATCGATCCGGAACTTCCTACCAAAGTCATTGTACATGGATTTGGATCAAGCTGTGATCATATATGGGTCTATGAGATGAGGTCTGCTCTGATGTCTGTTCACGAGTGTAATATTGGTACGTGAACACATGAAAGTCTAGGAAATCTGGCTATATACCTTCTTCGATGAAGTCTTCAATGGATTAACTAAGTAAACTTACAGTCTGCGTCGACTGGGGTCCAGGAAGTGCTGTACCAAATTACGTAAGAGCTGCAGCTAATACACGCCTTGTAGGGCGGCAGTTGGCTAAGCTGGTACGCAGTCTTAATGTACCTCTGGAGAAGGTGCATCTCATTGGATTCAGTCTTGGTGCGCATGTCGCTGGTTTCGCTGGAGCTGAGCTTGGCAACGTGTCCAGGATTACCGGCTTGGACCCAGCTGGTCCATTATTCGAGTCACAAGATCCACGTGCCAGGCTGGACGCTACCGATGCAAATTTTGTTGACGTTATACACAGCAATGGGGAACAATTGATTCTGGGAGGGTTAGGTTCCTGGCAACCTATGGGTGACGTTGATTTTTATCCCAACGGTGGAAGAATGCAAACGGGATGTTCTAACCTCTTTCTTGGTGCAGTCTCGGATATTATATGGTGTAAGTAAAAAAATTTATTGTTTCCTTATCCTGTTCGTAAACGTCATTGAATTGAATAGTTATTTCTGCTTCATTAGTTGATTCATTTAGCTTACGTAAGAACTTGATGGTCGGGATGCTGACAAGGACGAAAAGTGGAGTACAGCATGAACTCTATAATTTCAGCGAGTGCCGTTGAAGGAAGGTCACTCTGCAACCACAGAAGAGCTTACAAACTGTTTACTGATTCTGTAAGCCCCAAATGTCGGTTTCCGGCATTTCCTTGTGAACACGGTTACGATGGTCTTCTACGGGGTGACTGTTTCCCATGTGGAGTAAGCGGCACTGGTAGACCATGCGGCGATATGGGATACTATAGTGATCAGTCATCAGCTCGTGGACAATTGTATCTACTCACGAGAGACGAGGAACCATTTTGTGCTCATCAATATCAAATTAAAGTGTACAACAGTCGGAGTGAAAGACCTGCTAGGAGTTATGGGAAGTTACAGATCACCCTTGTCGGTGAAGTTTCTTTCAACGAGACCTTCACCATGACTAAGAAGGATGATGAGGAACTTCTAGTTGGCGCTATTTTGCAGAAGATCGTCGTACCGCATCCTGCTGTTACCAACCTGCACGCTATCGAAGTGAGACCGGATTGAAAGAAACTTTTCAGTTTATTTTAATTCCTTTAAAAAATCGAAAGATTTAATTAAATCCTTTGCTTATCGTTATAGATTAAATACACAGCGTACAGTGGTTGGATATCATCAGGATTAGTGTCCTGGAGCATCGACAAGGTCGTCATCCTGGATAGTTTTGGAAAAGGTTTATCTATATGTAAGAAGGGCCTTATACTTGAATCCGGTCAACCTATATACTTGCCGTTGTATCCTGGGGAGTGTAATATTCCGGTGGAATCATCAGACAGTACAACAGCATCAACAATATTTGAGGCAACAGCTGGTACAACAACTGCTAATAATTCTATAGGTACTACAACCTTTGACAGCAATATGGACAGCACCGCCATTATTGGATTCACGACGACTGAGTTACCGGATACAAGTTTTAAAGAAAAACTAGATGTGGGCATTGGTCCATTTACAAAGGAACAAAATTACGACAGAGACTTCTCTGTGGAGGTCCTCCCCAAGGAAACTAGTGGAGGTGGACAAGGTCTAGGTCCTTTCACGAGAGATCAGAACATTAGAGTCTTCTACGAGGGTGGTCGACCTTCAAAAGAAGAAAGTTCACGTGAGGAGTCAAAGGTCAAGAAGAAAAACAATCGAGAGGAACTACGAGACAAGAAACCACGTATTCCTTTGAATCCTTGGTCAGTTCTCGACCTGGAAGATAGTCAGACAAATTCTTTGGAGAATACGGAAGCGGAAAGCGGTCGTGGATTTTCAGGGACCAATGTAACGCCACGTGGATTCTCATACGGCGAGAATTCAGAGGGTTCTGAGAATTCTCGAAGATTCGACTGGAGTACAGACTTTCCAAGAGAAATTGAGGAGCCAGTGCTCAAGCTACCGAAAAAGGAAAGTGGAAGATCCTTGAGACTTCCGGAAATTACTGAACCAATTCTGCATCCAAGATCAGCTAGGCAGAATACAGGTTTTGGTGGTGTAGGTTTTAGATCTAGCTCGGAGAAGTCTTTTGACCCTGCAGAAACATCCTCCACCAGAGGATTCACTGTTCAATTTCTTCCGGAACGTCTGGCAGGTATTCTGGCCCAGGCGGAAAGGTATGCTAGGCAAACATTACTTCCGCTAATCTCACAGTATACACCTAGCTTCATTGGTGGACAAAGAAGTAATTACGGACCTACGTACTTTCCACCTCTTGGTGACATCGCTGACGAGACCCTAGATGAATCTTCTTCAGTATCCAAAGTTAGTTCTGAGAATCAGTGGATCACTACGACGACCAGTACCACAACTCCCAGTTCGGTTACTCATCAGGAACGAAGTAGCCGCCCATTAGAAAATGCTTCGCGCGAAAGTTCAGAAGTGAAAAATAGACAAGAGACAGAATGGCTCCCAGTGCAAAGTACTGAAACAAAGTCAAATTTAGCCTCCAGTACTGAGAATAGTGAAGAGGTAAAAATAAATAACAGAAATGCTACTTCTCATTATACAGAAACAGAAAATGGACGCAATAAATTACAATCGAAGGACGAGGACATTCGCTCGACAGATGGCACCAGTGACGAATGGTCAGCATCACCACGAACAGAAAGCAGACAGGATCCAGCATCTGAAACTAAACTAAACGATTGGCTTCCTATAATAAATGGACAAAAGTTTCTTACCAAAGATGCGCAGCCAATTCCAAATACAACAGAACCTGAATTCTCTTTAAGTTCGAATACAACTTCTAATTTGACTAGCAACATAGTACAGGAAGATGAAACGATAAAAGAAACTCAAAAGATACAAACAACACCGACAACAAAAATGCCATTAATAAATATCGATCGATACAATAAAAAGGAAAATAACAGCCTGCCACAACGCCAAGAAAGACAATTTATTCCTTTAATCGATTTTGCACAACCTGACAACTTCTTCTCACCATCTTGGCCGAATAAGAGTCAAAGTCCAACATCATCAACAGCGCAAACGAGTACAGAGTCAGAAATAATTTCGCATATCCAAAGAATACCGCGAATCAACAACACAAGGACACGAGCAATGATTTTCCCTTATGCATACGAAAGACAAAAGGATCCACGAACGAGATACATCCCGTTGATCCCCCAGGAAGACATGGGAAAAACAAAGTTGTCCCTAGCCGAGAGAGAATCATAGATCCTGATACTAAGCGTCAGGCTAATCATCAAGACTCTGTCTAATATACTAATTTAGTAGTGAGACTTAGGACTTCCAGGATCTAAATATGGATCTCGTTGTGAGACCAGCACGAATAACATCGTGCATCCGTCTGTAAATATTGAACGTTTTGTATTAATGGCGATGGTTTCACGAATAAAGAAAACCTTTTCAGTTTCAATAAAAATTGGGAGCCCTCGACTTTATTACTCTTGTATATAGGAGTCTTTACAATATAATATAGCTTCACTGAAATTCTCTTTTACGTTTATTCATAACTATTACCGGCTATTATTTATCGTTCGCCTTTATTGTTATCATCACCCGTCATAATTATCATCGTTATTTCATCCTCATTGTCGCTTCCTTTTTTCGTTATATTCGTTAATCGAGAACAGCGCATCGTTCGCCATCAAGGACCTAATACGTTGTCCGATTTTTTCATATATATATATATATGTATATATATATATCATCGGCGACGCCATCTCCAATGGAAGTCACCCTGAGGTTTCGTATCTTCATAGAAATATTTACAACCAACCACGTGTAAGGTGTGATACGTTTAACCCTTGTCCCACTTCCGACCATCACCATTTCTGATCTCACGACGCTTTCAATAGGCGTCTACTAAAGTGTCGCGACGGCATTGCTATTGGTATTACCATTATGAAAAAAAAAAGAAACAATTATCCCTCCTCGTTACAAGTCAAACATGGAAGAGACCATTTTTTTTTATTTGTTTCACTTAGTTCAAAACTCGTCCTCATCTTTTTTCATATTCTCTTTCATACACGCACATACCACTGCACGCACGCAAAATTCATTTTCTTTTAAATACACATTATGTATAGTTACACTATAACGTAAATATAATATAATATAACAGAATAGAATGAAATGTATTACGATACAATACAACGTAATGTAATATGTCTGTTTTTATACATGAAATAAATAATTTAAGGTAAAATGCGGCTGCCAACCTAATTTTGCGTGTTAACTATGATTTGTGTTTATGCACGTGTACGTGTGTCCGTTGCTTTAACAGCAATTAAGGAAAAAAAAAAGGGTGCGGCCGGTAGATATGCCTACTTTCTGATATGTTCTTATAAATTATTATAATTGCAAAATTGCTCGTAATTTTTACCACGATAATACCAGTGGACCAGAACCCGTGGTGTAATACATTCGTCGTTTTGCATCAGTCCCGTTTTCAGGTAGGGTCTCTCTCTTATATGATTTGACAGTATAAGACAGTCTTCTGGTGTTACGCAACTGATGCTATTGGACGGTGATCAAAGTATAATGATTAAAAATTAGATGGAGATGAAAGATGAACAACAAGCAACGTTCATGGTGAAGGAAAAGGATTTTTTGCTTTAAATTTTCCCGCTTATTTCACTCATAATTAACAAACACGCAGTCTTATTATACGAAGCTCTCATTTGGAGCTAAGTTGATTAGGAGAATTATAATTGAATAGAATTTATTCGTGGAAAAATTACGTAAACGCAACGACTTCGGGTAAATTCAAAAATTGACTATCAGTACCTACGAGTATCGTTGTCTTCCTGTTAATCTGCATGCAGTTACAGTGAGACACAACCATGCTGATAGTATAGACAGTGTATTTCGGAAAATACCCTTAAATTTACAATTAATACCGAAGTGACCTCATTTTTTCAATCGAGGTAGAGGTCCTTACGTTATATCCGGTGTGCATGCACTAATACTCTTTATTTTTTGAAATATTTCCGTGGCGCATCACTCGCAGTACTCTTTTTTCTTCGAAAATATTTAAACCGTCCAGAGAAGATCGTTAAACCCTGCAGAAAAAGAGCAATATAAAAAGATGGCGCCCGGAGGCTAAGAGAATTTCTTTTACTACGTAACGTTGAAAAAAATAACTGCTTCTCCATTTTTACAAAGCTTACACGCGGTACTTTCTTTTTTTGACTTCATACAGTTCTCAGTGCATAGCACTGTACTATTTGTAAAATTTAACTTTTTACTTTGTTTTTACTCTGCTCTTTTTAGCTCTCTATGGACATACAAAATATAAGGCCGCCTCATTTAATACACTGACTAGATCAGTTTCATATAATATGTGCCCTGCCTGTACCTCCGATCCTCGCTGCACGTTACGATTATAATTATATCAACAAAAATATCGAGGATTTTCTTTGCGGACTTATTTACCAACAAAATATACTATGTATCTACGGTAGTTTTCATTTTATAAAGTATACACGTAGATGTCGCCCCACTACGCGCATGCGCATGACGCGAGTTTACGCACTTCATAATTTACAATTCAATTAAATCAACAGCATTCGGCACTGGATGAGGACGAAGATTTTCCTCGTGTGGCAAGAAGAAGTCGACCTTCTTGACCACAGTGACCTGATAGTTAAATGTTTATAATATAGGCCCTGCTTCTGTCATCTCAGTTAACAGTTACTCAAAGGTGTCTCGTAATAGTCCCGTTTCCGTAGAACGAAGGATGACTTTTAACTCCTTGGAAGTTTTTGACGTCACGGTTGGCTTAATCCTATGATGACTTTCTTAAAAAGTTATGAGAAATGATGCCGTCGACACTCGGACATTTGACACGATCCTTAAGGCGCAAGGGGAACTTTAATTAAGCGGGACGGAAGTACTCCTGTTGTTCCCTCACTGCGATTTCTGCGTTTTAGTATCTCAGCGAAGGGTGGATGTGGATGGGTAGAGGTAGACGACGAAGTGAGTACAGGACTTAAGGTGATAAAGGAAGACGGGTTGATCGCCATAACGTGGTGGACTCGGAGGCTTGGGCTGCGAGATCTTGTGGCATCGGCAGGACGTCGTGAATCTTGAATTTTGAATTGGACATCCTGAACCACGTATCTAGGACGGAGTTGGCTGGTTATATTAGGAACTGCAAAATACCGCCAGAGACCAGTGACCACTAGTGAAAATAGGAAGAACTGACCAAATGGAAGACTGCCATTTCTCATCCTCTCTTTCTGGGAGCAGCACTATCACGAGCACTAGCACCATAATCAGTAGCATCGTCAGTGCCACGACTCTTACCATCACCAGCACTAATAACATTATCACCGTTGCCAAGATTGTTAATAGGAACACCAGCGCCATCAGCATACACATTTTCAACACTGGAAGCCTCGATAAGCCTGTGTGATACTGATGCTGTGGTGCAACAGATAAAGCTTGATCATTTCTTGTCGAAAAGGGGTAATTTACTTCGCACAGCGCCATCGCAGACGACGAGTCGTTGAGCTGCGGAGATGTTGCAGAGAGGTACAGTGCCTTCTAGGTTCGCCCTGAGAAGAGCTATTCTACTGGGGCCACCGGATGTAGCGGATTCTAGGGTAGATTCTCCAAGCCGAAGACTTCCTACTGTTGCCTGTTTTCTCTCAAAGTATTCGACAATCTTGGATATAGTTTTACTGGAAGAGCCAATCCCACCGATGGCACTGATTCCCCCGATTCCACCGATCCCTCCAATTCCGCCAATGCCACCGATTCCTCCAAATCTTTCCTCCCAGCAGCAGGAGTCACCACCACCGAGACTGGCTATATCCTCAGAGGAATCGGTATAGATTGAGCTGGTCCTGTGATCGTCCAAAAGGAACAGGCTACTTGCAGCGGAACTACTAAGTGTTGAAGTATGTCGACGATTCGGTGGTTCCGGACTGAGGTCTTCACCGACGCAACTCCAAAAGCCTGATTCACAGCTTCCCCGACGTCTAGGTTCCCAACCTTCTCGAAAGAGCGGATGACCGAATAGGCTTGCAGCTGCACCGACCTTTGTTGCTGCCACCTATCGACAGAAGGATGAAGGTGAGAGGTGTCATCTTTCACTCATCTGAGTTTATCTCGAACAGGAAAAGAGGGAAGCACTAGTACTTACCTTCCTCTCCCACTTTTTACGCGCAGTCGGACTGCTAGGTTCGCTACTAGGCTTTTTCCGGTTGAGGATCTTCGCTATGCTGTCATTTTGAGCTGGTTTAAATTTTGATGAGGTCAAGGTTCCTCCATCGGTTACAATAGGTCTCACGTCCTCGAGGGACGGCAGTTCCAAACAGCTCGAGAAGAGGTCACCGAGGATCTTCTTGACACCGCCCAGAGCGTGGAAGGGATTTGCTGTCATCGGCCGATAGTGCGGATCTCGTCTACTGGCAAGTTCCGCTACTCTCCTTGCCGAGTGACATCGTGCCTTCTCCGAAGGACTGGCATTCTCCGGACACCCACCGATGGTAGTGGCGATTCCAGCACCAACACCAATCGTGAGACCTTCGTACTCTCCTCCACTGCCGCTACTGTACCCACCAGCAATTGAGCCATCGGGGATGCTGGTACCAACACCGACGCCCCTAGCATCCGCTGAGTGACTACGCTGCCTCGCAGCTGCTCTACGTCTATGTGTTCTTGATCCTTCTCTGACAGCGATCAAATCGTCACTATCATTCAGTCTCTTTGACAGCAGGCTCGAAGCAACAGTCAGTCGTTCGTCAGCTTCTACGAGACTGACAGTACATCGATTTCTATTTCTATTTCGCCTTGACTGTGATTCTTCGTCACGGTTATCCGTTTCCTTATCAGTCCTCATCTGGACTCCCTTCTGATTGTCTTCTGTGCTCATCAACAAGTTATCAATCTCCCTGTCCATTCCCTTATCAGCCTGGTACTGTCTCTGGTCCTCTTCTTTACTTTGAACCTCTTGGCCAAGTTCCTGGACATCGTCATCCTCATAACTCTTCACAAGGCTATCAAGGTTTGACAAAATTTCCGGAAAGGTTGGCCGCGACTTAGGTTCATACTGCAACAAGAACGCAGAAGTATGTAATACAACGTGATACAGTTATACTCCTAGTATCAGTATTTATTAAAATAGACTAAGATTATCTTTCACGATTATGTAAGATGGCGCCAATTACCGTGCAGCAGTCAAAGGCGAGTTGAAGAAATGCCGGAGGCGGATCAGCAGCAGCACAAATTTCGGCAACAGCCAAATAATCAAGACCAAAATTATCCGACCGTGGAAGAACGTCAGGATCAGCCGGTACACGACCAATCAATTCACATACAACAATTCCAAAGGAAAAGACATCCGATCGATGATCATACCAATGTCCTTTCAGACATTCCGGCGACATCCAATAAGGACTGCCAACAGTACTCAAACGGTATCCTGAGCTCGGATCAGGAATTTTTGCAGCCAATCCAAAATCCCCAACAACTGCGCTCAATCTTGGATTCGAATCAGAATCCTCACTCTTCTTTATCAGTACATTCTTGGACGTAAGATCACGATGAAAGAGACCTTTACTATGAAGATACACCATTCCCCTCGCCACGTCCCTCGCCAAGTTCATTCGTACCAGGTGAGGCAATGGCGTCTGCCTCGCCATTATCAGCTGTTCCAGACTTCCGCCATTAATATATTCCGTCAGAGCATGAAGCTGACCCTCGTGGACGCAAACTCCCATAAACCTAGAAAAAATAATTAGTAACCCAACATTAAATTTCTACTAGATCAAACGTTCCTCAATATCAAATGTACCGCTTATGTTTATACTCTCATATTAATTAATCATACGATATAGTCTATATATTTCAAAACATTAACTGACTCTGCTATTATCGCTTTTAATTGCCAACTAATTCCCTCCAATTAATTGAATCTAAAACCCTAATACCATTGAGATACTTAAACTAAATTACTCAAGTGGTAATCCGTTTCTTTCTCGATGAAGTGCACGACCTTCACAGCCAAGTATGGTCGTAGCGAAGGTCTCTGACCCACTTGGCCCCATGGACACAAGAAGCAGCTACTCGATGCAACGAATACCAATGCTCACGCAATTGTGTTCATACAATTTATATGATATACAGCAAAATTAAAGATTACACCTATATATAGAATACTGTTAAGAAATTCCACTCTGTAGGTTACGTTACAAGAATTATCCAACACCCTGTATACAGAGCTAACTAGCATTAACTCAGGTAAGCCCAGCTGCTTGGACTCCAGTATTAATCATCTTATCAATGAAATTTATGACATTTCCACAACGACAAACGATTTCAAGTGTAAATGTCGTCGTTCCAGCACAAGATTAGCCTTGTCGGCAACTACGGCAATTCGTTCCTCGTCGCTACTTCCACAAAATGGTGTACAGTATTTTTCTTCGCTCAATCCCTGCTCTTATTTGCTCCGATGAAATTGTCCAGATGAAAGCATAGCGATTCTCAATACAAAATGTTTTTCTAAGTGCTGTCGCAGTTGTTTTAAACGTTCTCCGCCTTTAGATGGAATCAAGAGCTTAGCCATTTTCTGCTCTTTGACAATTGACACGACGACCGTGTGCGCGTTACGTCATCGACGGCGAGTCAGAGGAGATGAGACACGGCGCTATCCTTGGGGTTGAACTGAACAACGTAACATGTGCGTGCACGAGATATGGTATAGGTGTATGGTGCATGTGAATGAACCACATGAGTCCGTGGTCCGAGTGCTAAAATCATATTTACTTCTACCGAACGGCGTCGACTTTATTAAGTAATGTAGAAGGTGTATAACGTATGACTATAATTTATATATATATATATATATATATATATATATATATATATATATATATATATTACCTCAATATGTTTGGATGACTCAGCTTGTTCATAAGTTGAACTTCCTTGAGCATGTTCGGTCTGTTCGCCGCAAGCTGGTTCATTTTTAGGACCATCACCTGGCTCGTAACTTTGTGGGTGACCTGAAAAGAGGAAGAAAAAAAAAGTCAGACTCATCAATAGATGAGGAATATAGCGAACGGCTTCTTAAGAACGAGAGTAAGAAACTACAAAGGAATTTTTCAAAATCGTGAAACCCATTATTGCTGTGCTAAAAACAATGGCACCTTCTAATATATGGCGGAGTATACCGATACCGATCTGCTTATGCTAACAGATTGCCTCGCTATGTGAAAATTGTATGTGAAAACGTAAAGTCCATTCTCACGGGAGAAACTTTGTTAATGAAAGCAGCCTGTGCCATCTGGCGGCTGAAGCATCCTTGAGAAAGTCTCCTTACTTGCTGCAACCCTCGACCCCAGTGAGTATCTATCGCTATGTAGAGGCCATTGTACTTCTTTTTGAATAATAATTTCAGATAGTCTTGGATAAGATAATCTAAACTTTCAAAAGCCAAGTACTCTTTATGTACAAAGCCGCCATTGATTGGAGTATACAAGAGGCGTACGCAGTATCGTCATCTGGTATAAATTTGCTGCCAAAAATAATGAACGTCCTACGCTTGTTTCTTTCGCTGGAAAAATCTGAAAATGTGACTAATAGAAGAAAAAGAAGTCTTAAAAAATACGGAAAAATACAAAAAAAAAAGAAAGAGCAACCATCGTAAAACGTCCGTCCACAACGGCCAGAATTCCTTGGCAATTCTCGCGCCACTGGGGCCGCAGCCAAAAGGATGACGAATACAGCGAGGCAAAAGCGTTCGTAAACAGAATTGGCCTCGCAAATCCGCAATTTCGCAAAGGTAAACCAGGAGCGTACTCAGGACAGTGGTTTGTATATTCGATCGCTGGAACGAATGTCGCGACGCTTGTTGTACATGGACAATCTAATATCAGAGACGCGGGAACCATTTTGGATGAGAAAATAATTAACTTCAGGTCGATGACGCTTTGCCGTAATTCACAGCTCATTCACTCACATTCTCAGACGTCTTTGTACTTTCTTTTTTTCCCACGAAGTTTTCATTATTACCAGATGCATTAGTTGTACGGGATACGACGCCATCTTGTTTTCTCTTTAAACAAACTACAGAGTCTCTGTAACAAGGCGCTGTTATCGGCTTGAGTAAATTAAAAGAAAAAGTAATTCAATCCGGCTTTTATTACAATGTATATCACCCGATGGTACAGAACAATTACCGACAGTGCTGCCATTGTAATACGCTAGTCAACATATTTCGGTTACGGCTCGACAATTTCGGCTTCACGGGTTAACGAGCTCCGAGCTCGATATCTTTGAGGTGTAATCGAGAAATTTGAAGAAACTTCTACTCCTCGACGGCTTCCTTCCTGCTCGACGTTGAAAAGACGTCGGTCCCTCGCACTTTCTCCATGCTCTCCACGCTCTACGTAATCACGAAAAATAAAATCGTTCCCAGTAATATCCGGTCGTTCGTAAAACTTCCTCGCGCGTTCAATCCGCCATTTGCGGATGCGTCAATGAATACAGCGTATAATTCACAGGCCTCTTTAACACTCAGAGAAGCCATCGTCTGTAAGCTGACAACGAAGATCTAGGCGGATGTGTTGACAACAACAATGGCTGTCGAGCGTCGATAATTCTCTCTATGTAAGAGCGTCAGAAGTAATGAGACTGGCGCTAAACGAATTCCTGAGGGAGAGGGCACGAAAATGCCAGAGCGGACGAGACTCATTAGAGAGTGTTCTCGTACTCCATGGCCATCAGGCGTGACCGGCTTTCTCATTTGTTTCCAACATTCTCATTGCAAGAGGAAATGCCTGCTACTCGTGTTGTCTGAGACGCAAGGTCGTATCGAAGGACTTTCTGACGGAGTCAACATAACCTCCTTCCACTGTCACTGACAAGCATCGACCGAGTCGAAGTTTAACGAAAAACCAAGTTAGTGAAATTGAAATAAGCTCTTTGAAGAATTTCATAACAATTCTCACATTATATTTCGCAACCCCTTTGTACTGGATGCACCCCAAAGATGATGTATGTTTTTTTTTCTTTCCTTTTCTCAGGAGCTACTCTCATCATTGATATTAGTCACTTCTGGGCTGTCAGCATGTCTAACGCGTATTTCCCTACCTCTCTGAAGCTGTTGTGCAACTCTGGATGACTCCCAGGCTACGTTATGCTCGAAATAAAATCTTATTGAGCTCGACCCGTGTAATGGCTATCTTGTGTACTTACCATTGCCTTTATTATCTTCTTGAAACATCCAATAATTGTATCCTCGTTGTGTGCAGTTTTCAAAGTCAAAGACAAGCAAGGGAGGGAAAGAGGACAGGAGGAAGAGAGAGAGAGAGAGAGAGAGAGACCGGTACGAATTGCTTAATGCATGTCACCACTTACGTAAAGAGCTTCCTAACATAATATTCAAAGTTTTCAAAAGCTGCGATAATTGGACAGGGGCAAGGACACTGCGATACTCTGCATTGTTCCATCAAAGAGCGGAGCTTGACATTGCTGATTGTTCAAGGATGATTTTTTTTATCTTGCTTGATACAGCCTCATGAAGGAATGTTTAAATAGACAACCTTGAACTGTTCTAAACTTCTTTCGAATATAATAAATATAATTCTCGCTGTTATTATGCTGATGAAGCACGATGTCAGAACGTCAGCAGTCTGCTGCTTGTCTGCAGCCGTCAAACCATGACGTTATTAAACGTGTCAAAGACACTGTGAATTCCCCTCTTGAATACTGGATGCATCGATAGACCTTGGATTCCACAATGACATGAGCTAGCTCGTAGCAGAAGTTATGGAACATCAAAAATAGATCGGTGCGTATTACCGGTACTTTAATTCCTTTCGAAATAATATAAAACGTTCCTGTGTCAATCGTGTGAAAATTCTTGCAGATATCCTTACAGCTTCGTGATAAGAAATTCGGTGACAGAGAAAGTCGAGATGATGACAGTCAGGAGAGTCATGAATTTCACAGAATGCGACTGGTGTACTTGGTGACTTGCCACCTGATACATATAATAAAAATGAAAATCAAAATTGGCCAATGTATCTAATCACCCTGTTGGCAAGTGTACGCACGGATGCTCGTGTATGGCAAGGCTGCCAAGAATGCCTGACCCCTGGAACCTCTTTGCCCTGGGGACCTCGTGGAAGCCGAGGAACCCAGAAGATACTACCCAGGAGCCCCAACTCGTTCATTCACTGCATTCGTGGCGTGCGTGCTTGTAGTCATACACGTAACCAGTTACGTCAATTGCAGTTGAGATTTTTTTTCCTGAAGAAGATCGACCTATCCTTACAGATGACTAAGTTACTCGAAGAATCTCTCCGCGTTTTGCCACGAATTGGAGGGACTATCTTTAGAGCAGCTAGATCCGCTGGTGAAGATGCGCTTACGAATCTTCCTCGTTGCGCAGCTCAAATCTCAACCGCCATCCTCAATTTCCTCCTGACCTATTTATAACGCGAACGTCTTCGCCGACATACTTGTCAAGGTTCTCAGCACGTCCGCTCACTTCTCCCCGAAGACCTCTTCTGCATCTGTGCAAGGTGCCGCCGTTACCGATGCCATCATAGCGTTAAGACGTGACGACCCACCCTGACCGAGGGACAGTAACGTTGGAAATGCGTAAACGGGACGTTCAACAATCTTTGTAAACAACTCTGACGTTCTATTTTCGCTATTCCTTCTCCTCTTCGCTCATTCCAGCCACTAATTTTAGCCTTTGACAAGATTGTTAACGCGCGAGGTACCTCCCGCTCCTCTTTGCATGCATCTTTTTTATCAGTGAGTCAAGTATGCACAACGTACGTAAGTCAGTCTTCTTGTTCAAATCGAGTACACTGACTAGCCTCCATTACTGGGTGTACAGTAACTTTCATAATTTATTTGAAACCGCAGTCTTGTCATTAATTTGGTAACATTTTTGAAACTTGATATCATTTTACATATTAGTTGATTCGGCTAAGTGTTTCTAATCGGATCGACGACACTTGGCATCATTGGATGTTTTTACCTTCTAGGCATATAACATTATTTAAACCACGCTGGCTCGAAATTGATAAGGCAGAAAAGCCGTCCTTATTACGGGTCGTAATCGCATTGTACTTTCGAGAGAACAGTCAATGTTCGCACGTATGTACGTGTATCGCACAATCGTTATTCGCTAGTATACACGAAGTCCTATCTAATCTTTGACAATGTTATCAATCTACCAGAGGATAAGGTATTCTGTTTGAACTCAGGTATATTCAATTCAGTAAGACGAAAATTTAGCCCTGGTAACCTATAGAATTGCAAGATAAGGGTTGTTTTCAAGGACCATTGTGCACTTTCACTCTTGATCTATATATTTATCTTCGACACCTGTATATCCTGTTTACTTATCAAATTCTGGCCATTGAATTTCTCGGATTCTTATGAGATCATGATTAAAAATCTAAGGTGTGTTTTCAATGATAGTGATCAGGCGGTTATCAGTTAGAAGAGGTTATCAGCCCAGTGTAAAATAAGCAGAGGGATTTCAAGTGGCATCAATATAACATGATGATAAAGAAGAATGTAGATATGGTCAAAGGTTTGGCGAAAAGTAAAATGGATTATGCCAAGGAATAGGATGATGGTAATGGGGAAGAAGATAATATGTCAGAGTTGTACCTTGTAGACTTCAGAGAAGAATCCAGCGCCAATTTTCTCCAGATAGAAGTCGTCGAGGCGATTAAGGGAGGCCACAGCATGCCTTAAGGCTTGACAGGAAGCGCCTGTCCTCCTTCTAGTTGTTGATAAATCCTGGAGCATTGCGTCGCCACTGCAGATGTTGAAATTTCCGGTGCTACCTTCGAGTTCTGTTGGTCGCCACGGGTCGCGGCATTTTTCACGATCCTTGTAGCTCCTAGGAGAAGACTGTAATTCTGTAGGCATATCTTGGGGTTGATACGTCATCGACGACTCCTGATTCTCCCCAGACTTCCCGGACGAATTTTTTGACGGACTTGCCGACGTCGTTTCGCTACATGTCTTTGACTTTCCGCGTGTTGTTTCTCTTTCTACTCCGACATTTCTTTCGCTGCCTTCTATTGGGAAGGACTCACTAGTCCATTCTTGAGTAGTAGTTGACGAAGGTGACATACAGGCAGTGACGGAATTAGTGGCAGAATTTATGACGGTGGGATTGACGGCAGGATTCGTGGCAGAACTTGTCACAAAATTTTGAACAGGTTTATCGTACTGGGATGATCCAGCAGGATGATCTCTAGATGGTGTTGCGAAGGGGATACTTCTAGGAAGGACCCGGTCAGCTACTTTATTGCTGTTAATTAACTCTGTATTTGGCAGGAGCTCTCCATTCGGCGGTGATAGTTTCCTCGAGAGAGACTTCTTCTTAGGTAAGTCTCTAGTACTTGCTGCATCAAAATTTAAGCAGCTGGTACTTGATGACTTTGAGGAACCATTTGTCGTCAAAAGGCTGGGGCAGTTGGGATTTGAGGAACATTTGTGTACATTGGAACTCGATGATATAGAATTCTTCAGACTTATGAATTTCTTTGATTTTGTATTTCCAGAAGAACTCCTGGGGAACGGATTTATTGCCTCGCTCCGACAGGCTCGGTTAATTTCCAAGGGCAAAACATATGGAGAATTACATGTTTGCATATTACATGGTGCTTCGGAAACAATCGATCCATTATCCTTGGATCTCCAAGGCAATTCTTTCCCATCAACTCCTACACCTGAATTGTCCTCTATTGAGAAACATGGTAGACATGTTCCTGAGGGCCTGACATTAGTTTTTGATGTTGAGGTATTTGCAGGTGGTCCTGGAGTATTTGATGGAGGCACTTTGCCAAACATTTTTGGTGTTATTGTAAAGGAGCAATATGAAAAATTTCAAAAGATGTCCTCAGCAGACCCTGCATTACAACTATCATCGAAAGCTCCTCCAACAGTTTCTTATATACAAGTCTCACTTAATTAAAATGCAATGGTATCCATTATTAGTAAGTAACTGCTCATCGTAATATTTTAACCTGACACTTTCATTTACTCCGTTATTGAAAACTAACTAATGGACCATCTCTGTCATTCGAATATATTTTTCAATACACTGTCTGAAATACTCAATGATCACAAATTATTCATAAACCGAATAGAATTACTGTTCTAGTACCCCATTAAAGTCACAATCCTAATAACAAACTAGTACAACGTCTAACATCAAGCACTCAATATAAAAAAAATGTACGTTGTCAGTCCTTCTGAAAGTACAAGTCACTACTGCGACGTTCTATTAAATCCGTGGAATCCTAAGGTCGTAATAAAGCAGTTCGATTTAGAACAAGCGCAACGTAAACTCCTGGCAATACGTGACGATACGAAACAGTCTACAAAACAAAAACCAAAAAGAAGAAATACATAAAACTGTAGACAGTACTTCTGTCACGACAGCAGCATGATTACCAAAACTCCTCCTGTCACTTTTGTTTATCGTCTAATATCTAAATATTATCCACAATACCGGTCGCACTATTCACAGACTCAATATAACGACAACATCACCCACAACATTAATCCTTAGTTAGCACAAAGAGCACAAGGAAAACGTTTAAATTATCTAATTTTATCTCTTCTTTCCACATTGATTTCGTCGCGTAAACATAAGATGATTTCCTTCACATTTCCTAGGATATTTATGCATTCCAAGCAGTATCAATCCTCAGGTTATCCATGCACGTTTTCTTCGTTCTACCGTCGCAACACCAAAGTAAGTCGTACGGACTAAATTCTTCTAATGGAAGTACAAGAACCTGGAAGATTCTTTCGCGCAATAATCAACGGGACCGAATCAACGACAACGCCAGATGGCGGCCATTACACAAGTGAAGAGTTCTCTGGCGCGCGCCCTCATCCCACTGAGGAAGAGAGACACACAGTAAACTCTGATAAGGATAGACTATGCGCAACTATACGCAACAATGCCTCAGTTAAAGAAAGATGGAGACTCGATCGTCCTGAATGTCTTTTCTGATGGTTCAGCCACTTCAGAAAATAGTCAAGAGAGATAGGAACAACCGCCATCTCGCGGAAATCACTAATAACAAAATTCCTCTAGTGAAGAATACGATGAAGACATTTCGAACAATTTTGGATTTCCTCTTCCTGTTTCAGGCAGCGACAGGCAGATTCGTCTGAATCCAGTCATCCTATACCTGATTTCTTGAATGTATCGATATTCTATGCAATAAATTTTAATTATTGATAAATATGAATCTGTATAATAGACTATCCTTTTTTCGGTCTTAACTAATTATCTTATACCATATCCTTATTTCTCTTTGGTATGCTGAATAGCTATGGTGAAATTGAATATCACTCTCGTGCTACAAGTGCAAGTGAGAGTCGTTGTCCAGGATAGGCTAATTTATGGGAATTTCTATCCTTGCCATATTATGCTCACGTTGATTCTTCTCAGAAGAATACAGCTTGTTAATTAATCGGGAGGAAAGTGTGAGAATCTTCATATGCATTCAGCCGGCTGCACCTTTCACCGTTTTTTTTTTTCAATTAGTGATTAGTACGCTGTTGGCGCTGTATGCATTATTATGACGTACCAATTCTACGCAGAAAGTTCCTAGAAATGTTGCGAGAGTTACATTACCTTTGTTATGTTATGTTGTCGTACTGTCTTTATAACTTGGATTTTCACAATGTGCACGTGAATATTTCAAAAGAGTGTCACTCGTAATTGTTTTCTTCGATTAACATCCTCGTTTCTCTACGTGAATCTACTTGACTTCTTCTAACAAAAGGCAGTCGACATGGCAAAATTTTGTCTGAGTAAGAATTGTATTTGAATCGTCATAATTTTTAGACATCGTTTTACTTTATTAGTTATAGGTTATGTTTATGCGCTGCACCATGTTCCTTGATATTTATTAACTTCTGGATGGAAATTATCCATGTAGTTTTACAGAAATAATACTGTAACGTTTTTGTGATATATTACTAAATGTAGTTTCTGTTATTGAATAACTAATACATACTCAAATGTTATAGAACATATTATGTGAACTGTGTTTTGAGAGAAGCAATGTAATGAAATTGTGTAAATAAGATCTGGTATTATTGTTTTAGAAAAAACTAGCAAACGCATGCCTGCGCGAACAAGGTACAAGATTGAGAAGAAGGTTCGTGAGCATAATCGTAAAATGAAAAAGGAGGCAAAGAAACATCCAAAAAGTAAGGAGTAGTTAGATTCCCATGTATTTCCTCAAAGTAATTACTTGTTTTCCTTGCATCTTTATAGAAAAATCAAAGCAGGTAATACAAGTACCGAATCAATGTCCATTCAAAGAGGATATACTAAAGGAAGTGGAAGCTATGAGAAAACAGCATGAAGAGGAAAAGCAAAAGTTACGGGAAGTAGCGCGGGAAGAAAAGCGACAGAAACTAGCTGGTGGCTTGGAAGGTCTTGTTTCACAAGCACAAACAAAACAGAATCTTCATACTCGTGACTCTTCTACATCGGAGACTAACAATGTCGATAATTCAAAAAAACAAGCTGGGCAACAGGAAAACTCTTTAAAAGCCTACTATAAGGAATTCAAAAAAGTATTAGATGCGGCTGATGTCATACTTGAAATTGTCGATGCTCGAGATCCTCTGGGCACAAGATGCAAGCAGGTGACATAAATAAAAATAAATACAGATAATTATACTGAAGTTCTAAATAAGTAAAACGATACACTTTGTGGTACAGGTCGAGGAAGCTGTTCGATCAGCTGGTGGTAACAAAAGGTTGGTAATTGTATTGAATAAAGCTGATCTAGTACCAAGAGAGAATTTGGATCAATGGCTCAAGTATTTACGTGCAAGTGTACCAGCTGTGGCACTGAAGTCATCTACACAGAATCAGACGAAGAGACTAGGTAATCGGAAGCTGGCTAAGAAAAAGGAAGATCTTATACAAGGTGGCACATCCTTTGGTGCTGAATTAATACTCTCTCTTTTGGGTAACTACTGTAGAAACAGTGGAACAGTCAAGAGTAGTATAACAGTAGGTGTAGTTGGTCTTCCTAATGTTGGGAAGTCAAGTGTTATTAATTCTTTAAAAAGAAGTAAAGCGTGCAATGTTGGTAACACACCAGGTAATGCATTGATTTATATATGAAACATTATATCGCATATCTGCAAGATTTTCTTAATATTTTTTTTTTTCAGGAGTCACAAAGACAATGCAGCCAGTTCAGTTAGACTCAAAAATAAAACTTTTGGACTCGCCAGGAATTGTATTCGCGGGTAAAAAGTCTGCTGATAATGTAGAGGAAGATGACTCCTCCATTGCTCTTAAAAATGCTGTAAGGATACAGTCACTTAGGGATCCTTATGGACCTGCAACTGCCATTTTAAGGCGTGTGTCTAAGCAGCAAATAATGGAGCTCTACGACATGCACGAATTCTTAACCCCAGAGGAATTTTTTGCCAAAAAAGCTGCCAGGATGGGAAAATTCAAAAAGGGAGGAGTACCAGATGCACTAGCTGCAGCGCGTAGTCTCCTCGAAGACTGGAGTTCTGGAAAAATAAGGTTTTTGCTGATTATTTATTTTTTAATTAAAATATTTCACTTATTGCTTATCCACACTTTTTCTTGTAATAGGTACTACACGGTACCACCGGAACAACCAATGTCGCAACTATCGGCCGAAATTGTCTCCACCATGGCTAAAGAATTCGATATAGAGAGTTTTGCTGCTGAAGAAAAAATGGTACTGGATAGTGTTGCTGCTGCGAGCGTTGCGGCATCTGATCCTGATTTTCCAACTCCGGACCCAATTATTCTCGAGAGTTCTGGTCCGGTAGATTCAGCAATGGAAGTTGAGGATAAGGCAGCGGTACGATGATTCTATATTACCTTTGTTAGGATGGTATCCTACTGTACTGTTTTTAATGACTTCAATGCAATTTGATTGTATGTTTACAGGAATATAAGGTAGCAACTGCAGCAAAAAAGAAAAAAGATAAAAAGCCAGGACAGCAGGTGAATCAGGAGGCGAGAAAGAAGAAGAGTGAACCTCTTTTCGAAATTGAAGGAAATCAGAAATTGAATAAATTAAACAAATTGCAATTTAAGAAACAGAAAAAGGAACGAGTTAGACGGGGTCAGTGATATTATACATATACAAAAGCAACAATATTTATAACAAACCTATTAGACTTTTAACGTAAATAATATTTTTTACTTTAGAGAAAGAAGCCACAAAATTGGCGGGACAACTCGAAGGATTCAATTTGGCATCAGAAGATTATGACTTCACAACTGATTTCACGCCTAAATAAAATATAATGACAGGTGTATATACAATAATAAAATATGAAAAAAAGAGAATAATAATCGTCAATTAATATTTACAAATTCCTATTCCACACTTTAGCTATATAAAAATTACTTTACTAGTGCTTCAGTTTCAAAGCAACAAACAAGTATCCAATGACAATAATATATAATATGTCTGACTAAGATTCCATGCGACAATAAAAATAGTTCTTACAGAGTCTCGGGAAAGATCGGCGTAGTTCGGTTAGCCTTAGCCAATACGAAGCGACACGAAGAACGCAGCGCGTAAACTATTTTTTTCTTTAAGCCGGGGAGCCTATCCGGTTAGAATCACATGTGTACGAAGGCAAGAGAAAGAGAAAGAAAATATCGGTGGAAAGAAGATAGAAAATCAAGAATAATTATCGTTCTACCAGAGAGAGAGTTGAGTTTCCAACAGTCACCTTATCTTGTACCAATAAGAAAATAAAATCTGCCACTTGCCATAATATTGTGATAATTGTTTATATGTAATAAATATAGTGTCCAAAAGAGATTTTACGTAGTGGATTCTGATATTTTCTCCTTCCATCACTTTATACGTTATAATCCAGTAAGTAACCTCAAGCCATAATTAATGTAGAAAATCATTCGAAGACAAATCAAGCCGTTCGGAATTTATTCTTCTATTCGATTCTTTTTAACGTGATGCTTGTATGAAGATCCTACAGCATCTGTTATCTGGATCATGGCTACAATCATACTGCGTTCAATAAACGCTGCATTGACCGCGAGACAAGCTAAAGGTCTCATAAGCCGATCCTCTACTGTACTCGTAGAATCGTCCAAGAATTATCAGAAGGGTGCTGCATTGTGCCAGCAGAGATTCCACTCAGCATCTAACAATACCAGGATCATATCAATTAATGGGACTTGGACTTTCTTAAGGAACTGGAGCACAGCATCCACTGGTATTAAGCTAATTAATTTCTTGGATGATAATTATTAAATATTAAACAAAGGTAGAGGTAATGCAACAACATTAATGTTTGAATATTGCATGTCATAAGATTAACTTATATAAACATACATGAATACTATTTTTTAAATATAAATGTCAATCTAATGATTGATAATAGTCTTTCGGAAATTATCGCATTCATCCGATATATTTCAAATCGGTATAGAGAGTGAGAGATCAGATAATTTTTCACTGTCATGGAAACGTCCTCCGGGTCCACCTAAGGTATGGAAGCGTATTGAGAGTGCGACGGAAAGTCGAATTAAAACAAAAGATGAAAAACCTTTAAAATTCACTGTCGAGGAAGTCCCCGTTGAACGGGTCGAGGATGCTGTTGACCTTATGGCTAATTATTTTATACCGGATGAAGTCATCTGCAACAGCCTTAGTAAGTCGAATTGCACTATCAGGTATCTCTAGCTTATATGCTTACAAAATATTGTACTATAAAATTAAATTAAAAAATTAATTTCTTGCTACAGAGATAAAGGATGATCCTTTGGCCGTGCAAGACTGTCGAGACCTTTGGAGACTCGCCCTAAGACAAGGGATCTCCGTAGCGGTTTTCCTCGAGGATTCCAGTGTGGAATTACGCGAGATAGCAGCAGTGAACGTAATCTTCGTGATGACACCAGAGGACGAGAAAAAACTGAAGAATTACAAAGTGCAGTCATTACCCGTATACATATTCTATAAGGTTTTTGTGAATCGCCCACATGTGAATAAGGATTGGGCATTTCCATTTTTTTGTAGCTTAAATCAAAACGTACCAAACCGGTGCTGGAGTATGTTTTTAGTGTAACTGATAAAATTAACGTGATGAAACACTATGGGGTCGACAAGTTCATGGCTGGTTTTGGGATGACAGTTAATCCACGTTTTCGAGGTCATTCACTTGGTGGATATCTCCTTGGATCTAGGTAAATATTAAACAGTAGGATTAACGCTGATTCTCTTTATTACTAGAATATTATATAAATTTCATATTAAATTAATGGCAATATGCTCACAGGAATGAGATTGGTAGAGAATACAATCTTCGTGCGACCGAAACATCCTTCACGGGTCCAGCTTCTCAGACTCTGGCTCTGCGTAGTGGATTCGAAATTTTATGGCAGAAAAAGTATTCTGAATTATATGACGAGAATGGAAAACCTTTATTTCCAGACGTAAAGATCGAATATTGCACAATGATGGGAAAACGGCTTGACTGAATGACTTGTAGCTATTTTTCATCAAGTATATTATATTATTTTCATTAAAATTATGATAATCAAATTTCTTCAGAACGGACATCGTATAACATTTTATTTTATCATCTCCATTGATTTATTTCTCTACGACAAAGGTGCAATATCATATTGAACTAGAATAATACTTGATATTTCAGGGATCAAAGCCATTACAGGAAATCTAAGAAAGAAAAAAGGGAATATATGACTAAGATGTTTTACTCGTACGAAATACTAGTACGACTAATGTATAGATCGATAAAAACATAAAATTATTACACCCTCCATTATCTACCGTTCATACGTATATTCAATGTAAGATAAATATATCCTAGTTCTTCTTGGTAGCCAATAACAGTCCCGTACGAATTTTCTTCGTCGATAAAACTCAATGCTGGTAAAAAGTTCGACTTGGTAGTAGTGATGGCGACAAGCACGACGACAATGACGAGAATATAAAGACTTTCAGAGCAAAAAGGTCAGGCGATCCCTTTAATGACTGTCGAAAGCTACAAGCCTGCGCATTTGCGCATGCGCAACAATTTCTATAATTAGTCATTGAATTCCTTTTGATTTCTACAAAAATTTAATTCTTGTATCTTGAAATATTGTTCGAGTCAAGTCTTCGTTCAAATGACAGAAAAAAGAATAAAACATTAGAAGGAAAAGATATCAAATAAATATAGTTTAGATATACGTTTGATTATTTGAATATCCTAAAAAAAGTCCGTTCGACTTTGGTCAAAACAGCAACTAAACACGCGATGGTCTGTGACTTCCGGTATTGAATAGATCCTTCTCCTACAGGCAGCAACTGTCTCGCTTTATTATATCCCCTTTCATAGTTTTTTCAAGGCTCCAGTTCTTCGTCGGAAGTTAAAGAGAACTATGGTAGATAGTAAAAGGATGCCAAGTGCGAGTCACCACAACGATTTTCTTTTTTTGCCATTTGACTTTGTATTCTCGGTATATTTATCGCTTTAAGAGACATTCGCATTGACAAGTTTTGATCTTCCTTGTCAAATGCCAATAGAAAGTCATATAATAATACCATAAAATGGAGTTTTAGGTTATTTATCTGATCCCATTAAATCTTCAGGCTCATTTCTCACGTTATGGGATATATACTATATGTATATGTATCTTTTCATTCCTCTATCCCTATTTCTTACTTTTATATTTCCTCGATATATGTACTTATCGCGATGTAGGCAGCAAATTACCTACCGTGAAAGAAGACTCTTTTAATATTTTACGACAAACCCAATCGTTCGTATAGAATTTTTCGATCTTGATAATGAATTAATATCCTATTAAAACGTTTTTATAAATAGTTCAGTTAATATAATCACCAATGAGGATCACTGTCACGAACATTCGACCGAGGATCATCAGTATACATATAGAGATACCGAAGAGATAGTAGTGGCCATTCCGAAGGATCAGACCTGAAAGACATTTTCCCCTTCTTTTTAGTCGCATTTCTATGTAACACCTTTTTACCCTCTAGTTCATTGGCGACGAGAAAATTGAATTCGTTGAAAACAAAAAAAAAAAGAGGCAGAGAAGTTCTACCAAGAAATTTACTTCTAGACCGCCATTGTGAGGGAATCTTGAATTCAAAATGAATTTATGGCACAGATTTTCAAAACAATCCGTACGATCGTTGCCTTCGATTCGTATTGCTGTCTTTTCCAATAGTGATACGATATATGTAAGTATTATGCATGCATGCGTAGTTTTAAAAAAAAATGTGAACAATTCCAAAGCAGACGAAATTTACAATGGCATTGAAAAAAAGGTACGAGGTTTTTTCCTCAATAAAATTGGGCTATCGCACGCGATATGACGTCGTCACCTAATATACATACATATGTACATATATTACTTACCTACTCAAAAATGGCTTTATCTAAATAAACCATATCCTTGTATACGTAAATTTCCTGTTTTCAAAGGTACAATATGGTAAGAGCAGGTGTATTATCATTTTCCTGAACAGACTTTAAAAGTAAATATAAATCATAAAAGCTAATTTCATTTAAGGTTAGAAAAATGGTCAACCTTAAAATACTCGAGGCTTAAGTTCATTCTTGCTAAGAAAAAGAAGTTCTTCTTAAAGAAGATGAACTTCCTGAGACTAGATGATCCAAGAGTTGGGATTAGGAACCATTTATAAAATGAAGGATGAAGCCTTGTCTGAATAAGGGAGATATCTTCTGCTAGAGTAGGGCGTCGGACCATGCGTACCGATGTCTGATGACTCGACGACGTCGCGATGCTTCCGATGCTGGTACTACTGTTACTCATGGCGACGGTGGTGGTGGCGACGCCGATAGTGGAGGCAGTAGCGCCTATCATAGGGTTACCTTCGGTCAGAAAATCGTGAACTGCGAAGCGCGCGCGTCCTTTACTCCGTCAGTGGTATAGCCGGGCATCGTATCGCAAGTGTCTTTTCTTTATTTTGTTTAATACAGATTAATTGCACCTTACGAAATTTCTTTTTCCAATTAGTTTCAGAATAGTTATTTATATTTATTCGAAGGAACATATCAGGATATATTTGGAACTTTTTCTATGTTTTTTTAAATTATATTTTCAATCAAGATTTTTACCCCTGCTACCATTTCAGCGATTTTTAATCTTCCTTTTTTGCTGCCTTGTAATACAATTTTATCTTGCTTATCACCGCATAAATTTTATGTATTAATATTTAACGCTTTTTAACGAGTTATAATGTCTGATGTCACTTATCATTCATTGTGATTCTTCGTAGATGATATGTCTTTGAATTCTAAATCAATCCAGAACAGTGAGATTAATTTCCAGGGCACGTAGTCAAATTCGGGATCTTCAGTGCCGTGACATCAAAGAGAGGGGTAGGTTCAAGTGACTTCAAAGAAACGTATTTTCGACGATCTTGGTCAAAAGATCAGTTTACACTGTGCAGCAATGGAATCAGGGGAAAGATAACAAGGATACATTTATAAAGTAAGTAGATGACTGTTTTAAATATTAATTTCGAAAATTTAAGAAAATATCGTTATAGATCAGATAAATTATCGTTAGACAAGACATTTCGATGGGACGAGTGAATGTTATGTACTATTAGGTTAAATTAAATTTCACTCATTAAGTTTCCTCGTTAACAGGAAAATTCGTGCGATCATTACGAATAAGGGTGGTCGGAGTTACGTCAATGGGAAATCCGTTAATTAAAATGTATAACCCCATAAGTCTCAGTCGGGGTGCTAATATCAAAGAAAAATTCTTTATAAAAATTGTCACGTAGTATAAATACAAAAGACAAGAATTTGCTAAGATATGTCAATGAATTGGCGTAAGCGAAGAATAAATAATGAAAAGGGGTTAACTATGGGAGGAAATGGCAAAGCTTTCTCACGTGGTACCTATTTACAAGGACACTCGCCTGGGGCGGAAGTAATTGTCGATTCCCACCAGTTCAATAGGAAATGAACTTTAGTGTGTTTCAACGATTGTCAAGCCATTGATTAAAAGCTTGGTCGGGTGGTCGGGTGCAACGGTGGTCTTTTTTGATTCTATCGACAATGACATAAACGACACAAAGAACGAATAAGAATCGATAAAGATTCTAAGAAAATTGAATTGCCCGGGATTTTCTTAGCGTGCGATTTAAAGGGTTGCATACATAACTTCAGACGTTAGAAGGAGCGAAAAATATGGGACGATAACTATTAATTTGAACTAGTTTACATTGAGTGCGAGACTGGTAGACTGAGAGCAGCGGCAATCCCTAAGATTTTCTATAGAATTTGATGGGGTTGCTGTTTTTCCTTTTCGGGGTTGCTGCTAGTTCCTGCAAGATAACCCCGATGGAATCGTAAAGCTTTCCCAACCACAGCAGAATCTACAGAGCTCACTACTCTATATATCCGCCCTGTACATCCCTTCGTTTCACCCTCCCACTGCCTCTATCTCTTTGCCCCCTCATCCCGAACATAGACTTCTTTATGCGAAAACTTACCGAACAAATCTACGCTTGCGAACATTTCAAGAAAGCGAAAAGACCACTCTTCTAAACGAATGCTTGAATTACTATGAGCTAAACGATGGAGTTATTGCCTTTGTGGAAGTTTATCATAATCTCTTACTAGGAGACAAATTTCACTGGTATACCAAATCTTCCTCTCAAAACCGCATTCCTTTTTGTAACATCTCTAAGCTGTTATTTTCGTATAATTTCTGGTTGCCGACCGCTAATCGGCGCAGACAAAGTCCTTGATTTTTTGTATAACACATCTCGAACGTACAATTATACGGTAATAAAAGATTTATGTCGAAGTCTTATAATTTTACTTATCGATTTGTATATAAAATTCACTTTTGTCATCGTGCCTACCATAAGAACTCATGTCTGAGGGATAAATTTTGCAATACATGTTTTTTTAAAGACAGTATAGACAAAATTGTAAAAGGTTCAGGACAATGCTTAAGATGTCAAAAAACCGTGGGTAAAGTTTTCAAATTTACGTTATATCTTTTACATTTTTCATGAACTTCCATTAGTTATATAACCTATAGAAACATAGTCATACCCATGAAAACGTCTCTAAAATTGAACTTTGACCTTTGCATCCCTCACCATTCGATTCCATAACTGATTCAACTAAAGTCACCAACTTTTCAATGTAATTTAGCAGCAATCACTCACGTCCCTCTTATTCTGTCCCATTGATACTGACCCTAATTCTCCTTTCAGATTACACTGGAAGAGTTCGTCATCTATCAAAGTAAAGGTCCCCGCGAAGGCATCTTCAAGAATTACAAGCCAGGAGGTCATCTTAAACTGCCAATAAGAAAAATATTACGAAAATGTTCATAGCTGTGTCACTGATTGAAAAACCACAAGCGGCTAACTTATAAAGACTATATTTGAGAGTAGAGGTCAAGCGAAGGTCAGGTCAAGGTCAAGGAGGAAGAAAAGAAAAAAAAAGTGCGGCGATGAGTGTTTCGTTCGAGAAATATATGAAGAGTGAGAGCACAGCTCGTGATAGGTATAGGAAAAATGGTAACTTTGTCGTATGAGATCTACCTCGATAATGCGATTTACCATTTTTTTTATACCAGAAATGATCTGCATTTTGATTGACACATGCATCGTACTTGGAATACAAGGTTCAAGAAAAACTCGAAATTTCGAGACACCTAGCACTAGAGTTTTAAGCCATTACAGCTCCACGAGCTTAGCACTGGAAGTATTTAAAAAATGTGCGTTAAATATCAATTTACAATTTCTTCCACCGCTGGGCATGCTGTGCTGTTGGTAATGGCTATGCTAGGTTGAGATAGCTTAGAACTACAATACTAGATGCTTGAGCGCTTCGTTTTTTTAAGCCTCGATTTGCAAGTATGTAACACGTGTTAGTCTGAATAGAGTATAGAGTTACTGGTATATGAAAAATAGTAGACCCGCATTATTGGGGTAAAACGCATATACCGGCAAAGCCTGGTAGAGCACATACGACAATGTTAGCAAAATAATGAAGATGGAGGACGATCTTCAGGTGTTGATCTTGCGGAGAGTCCTCTTGGCGTCATGGAGCTCGAGGATGTCCTAGAAGATGTTGTCAATGTAGGAGCCAATAGAATATCAGGATTAAAAACGCAAGTAGGACGAAATATCAGCGAACACTTCGAACCTCTTAGTAGCGACAGCGTTTTTTCCCTCGCTGCGGGAAACGTCGCCGGAAGTGGTGTCAGTGCCGGTAGTGTTGTTAGTGTCGGTGCTCCTGGCGATGCAGGTTCTTCTGGTGATAGTGATGACGGCTGCGGCGGCGGGGCGGCTTTAAGAAGCGTCGCTGGTGCTGCTGCGATGCCCGGAAATGGCTCCAGCGGATTCTACCTGGAATCAGGGTACCCAAACGTCACATCGTCAGCTGCGAATGCCTCCAACGAGATAGACTCCTTTTATTTTTATGAGGTAAGTCAATAACTTGTGGATAACTAGAATTACTTGTTGTTTATCTAATTATTTGGTTATAGACGCAGGTCACATTTAATTGCCAATGGCCATAAGTTTTACTGTGGCGAATCTTCTGATAGGGGAAAATGAAGAATACAATGGATAGCAATTGAAGTATACTCATGTATATTAATGCTATGATAACTCTGAAGGATTGGTCTGATATTTGGAAAAAAATTTTAATACAGAGAGATCCACAAGGAAATTCATGACATTCGATAGCGCCAGCTTCTGTATACTTAAACATGAATGCTTCTGTGAGAGATCTGATAGCCCTTGTAAAGAATTGAAAAGACTCGTGTTACAGGTAGAGGCTTACTTTTTCCAAAGAGTTATCGCAGAATATATAGCATATATGTATTATAGATCCGATGGGTATATACTTCCTGGAGAGGGAAATTTCACGTTCAATTACGTTCCTGGTATAATGAGTAGGACGTGTGTCGAATTATGTCATAATGAAAAAACAACTTGATAAGTGAGAGGGATTATTTATAACAAATATTATCCCAGGAGATGATATTCATATAGGGACCGACCACTTGGTGACAAAAAACAATGAGAGATCAACACGTTAACCGGAAGGTAGATGGTACCAGTTAACAGGGTAGGACCGGAAGGGGTTATAGAGGCGAGACAATAAAATAGTCAGAACCTATTAAAACAAGAAGAATCGGTCTCGGGGGCTCTTTTGGGTTCGCCTGAGTAGTCCCTTTGAATGCGCCAAGGGCGCTTTCCGGGGTTGGCAGTTGCCAGTAATATCCTTATTTAGGATGACCCAGAGAATGAAGATGCTGGGAGGATTCCTTGGCATAGGAATACTAATACTATAGTCCATGTATTCAGTATGCAATAGCTGGTTCTTCAGATGGGATGTGATGCTATCAGATGCAGTACAATGTTGTATAGGAAGAAGTCTCTTGGCATCCTTCAAACAGACGTCACCCAATAAAATTTTGATTTGAAAAAGAAAGGAAAAAAATGTCTTTTACTCTAAGAAAGATAATTCTATTTATTCGACTTACTGCTAATGGAAGAGGTGGACCTTTGGTTAAAGTTGCGCAACAACTGTTACGAAGCTAGCAGTACTATCTTCGAGGACGAGGAGAAATGGGCTGAGGGTATGACGATAGGGCTGAAGGCCATGGGCCGAGGGTTCGAGTCTGAATGTAATAAGGGAGACACCAGAAGTGAATGGGTGTAAGAGGAGAAAAGGGAAATATACCTCGAGAGACTTAGAGGAAAGTTTTGAAACATAGAGAACGGAGAAACTGTTACTGAAACTGGCTGTGTGTTTCGGTAGAGAAGTATATACATATAGTTATAACACCTCAGCTTACTCCTTATTTGGCTAGTTATTTGAATGCTGCCGTGCCATTGAATGGTGTTCGCCTTACTCTCGATTAAACTAGAATCTATCGAACGGCCAACTCCAAATCCTCTACAAGTTAGGTTAAGTGGAAACCGAAGGAAATTCTATTACATTTATTTAACTGTTCTGACAGATAAGAAACAATAATTGAAATCGATAAAGAAGCGGCTTTCCATAATTTTTATAACGATTCGTTATTTCCGTCGATAAAGAAGCAACGAAGCATCCACCCTTCTGATAGATATAATACTAGGGATAAGATAAAGGGGGGATTACGGTGATTCCAAGAATATCTCGATATCATGAAATTCCAAGAAAAATGTTACCTACCTCCTAGCATCTTCGAGCAATTTTTCTTCATCCCCTTCTCACTCGCTAAATTTTAACAATTGCTATTGTCTCACGAGGCATCCCTACGATCGTATCATCATTCAAATTTCCCGCGTCAATTTCGATATATCCGAGCGCTACGAAGAACAACTAAAGAACCATGAAGGAAAGAAGATACCGGATATGACCACGGAACAGGAAAAAGGGCTGTTTTTTTTTCGAAGGGTTCCAAGTCGAACGCGGGAAAATCTCGTCGTAGACGTCGCGACGCTCTTGACGCTCTACGCCTTTAACGAGGAAGAAGCCCTTTCGAGGGTGCGATCAAGACGTTTGATTTTCTTTACGACTTCAAACGCTCCTTCTTCCGGATTGAAGTCTACTAGCCACGAAGACAATAGGGTGATTACAGGACCCACTAGCGACGTATAGTAATGTTCATAACCTAACCTCACTTCAATAATAAGTCTTTCTGTTTATTTTCTTCATCCACATAAATAACATAATATTCCACTGCCAAAGTGAACAACTAGACGATTCGTTTTATAAATAAATAACATAACTTCACTTAATCATTTATTACACAATGGCTTTTTTGTATTTTTCCTCTTTCACTTATATATACACAATATCTTTTATCTACTTCTTCTAATTCATATATATCATTCTAACAGGAGTATATTTAAGCCAGTCAACGCAGCGATACGTAACTACCAATTTCTCATGGATAATACTAAGTATGAATATAGCTCATTGAGCTATATACATATATCACAATGCAACTAAAGGCCTAGCACAATGATAAAGGAGCGTGCGTGCTCCCGCGGCCGTTCTAGAAAACGAGAGCTATTCGCTTCTCCAGAGTTTCCCCCAAGCCTCCACACCCATCCCCGTATAAGCACCACGACGCGTTTAGACCACCACTACAGAAACTGTTCCCATCTTGAAAACGGAAGGAAAGCTCTTTGCGACTCCACTCGGTCTTCTATCAACAAACATGCCTTCCCTGTGGTTAGAGGTTATTAATGCTACTGATATATATATTTTTTATGTAAGCTTTATGTATATGTTAAATAATTTATTTTTAGGTTATAATAAAAATTCAAGCTGCGTTATCAGTTTATCGCACGTGCTACTTGCGTGCATCTGATAAACGTGTACACGGGGGAGGAACGATACGGGTGATTTCTCCAGGAATAAACAAACACATGTGGAGGATATATGGTATGCGGGTTTTATCGAAATTCTTAAAACATACGGTGGCACGCTACCAAACTTCTAGATAACGGAGTGACCGTAGTGTTGCTGATAGTGTACGTGGATAGAGGATGGCTTTGTGCCATTTTAAAATGTTAAGTAAATCAAGGATGGCACAGAAACAAGAAAAGGAATATAGGGAGGAACGCTTGAAAGCAATTTCAAAGAAAGAAGAAAAAAAAAGAAAAAATAAAACCTTAAGGGATGAAAGTCCTCTGGGGAAAAAAAATTGTCCACTATCTATGAGAACATTCCAGACATGACTTCTATAGAGAAGGTGGATGTCACGTGAAATTTTTATTTTGAGACAACAAATTTTGAGATCATCCTAGATATTTTGTCCTGGGTGCTGCGAGGTGACTGTAACCTTAATATTTACTGCGACAGTCTTACCATTTCGTGTACGTAGTGGTCGAAGATATCCTGGTGATCGTCCACGTAGCCAGTGCGATGACCTGAAAGATTGGTGCACTCGTATAAAGAAAAATGGATAAAAAAAATTGCAAGAAAAAGAAAGAGAAGTGTTTCGAAGGTAAAAATTACTACTTGGAATTTTTATGTATGATATTTAAGGACGTCAATGAATTTCGACGCCTCGGGAAGATATTTAGAGGTTATACTCGGTGGAGTATGTTCGGCGTTAGAGTACTTCACGCAACGCCTTGGGAAGAATTTCTTTGGTCTTCTTCTCATAATATATCCGAATGCCTCCAAGCGCCAGGACGATACCAACGTCGTAAACTGGGATTCGAGCTTGACTTACTCACTGCTTTTCCACCGAGTATCTACCAGAGTCCTGTGACTGACTCAGTTTAAGCCAAGTATTAACTTCCTGACCCTTTGGCGTTGGCATCCTCATACTCCTCATCCGACCTCGTCCTCTATATCCGGAGTAACTGCACACTTCTCACTATTGTGATTACCTGAGATATTTCTCTTGCAAATAAAGGACGATAAATCCACCTGAAATGATAAATTAGACAAGATCTAATAACTTTCTTGATAAACGTCATAACAATATTTTGCCTTATCAAACTGTATAATCACTCATCCAATATTCAATTAGTCGTACAATCATTTATGTATTCGTAAATTAGTATCGGTAATTTCACATTGAGTGTATCAAGAGATCAACGAAGACAAGGCTTGAAAAGAGCATGTGAGATGCTGAATATTGAAATCAAGATTTTACTGGAATCTCGATAAAGAAGAAGGCGTGGGAATTATTTCAATTGATCTCTTTCTCTCTTTTCTCTTGCTCCCTCTTCAATTTGATAAAATCATCGAAAAAGTACGAGCTCTCTTGAATCGCCTACAGACCATCGATGAGAAGCCAATCTTCTGGAATCCCTAGAAGTCGCTGTGTGGTATAACCGAAGCATCGCTGTGACTTCACCATCCTGACGAATCATAATTTTCAAGTTTATTATATCAGAAATGAGTGCGGCCACATTATTGTTATTTATATATTGAATCGCCACTTATATACCAGAGGGCGAATATTATTTTTCCATCTTTATTTTTCCCACGGTTCACTTTAAACCAACGCAGCATCCCTCGTGACGTCAAAGCACCACAAAAGCCGTTAAACTTTTCTTTCACGCTCCAAACACGTTCCTACAAAAATAATAATTATTACTAGCAATAATGAAAAATCATTTTTATAAAAAATCAGGAGATTCAAGGACAAAGTGAATTACGTAACAGACAAGGACACTATAATAATAATAATAAGAAAGTATACTTAACTCCAAACGTTATCACTGTCACTATCATGGACGTTACCATTAGCATTAGCGTTAGCATTAGCATAACTGCGTGGTAGGGGGTCAATGGACTCCTTACTTAACACAGGGAGCCACAACCCTTGCACTTCTAATACTTAAATAACTTTAAGAATTTATTGCTCTCACGTCCCGGCGAAGAATGTATCTCAGCATAAAAAAATTCAGATACATTTAAAAAAAATATCTGTTGATAAATTCAACAGTACGATTCCGTCACAGCATCTATAGGAATCACCTGTAGAGAATTCCAAAAAAAAGATGTATTCAAGGTAAAACCACTCCACTCCCAAGGGAGGCACCCTAGGTCGTTTGTTTTCTTGGTATGGTATGAGGACTGTCCAGGACACAAAAAAAAAGTTGCGAGGGTCTACTACAGGAATGAATTCACGACGAAGACTGATGTGATTCGACTGTACTGCTGGTCAGCCAATAGGATATGACTCGATAAAAGATAAAACTGTGAACTGACTGTGGATATGATATATATGTATGCATATGTATCTATGTATCTATCTAAATTTAATTTCCAGCAGTGAAATTAACAATAAGTTAAAAATCAAAAATTTCTTAATCTGCAATAAAATCATTGTGATTTCTTTTCACTTATTGTTTCAGACGGAGCAGTTCACTGTACTATGGTTACTGTTCGCTGTAATCGTTGCTGGAAATACAGCCGTCTTGGTCGGTTTGCTATTAGGAAAACGTCGAAAGTCACGTATGGACTTTTTCATTAAACAGCTAGCATTTGCAGGTTCGTATCAAACACTTTGCAGGGATAAGAAGTAATAAGGGAAAAGGAGAAAGAAGAAGTAAAGGAGAATGGGTAGTTGGTGAAGAAAGAGCATTAGGGGAATACGTGTCATTCAGACGTGCGACATTTTTCTCTTCAGTGCAAGTGCATTTCTTTGTACGACATGTACTCATTCTTCTCATCTCTCGTTCACACATATTCTCCTCTTGATCTCCCAAACTCTCTCTCTCTCTCTCCCTTTCTTTTTATATCTTTCTCGCAGTTGATCTTCACGAATCGCGCGTAAATCAGATTACCGGAAAGTGCAAGGCATTGTGCCCTTCCAGAGCGTCTCACTCGTTCGGTGGGTTCGCTATAGAGATGAGAGAAGATTACGGTACGATAAAATGGTGGAGAGGTCGTAGAGGTCAAAAGCTAGGAGGAAGCACGAGATTTCGATGGTTTGCGTGAAAAAGGGATGAGAGGAAGAAAAAAGTGGTATAAAAATACAACAGTTCTTACGTATTTGGCCGACGATGCTGATACTAGTAGACTGAACATTCATATACACTGTATATAAATGTAATGATTCCCACATAGGTCTCGCGGAGTAGACAGTAGTTACCAGCAACAGCATAATGTTTATCTGTAACGTAAATACGTAAACGTTTTTTTAGTGTCAATTCGAAATTGCATCGTCATAACAAAAAAAAAATGTGACGTGTTACATATTTCAATAAGAAATAATAATTTTCGTGTAACTTACGTGTAATTAATGTTTTACGTAAAACGTTATGTATTTGCTGGTAGTTCAATTAATTTGTAGAACAACGCTAGTCAAAATTAAAATTAATTATGGATGAAAAGAGTGATTTCTATGATAATCATTGAAGCTTTTAAAGCCACTGTCTTTCTTGCAACGAGAGATCTTTGGTCTGTATGTTTAACATGTGTTCTTGACAGTTCGTAAACAATGCAATTTTTAAAAACTCACATACCGCCCCGCATACTATTTTCGTTACTAATTGTAAGTATGCATGTACGTGGATTTGCAATGGCAAATTTTTTAAATTTTAACTTATATTTTTTGGATCTTATGGAAAGCTACTAGTGATTTGCTAAGGATGGCATTGTTTGAGATTCTTCGAAAAAATACATTGAGTTCGTGGACTGACTATATAATGGAATGTATTGTTTAATAGCCAATGAAAATCTAATTACAAGCCGTCGGGGCGAAGCTTTGTTAAGTTAAGCGAAGCTGAGTACATTGAAGGCGATTCGCGAAATTCGATACATTATACTGGCCAGTATACGCTAGTGTCAATTTTGTGTACTCGAGAGTGAGCAAAAACTTTATATTATGTATAAAGTTCAATACTAATCGGTTTGACAATTTTACAGCAAAAGTCGATCTTTTGAATTTGTTAAACGTGACGGAAAAATTTCGAAGCATATTAATAGCTTTTGAAAATTTGGATTTACGAGAAAATCATGCAAATGAATTTGCTGAGCTTCTTTTTTCTTGAACGTTTAAAGGGATTTTTGTTATTTTTCATAAAATCTATTAAAACAATATTTGTTGTGTTACTCACGCTGCTTTACTTTTCAGATTTACTCGTGGGTCTTATTTCCGTGCTGACCGACATTGTATGGCGAACTACCGTAACCTGGCATGCTGGTAATGTTGCCTGCAAACTCATAAGATTCATGCAAGTCGTTGTTACATACAGCTCGACCTACGTTCTTGTCGCACTCTCCATTGACAGATACGACGCCATTACTCGACCGATGAACTTTTCCAGAAGTTGTAAGTATTAATGATCCGTTAGATTCAAAGGGATTCCCATTCATACTCAATCAAGGATTATTGATGAGATAGGGTATGTCCGACAATAGATACCGAAATTAAAATATCTTTGTTATTACTTACTACTACGAGCGATCAGTATCCGATCATCAACTGCTTCAGTAGAACACTGCGCTGACAGCAAACGCATTCGATTGGTCAATTGATCGTACTTCTTTCGACTGCTGTAAAATTTGACCAATCAGACGTATTTGTTTCCTCAGCTGATCACATCTACTACAAGTAATTGACGCGAAATTTAAAAATTCTTATGCATTCATATATTTTAAATCCAAGCACATATACTCTGCTTGCATAAATATGCAATATATACGGTTTATGAGTGAATTAAAGCTGATACATCACAATACAACAGGAAATTTGTCTTCTGATTCTATTTAGCAACGGTGTTGGTTAAGAGCGTCGCTTTAAAGTCTGCACGAGAATCCGTCGGTAAATCACAGTTTGGCCAAAACGGCTGTGGGTGGTAATTTAAAAGAAATCTACGGGCGTCCCATGCCCTTTCACCCTTTCACCCCACCCATTGCTGAATGGTGGGCGAAAAAAGGGTGGGTTGGAAAAAGTGAGCTTGGGGGTCGACGGGAAGTTTACAAGGACTGCGAAGGGAGACAGAGTAGGGTACATACAGAGCTTCTCGAGCGCGTCTGTACGCGACGAAAGAAATTATGGCGAGGTCGCGAGGTCGCGAAGTCCTTATACAGGATATGCATAGATGGAGGGATCGTGGTTGAGGGACTTTGGCGGCTCGGGGGTTCGAGGGGCCGCCAGCTTGTCTGGAATCGCGCTTTCACCCTCTCGCATTAGCGTGGCGCGGGAGGACTAGGGGTTGTGTGATGGCTTCGATGCTTTTTGCTGGCTGCGACCGCTCGTAAAAGTCCGACGGAAGAGGATGAAACATTTTTACGCGGCAAAGTCCTCGGATTGGCGACTGGGCGAATGTACGAATCAGCGAGAACCGTAATCCTTTCTTTTTTTTTTTTCTAGTTTTTTGTCACCCATCATACACCGGATACGTATTGAGAATCAGTATGCGGTTTTCTACTATTTGAACCGAGTATCAATTTCATTTCCATATTTTGACCTTGTGATCTGTCGGGTATGGATAGTTTATATCGCACATTTTTTTTTTAATATTCAACGTCAGATTTTTATTTCTTTTTCACGCATTTTATGTTAACCATTGGGGAATGACATGTTCCCTCAACTTGAAATGTCTTTTTCGTTGAAAAACACTTTTTTACTTTTTTTATTTAATTCCAGGGGCACGTGCCAGGGCGCTGGTTGCTTCCGCTTGGGGACTATCCGTGTTATTCAGTGTACCTATAATTTTTCTCTACGAGGAGAAACTCATTCAGGTAAAAATATGATCCTTTCATTTTCTCTCTCGCTTGTCGAACCTTTTCATTTTTGCTGTTGCCCGTGTCCACTTCTTTGTAGCCTACATCATTATTTACTTTATTGCTATCAAACAATGTAAAGCGAGAGAAGGGAGAGTAAGGGATAATGATCAAAGGAAGATGAAAAGACCTGTGATCTTTCTCACCAACCTTAAAATGTTTATACTATTACAATACTGCGCTGTATCGTTATTAATGAAAAATATTAATTACCAGGATACAACACAGTGCTGGATAGATTTGGGCACCCCGACCCAATGGCGGATATACATGAGTTTAGTAAGTTTGACACTCTTCATCGCACCGACTCTCATCATTGGCGGTTGTTACCTGGTGATCGTCGCAACTATCTGGTCTCAGAGTGGAGCTTTAAGACAAGGTCCCACATGTGGGTCATCATCATCGCCAGGTACAGCTGCTGTTGTATCCGTAACAACCGCTACAGCTTCTGCAGCATCCGTAGCAGCAGCGGCCGCTGCTGCTGCTGCCCGGGCGGACACCAGGAGAGCCTCCTCCAGAGGTCTTATTCCACGAGCTAAGATTAAAACAGTCAAAATGACTTTTGTCATTGTCTTCGGTACGGAACCCTACTGTTTTCAATTATTTATAAGCAGTAACTTACCCGACACCCTTTAGAATCATTAACTACCTTACAGTATTCGTGCTCTGCTGGAGCCCGTACATCATTTTCGACCTTCTTCAAGTATACGGCCACATTCCTAAGACCCAGACTAACATCGCCGTAGCCAGTTTCATCCAGAGCTTGGCACCACTCAATTCTGCTGCCAATCCGATCATCTACTGCCTCTTTAGTACGCCCCTCTGCAAGAGCATAAGGTCAGTATTTATAGGTATATGTGTCATATGTTTTAAAGACATAGATATAAATATAAGAAGAGATATGGACAAATACAATTAAATAATTATCACGACTTCTATGCAGTTTGTGATTTTTTAAAATTTGTTCTCACTTTCCACGAGTAGCCACACCTCTGTTACATATTGATATAGAGTGCAGCATCTGTACCACTCATACTACCATAAATCCTCTGACAGTTTCTATCTCATTCTATCTTGGGCTTCACTTATACAGGAACGTCCATGCAATTTCATGGGTTTCTGGATGGTGTCCTGTAAATTCCCATCGGCGCTTCGGCAGTCGTGACACCACTCACCATCCTACCAGGACCACCAGGACTGTCAGAAGTACTAGAACCACCAGGACTACTGTCACCACCTCTCTCATGGCTCACTCTTCCCGTAGAAGTGCTCATATCGCCATGCTGCATCCCACCACCAGAAAACGCGTTATGGTTTCTCTCGTTTAAGATCTCTAGCTGTCTCCCTCTCTCTTCACGTCTCTCCTCTCTTTACTCATTTCCACTCCATTCCCCTTCATGGCTATCATACCCATCTACGATACCGGCCATCTTATCGATTCTCTATGTCCGACCTATTTCTGCGTCGATATGCCTTTTGCTAAAAAAAAAAAAAAAGAAGCGGAACAGCAAAGATATACAGTGACATATGCGCATAAAGAAGAAATGTAAAAGAGGCAGAGGAAATTTAAAAATATTTTTTTTAAATATTACATTCCGAGGACATTCAGATCCTTCATTTTCGTAATTTCTAAACAAATGTCGTGAACGGGTGACAGATAAGAGTCTGGAATAAACATGCCCCTTACTTGGCCCAGAAAATAACGTTTAGCAAATTTGAATCGATACAGAAGCTGAGAATTCATATAAATACCAATTAATGTCAATATATAATTTCTTATTAAATTTTAAGCTCTAGTTAAATTATGATATTTTCAAATCATGAAGATTCTTTAGGAATTTAAGGAGCTTAAAAATTAATTAACAATGTCACGACTGAAGCTTGTATCAGATTCGAGCGTTAAAACGGTCATTATAAATAAATCTGTAATAATTAAAATATAACTGTGTGCATTCTTTTCAAAAAAATGGTAAAAGAAGATTGCCATAATGTAACAGGACGACATAAATGTTTTTCGCTCAAACGAATATGACATTTGATTTACTTATTCCATACTGGCCATTAAATAATGTACCATTTCCTCTATTGCACTTACATTTCATAAAGTAACCTGTAAAAGTGACTGTAGGAATATAACCGTAAAGGGATATACCAGCAATTCTGTAGATTTATATTTGGAGATTGTAAAAGGTACGTAATATATGTATATTGACCTTTGATTTCATTTCGACCTTGGATTGTTATTTTATATACTGTACGACAATTAATATAACTCAGATATATTCAGGAGATAAATGTTACTGTACGTTATTTTCAATGTACGCTCGTATAGCCCGCGAAATATGAAATTTTAAGTCTGCTCGACCATAAAGATTTTCTCGTTTGCTTTATTGCCTATCCTTCTGGCAATAAAGTTAACGCAAAGAAGAGTCGCGGGCTCGGCGAATGACCAAACAATCGAATCCCATAACCGATAGCCATACGGAAACATTCCGAATAGATGGAAAGATACGCCAATATGATGCCAGTTTCGCGTTATTTGAAATCTCACAGAAATTTTTACGTCGCGAGGAGAGACTTCAGGATTGTTATTATGTAATACCACTGAAAATGTGCCACTGGAGGATACATATGTGTCAAGAGAACAACAAATTTGCTTCACTGAATGTTCACACAAGGGAATGTCCTTTTTTGAGCTTGAAATTTTATTACGGTTATAATTAATCCATTAACTTTAATTGCAGGAACTTTTGATAATGAGGGTTCGCTAAACATTCTTTTTAATTTCTTTCTAAAGGTTTATTTACTCTTTTTTTCCATTGGATCGTTGATAATCATTAGAGAAGTGAAACGTTAAGAATTATTGTTATCGCATTTGTGATGTGTTGCGAGGCTAATATGAAATTTTTCTATAAATAGTAGGAAAATGTTACAGCGATAATTGTCTGTTCCAGATTTATTTTATAGACTTCTTGTCTCTTTCGTAAAACAACTTTTGAATTTTTATATAAGTGGTGCCATCTGTCTGAACACTTTAATACTTTTCTGGTGGAAAGTGTTTGTATATTAAAAAGAAGACCATCTATAGGTAGAAATGTATAAAATATATTCAGTATTCAATGGAATAGTTTATTCGTTATCAACGCATACGAATCATACTATTGTTTAGGATTCTGTTAACGGAAGTGGCGGAAGATGATGAAACATAACAGAAAGAAATGAATGAAAAGAAAAAGGAATATTGCAGTTTTATTAATTACTCAAGTGAGTTGTGCAATTCATATAGAATCCAAGCAGGAGTCTCCATTGTTCACTGATGATATGTATATATTATCATTGTTATTCACAAATCAAATCTTCAGCAAAACAACAATGACAACTGACGAGGCTGTCCAGAACGGATAACAGTAGGCATATTTATGAATTGGTGATTGCTCGAATGCTTTTTATTTGATAATTTTAATTTATTGTGGCGATAAGCAATAGTCTATTACTATATATGTTCTCAGGTTCTATACATTGTTATGCCGTCATGAGTTCTTTAGGATCACAAATAAATAATTGCACCGATTTGGAATTACATAGAGAACTATTATAGTTTATTGAAGTTGGTATAATGTAAATACTAAGGTAACACAAGATTTAATAGGAGTAGGCACAATGATACTAATTATTCACAACTATGAATTGCGCTCCAGGACTTCACTCTTAGCTAGGAACTTTGCGAGTCACCGCTGTGGCTCACAAGGTGTCTCTCGTCCCTTTTATCTTAATGCCTTATGCATAGGGTCAGCATTCGTCTAATGCTGACTTTGCTTCTGGAGATTAACTATACGACGAATCATATCGTGAGGCATAACAACATACTCACTAATTATTATAAAATTTATGATATATTTATTTTATATAACAATTTTTCGGCCCTACATCGGTTTCACATTTCATCATCATCATTTCATTTCATCACTTTAACATATGTATTAAAACTCCAAATCAATCAGTTTCCTCTTATACATATTGCAACCTATTAAACAGTTATTAATATGTTATTCGTAAGGAGATTATCTTTAACGAGCCATGTGTATACTATACTCATTTTTTTAAATATCTCGTATAATGATTCAAATTTTCCGCGTGACATGCGCACTGGTAAAATCAATGCCACCAGCCGGTGGTAGCGACCGAACGACTGTCAGTGCAATTCCGTCGAGCAGTCGCTGTAGTAGCAATAGCGTCAAGGCGATTTCCGCAATCGATGAATTTTCGCGTTTTGTTCTTTGCAAATTGGTAATTATATTGATCCGAGAGTCATGTAATTAAAAAGATACACAATGCCGGCACAGGAAGATATGGACCTTTGTACCGACAAGGTCCTTTCCAAAGGTAGAATCCTTCAGGAACTAACAAAAGCTGTCAAATTGGTGAGTACCGTCTGCTTCAATATATAAAACTGTTACCTTCACTACGCGTCAAGAATGACTACACCTCAAATGCTTCTGCCATCGATGGCTTGGTTGGCATCGTTTTTATTGTCATTGTTACTCGTCAAATATCGTGAACGTTATTGTTACTTGTCGCTTATTCCACGCACTTTCATTGTCTACATCCACCTGTACCTATTTTACACATCTATATTTTTTCACTGCACTACTCATCACTATCTGCATAACTGCACAAACTTCGTTTCTTTTCCTTTAGCTTAACAATGATTTCTGATAACTTGCGATTTTGGAGTAAAGTGAATTATTTTTTTATTTGCTACTTGATATAACACAGACTAACAAGGGAGCGAAGGTGTGTTGTGTTATGTATATTCCACTTTGTCACTTCACTTGATTCTACTTAATAACGTGCTTTCACTGAATATGAGAGTGCTCATAACTTTAATCACTAGTTTTCTACTTTACGTTATGACACTTTCAAATCAATCTTTTTGAATTTGTTCAAAATTTGTTATATATTACAGTTATGACTATGATATTGTCATTATCTGAATGACTGATCATTATTAATGAATTACAAGAATAAAAATTGTTATCTCGAAAATTGAATATGAATATGTCTATTGTTTTCATAATTATTTATTTGTTACGATACGAAGCAAGCTCAAATTAAAATTTGTTGCTCTTTATAAATTGAATTATAGGTGTATAAATATTGTATACCCAAAAAAATCTACAAACTGATGTTGTACTTATCAGAGCTTGAAATACACAGACAAATATCTATAGATTATGGCATTTCATCCCAGGAATTAAATCCATGATTCATCTGTGCAGGTTCTACATTTTATATTCAAAGCACATTTAATATACTCTGCATGTATGCTGCTCCAATTCCTTTCGTATTGTTAGAGAATGTATTAAAATGGATTTGGAAGTACCACAGTGAGTGGAATCTCTAGTAATATTTTAATTAGTATTGGAATGAAGCAATGAAATGATGGAATCCTTATCATTCTAAACAATGTCATGAATCTATTAAAAGTCTATTGCAAGAGAAGAATATTGTGCGACAAAGGAAATACATAAAATCAGTTATTATATACCCGTGTCAGGTATTTGCCCAGAGTCTACATGGTACAGTGGTGTTGGATGGTGATTCTTGGTTGGTCTACTGGTTAGATCGAGCATTGCGACATGGCTTACGTGTAGAAAGACACGGATACTGGGGCACCGCACGAGAGCTTAGCCACCAGGACACCATTGTGGTTATACATGCATTGCAGAGCGTTTTAACTTCTATTGGAAAAGGTACGCAGCTGTTATTTAGGAATGCCAGAAAATGATCAAATGTATTAAACAATTTTGTTATATTTTAACTTTTTTGTCACATTTAGCATCATCATAGGTGCAAATCAAATTGCATAACTTTTATTAGCTCTTATTACTCTATCATCCAGTCTTTTCTTTTCTTGTATCATATCTATTTTTCTTATTAGCTTTCTATGCTATTATATCTAATTGTGTTTTAGACGCTTGAGCTTTTAAAATTTTCTTAAAGCTATATAAAAATGCAACTGCCCACAATTATTTATTTATCTGTCTGTTTTCAATACACCAATGACTATTTCCCTTCTTTGCAATGGTTTTTTTTAAATATTTGTTCCCTTATTTTCTCTGTGCAGTCTGCCCCATATGAAAGTTATCATAATTAATACAGTACGAATATATTCTTTTATTATAATAGGACGAGCCTGGCTTTATCACACTTTGAGTGAGGGAAGTTTTGAAAGCTATTTAGCTTGCTTACTGCGGGATACGAAAACTTTGAAGAAACAATACTTTCCCCATGCACTAGTAAGAGATGCTGACAAAACTAATCAGTTGGTGAATCTTCTAGCCGGTCTAGAAAATGTATCGTTCACTTTACAACTGGTAAGTTGCTGCTATTTGGCTAATTCCTATTGCCAAATGCCTATTGGCTAATTCAGTCTCAACAACAACAAGTGTACTGCATTCATTTATCAAAATATCAACAATCCTATTGATCATCTACTAAGCTGATTATTGCTAAACATAAACATAGTAAAGTCGTCGAGTCTTTTGGTATCAGTGAATTATAGTACCCAAGACTGTGACGAGCAAACTGACACATACTCGTTGTTTAATTATAAAATGATAGGCCGACGAGTTATTAATACTTTGAAGAGGCATAAACAACCTTTGACAATTCAATCTATGGGTTTGATTGCCGAATCGATATTACCCCCTCCCGCTCTTTTGTCTTCCCACCATACCGCACTTGGTGCTCCATACTGAATCTACATGTGTAAATAACAATATCATCCCCCGGTTACAATTATCAAAGCAACATGTATAGGCGTATCACATTAAGTACATTGTGGAACATTAATGCGAAGATAGTTGTATTTTTATAAAAATAAGGGCAACAGGTTATCACTATGCACACCTTTTTTTTCATGGATTTGGTATCATGGGTCGTTACGGGGTCCTGGTATCCCGGTACCGCCTAACGGAAAATTTCTTATTAAGTTCCCAGGGTGGATGACAAACTACCGACAGAGTAAATATTTTGCCAGGATTTGTTCTCAACGTTTTTCCTTCGTTTTTTTAACTTAGGACGTGACGTATCTCGACATCTGCAACTACATGCCTCAAAGACCTATGAGCGGATCTCCTTCTGGGACAGCACTCTCTTTGCATCTTAGATCATCAAGCATCTCCTCGAGCCTAGCATCTCCTGGTGACAGTGGTGTCGCCCTTGAGGATAGTGACATGGACCTCGCCAATGAAACTGATGCTAGCAGCTACAAGGAGGTATACCCTAGTTCTCGAAATATAATTATCCGAATTTTGTAGATTTCATCTTCTTAATTGAGAATCTAGCATACCTACTGTTTCTCCAAATTAATCTATGTAACTCTCTTTATTGTGTTAATCATCCGTGGGTGTGCTGCTTTCAGGAGGACTCTTCGATTGAAGATATTCCGAAGTATCGTAACAATAAATATGCAAAAATTACTTCCAACGACGGTGGCGTCGGTATTAGCAACGACGGCTCTCGAGACAATAAGCACTATGACCGATCATTCTCTTCTAGCGAATCCAGCGAGGAAGGCAAGACACCGATTGAATCTCCAAGACAATTGATGCTCGGCAAATACCAAAATGGAGTCGTCACCAATAGTGACATAGTTAATCAGAATGTCTCAAGTAAGCTTGACGATAATGAGCTTAATGGCTCAAGCTTGGATACCTTGAAGGACTACAGTTTCTACAGCAAGAGCCTCGACGATTCGAAACTAGACAAGAGGACGAATGAGTTCGACAATGCACCTAAGGATTTCAACAAGAGATATAGCTACTATGGTGACGGGAGTTATAGCTTTAAGAAGAATATCGATCCTCGCAATTCTTACGTGATTAACAATGACACAAATCTCTTGGAACTGAGCATGACAATTTCGGACTGCGATAACACAGAAGCACCCTATAGTATACTCAATACTATTAATATGACAGATAGCAGCATACTCTCGTGCTCAGGATCAGAAAGCGTCGTGCAACGGAGGCAGCGCAAGAAGAAGCGCGGCGAGAGTAAGAAACGCGTGAGTTTCCATGAGGACATCTTCAAGACAATGAAGCTGGATGACGTGGAGGAGAATTATACGGAATTCTCAATGAGTTTCTTGCCACCAAATTGCGTGGCGAAAAAGGACGTTCAGAAAGGACGCTATAGTTGGTGCGCTCATGGAGATGCTCCTTACGTTCAGAAAAACGCACAGGTACGCAACGCTCATTCTGATTATTATTCATCCACTTCCTCTTCCTCGTCGCTGTTCTCGGCGTTAACACGTCTTCGACCTTCCGATGGTCATTTCGATGGTGATAAGAGACTCCGGTCAACGGTTCATCAGTGCGGCCAAGTACAAAGTCATGAAAACACGTCAAATGGTACTTATTTTCCTGGTACCAATGGTAACGCTGATTCTAGTGGTGGTGCTGTTACTGGGACTGGTTCTGGTTCTGCTGCTGGTACTATTGGTACTGGTTCTCAAATTGTTATTGGCGCTGCTGGAAGCAATGGTGATGATGAAAGTAATGAGAAATCACCATTACCCGAACGTGGAGTACCCGAAGGTCAAGAAGATCCGACAAGATATTTTAGGCCAAAAATTGAAATAGAACTTGAGGAGAACGAGGCGCAGGAAGCATATATAGCAGAAAAGGAATGTGGAAATATAATAGAAGAGGAGCCACCACCGATGTCATCATCGATATATGGACCATCTTCGACGTCGTTAATCTTCAAGACGGACACCTCCAGGAACTCAAACTATGGAAATGCAAATACTAAGAAATATGCAAGCTCCAGTGATTGGTCTGATATCGAAAGTGTGACTAATTCTGATATAGAAGATAAAAAATATCTTGCTGGGAATAGTAGACACCTGGCGTCGCCATTGAAGACACGTAACGTCGTCACGTCGATTCTGTTCAATGGAAATAATAAGTTGCCTGTACCAACTTTGCGACAGTCATCTTCCAAAACTTCTCTATTGAGTCGTTTTCTCAAGTCCATCACAGAGCGGAAATTTGAGAATAAGAAGAGTACCAAACAGCCAGTCAAGGCAAATCCTCTTTATATTAAATGCGCAAAGGTCGATCCCGAATCGTTTAAAGATTTTAATGATAATCTTGAGAAAGAGATTCAGGAGAACGTGGCAGCTGAGAAACGTGAATTCAGTGGCGAAAAGGTCAGCCTTAAACTTAGGGAGACATTTAAGCGCCACATATATCGAGACAAGACAGAAGAACTTTACAAGGTGTACAAAGTGCGAAGCTCTTATATGACCAATGGAGAAAGTAAACCAATGTTGGCACTACTGACGGACAAAACTTTGTATTTGACAGCATCCAAGATAGATCATTCGTACAGTAATCAGTTTGTCATTCCATATAATGAACTGGACGTCATAATGGTAAGGAATAATCGAACAAAACCTTGTTTATGCACCCTTGACAATGTTTCAATGTTGTATACACTTACGTTTTATTTTACAGATTGGACCGAATGCACAAACGATCTTGATATCCAATGCGGATTATGAGATGCAGTATCCCTTCTCAACGGGCAGTGCTCAGACAACCTCAGAACTTATCGCTCATTTGGAAATGGCTATGAGGAGATCACCAACAAAGCCCCGTTTGCCTGCTGTCAAAGAATTATCTTATGAAGATATGCATACACTCAGACATGCGATTCTTACTGAAACTGTTGTACATCCGGTAAATTTATAATTTGATGCTAATAATCGTTGTTATACATTTGTGATTGTCATCTGTAATCTTTTATTTTTCTTTGTTCTCATTAGGAAGAGAAAATTGAACATTACAGCCTCGTTTATATGGAAGACGAGCACGTCTCGCCACCCAGTACTCCGTGTGGACCTACTAAAGAGGGTGATCTTATGTTCAGGGCACATACCTATCAAGCTTTGTATCCCAATGCGCCGACTAACCCTTGGGAGGCAGGATATTTTGTTCTGAAGGGTGGCGTAGTCTATATGTTTACTGATTCAAATCAACGACTTCCAAAACGCGCTATTCCTCTTAAAAGTGGTTTGTGCCAGGGTTGTCGAAGAATTCCGAATTCCCATAGACCACATACCTTTGAGATAATCCTCAAACCGAACAAGTCCTTTCAGTTCGCAGCTCCCGATGAGTACGTAGCCTCAGAATGGTTACAAAGCTTTGTCCAGAGTGCATCAGGATTATTTGACTCCTCTGAGAAAAAAGAGCCTCTACCATGCAGCTTAATAACTACGACAAAGCACTTGGTAGCTATGAAAGAAGCTTTCCCAGGTACACAGAGAGGGCAGACTCTTAGTTGTGCTAGTGTAGAGGATCTAACAGCATTCCGAGTTCCACTAGCACAACAAGCTTGGTGTATCCTGGTAAATAAAACTCTGATCTCAAGACATTAATCTCCTCGAATATATTTATCTTAATCGAACTACATGTTTTGTCCAGGAGTTCGCTTGTCGAGAAGTCCATGAGAGCAGCGGCGACTGGGTTATTTATTTTACTAATTACAATGAACTCTGTACGTTTCGAGAAGTTCTAGAAACTCTATGGGCAGATCTCCATCCGGTATGCATCATGCTATTCAATGAAAAGTTTAGACAACTCTCCTTCAATTTTAATCTCTGTCATTTCGTACAGGGTGAATTTCCTATGATGACACTACCACCCGAGGATAAGCTTCATCGACACTGTTCAAACGCCAGCAAAGACCTGGAGCACGCCTGGCAATACTTATTGCCCGTTGCATCCGACTAGTCATGATGTTCGCGCTATATATTACACGGTAGAAATGAGAATGAAACTACTAGTCTTCTGTATACCCACTCTCTTATATCCGCAATATTATAATTCTAAGTTCTTTATGCTTCGTCCGAAGATCCTAGAGTATTTTGAATTTCCAAAAACAAAAAGCGTATCACAACATACCTTATGCCAGCTTATATCTCATTATCTGAGTCAATCTCTATTATTTAATTACGTAATTCAATGGCACTAGAAGGGTCATAGATCTGATTCAGTAAAATCAATTTTAACATATTATTGTATTTCCCTAACACAAAGAGGAGCATGTAATCAGTTGTCACCAGAACCACCACTTCTGATTGTTGATAACGAGTGATGGAATACTCCAATTTTTTTATCCAAAGGTATATCCAAAATCTTTTTATTCTCCACTGTACTCCATACATAGTACAGCTGATCTTTAACTATTACAAATCGCTAATGGTATCATTTCTTTCTTCTTGCATTTCCCATTATTAATAAATCCTCGGTCTAATATACCATTGATTCAAATTATTGGGATGTGATTATATACAATCGTCATCTGTGATTAGTCACTATATAATGATTATACCTACAGTATGTATTCGCATTTACCGAAGATATGCACTTGTATCAACGGATCAAATAACGACTATGATAAATCGTGCAAATCATTTAAAAGTTTTCGATGATACTCGTTATTCGATGAAACTTTATTATATTATTAAAAAAGAGAAATTATAGTTATTCACGATACTGGGAACACTCTATTAGAGAGAGAGAGAGAAACTCTGTTAAAGCGCACTGGTCGAAATTGGCATTTCATTGGTAAACGCTGATTAGTTACAAACTAATCCGTTAATTTATTGTTTATACATTTTAACACAATTTTATGCGTTTGATTCACGCATATGATGTCCCCGCAGTATATACATACATTCAACTAAGGGAGAATTGATATATAGATTAATTAAAGAAATATTTTTATTTAATCCTTGGAACACCACGCATAGTAAACATAATTATAAGTAATCTATGAAATCAGTATATTTTATAATTCCTTTGCATTTTATTTAAAAAGGTCTTTTCACCTTCACAACGGATGTGACCTTTTGCATTTCTTATAAGAAATAAAAAACTCAAGAATCTTGGATTATCGAGATGATAAGAGTTTCGCAATATCAATATTATAAGTGTTACGAAAAAGATAAAATATGATTATGATTTGAAATATAATAATTATTTATTTTAAATTTTCCAATTGAAAACCACACACTAAGCAGAACTGATTATTAAATGTTTTTTTGCGCTTCCGCGTGCGAAAACTTTTAAATTTTCAAAGGCTCATATTCTTGTAGAAATTGTTTACTCCTAATGAAATGCATATATGTCTCATTAGTTATAAGGAATTGATCTCTCCCTCTCTCTCACAATCACACACAAATACGGATACATACGTCAGTCTCCCTATTCAACTATATTTATCTGAAAGCACAGAAATTAAAAATCACAGGCTCACAATAGTTAAACCACCATATGTAAAAGAATTTCATTATTATCTATGTTGTTTTCGCCAGTTCATATGTTGCCTTAAAACAGTAATGTGTCTATTTATTACGGCGGCTATGTCGAGCAATTGATATATATATATAAATGAAATATGTGTATAGTTTCATTAATTTTTGGTGGATGCGATTTGTCATACGCGATAATCGTGCATTGCGATGCACTTTGCAATCCGCTTGTGAATAGTACCGATAATTATGTGCGCAAGGTACATCGTATGTGCGCGATCACGAATGAATTGTGATAGAAGTATTAGATTATAATAAAAAACTACGGTATACTATATCGAGAATTGTTAATTTATTATATCTTAGAATGGGTAGTTCTATATAAATTATATAAGCATTATTGTGGCGAACACGTAGAACGATGTAATACATTGCAGTTTTGTATACTAAGTTTTTCTCGTCGTACAGTTTAACAATTATACGGATATACGTATATGAGTTTCCTTTCTATGCTAAAACTAAGCCGATGATAATAAATCTGTGTAATATTTGTGCGTTCATTGCCTATTATAGTGGTAAATAGCTCTCAGCGAGTCTTACGTTACTTTGTTTTACATTATTTTTATTATAGCGAACAAAAGCCAATAAAGTATGCAAACTAGTTAAGCGAGTTTATTGTAGGTTTAATTTTCAATGTATTTATAATTACGTACCTTATCACTTTTCCAAGAATGCTTTATGAATGGGAAAATTGCAGAGAAAAATGGCAATACTGTATGTTAATGGATTTACTATATTCACAGTACATTATTCAATCTTTTGTTGGAGTTTAAAACAGTTATTGTGGAACAAAATGTCCACGGATATCTTCCTTGTTTCTTAATTTTTCTATGTCGACATCTGGCCAATATTTCTTCACAGCGTCCATGTCCATGTTAGGGAACTGTTGCATGAGACGTAATACATATCGCTCTTGACCCCTTTAATAAGATTATAAATGAAAATTGATATAGTTTTGTGGAACTAATGTATTTATAGATAATTAATATTTTTTAACGTTACGTAGGATTATACAGACCTTTGTTTGGTACGCTCTTTATTGTTCTGTTTTTCATTGTACTTTCTCAAGAACGTGCGAACGGCATAACCACCAAATCCAAAGTGATGCGTTTTGAACCACTTCTTATTCATGAATTTTGGAATTCTGTGCTGTGTCATACGATAGAAAAATCTCATACCTGTGGTAGACAAGACCAATTGTTAATAATTAGAGCTTCTGGTACACGAGCCCCATAGACGAAACGTGAAACCATAAAAAAGGAAATGGATAGCAAAGTTTTCAATTGTATCAATTAAAACATACCAAGAGCATTGTACACATATTTTGCTGGTCGTTCTCCTGTTTCACCAGTTTCAAGAAGATGATAGGCCTGGTTTCTTTCACGAACTACTGTTTCTAAATTTTCCATACTTTTTTCGACTTTGTCTCTGCGTTCAGGACTAGGCATATTAGCAAACCTCTCATTATATGCATGTTCCATTGTTAAAAGCATATTCCGCTCTTTCAGTAAAACAAACCTGTACAAGAAAGTACTAAGAATAAAAACCATTTGTGTAAATACGTAATTATTCTAAATTAAGTATATACAGACCATAATTTATGTAAGTCCTCATTGCTCTTTAATCTCAGTTCGCTCTTGAACCAAGGACGTCCTGCTTTAACTTCTTTTTCAGACCAGTTATCTTTGTGATCAAAGAATTCCATCAAGTCATTTTGCTTTGATGTAACATGTAAGAAAGCATGCTGACTACAATATATCCTAAAATAGTAAAACAGTTCATATATCAATCACATTTTATTAAACTACAAATCAATAAGTTAGTCTTTGATCAAACTGTGAAAAGTGCAACACTATACTAGAAGGGATTGACAATATATAACATAATAAAATAATTGTTCATCCATGTCTCAGCTTACAGGCTACACTTAAGTAAGTGGATGTTTCCTCTATATTAATGTATTAATAAACATAATTTACAATACATAACATAACATAGCATAACCATGATTATCGGTTTCTCATAGACTTATTCCAACAGTAAAAGTTATCTTGAACATGAAATTATGTACCTTGGCTTACATATTACAACGGAACTCGAAATAACATTTGGCTGTAAAGTTATGTTCCCGAGTAGTTTTGTTATATTATTCAAAGTTTTTGAAATACAAATATTTCTCGCAATGCTCGCCATTTTAGCGTTTGAGCTACTTATTGGGGAGAAAGAGATTCAAAGTTGGAGCAGAATGGCTGCAACACCGAGATAGAGTTTTAAGGAGTCAGGTTGGCAGTTCTGTTTCTTGTATATCCGTTATTGTTTTTGCCACATTAGATATAGGTTTCTCAGTGCGGTTATGCCCCAACTGATTTCATGAAACTGAATTTATTGTAAGTCTAATCATTGTGTTAGAATCGTGCGAATTCTTTTATATCTATTATCATTCATTTTTAATTAAAAAAACCTCGTGTCAAAATGGGAGTGCCGAAATTTTTTCGGTATATAAGCGAAAGATATCCTTGTCTCAGCGAATCATTGAAGGAATATCAGGTACCTTGCAAAAGATTCTGTTTACATATTTTTAATATATTACTTGCGTCTAGTAAATATTTGAGCGTGGGTATGTAGCAGGCTGTGAATGGTTATACTCTTGATTTATATGCATTTATGATTAATTATTTTGAACCTTTAGGCTGATTATAATAATATAATGTTAATTTATTTTATACGTTATGACCTATTGAACTTGAATTGTTTTTCCAATCAAAATGTAATATTCTTGAGATAAGTATTTAGTAATGATAATATCATCTAAGTCTTATTCTGGTTTAGTATTATAAAATTTGTAAAGATTGTTTTTATCTCTTTATATCTTATTTATAAGACACGTAGAAGTAATTTCTATAGATGGTACTCATTTCTATAATGTTTTGTTATAATACTTGTCTTTTCAGATTCCTGAATTTGATAATCTTTACTTGGATATGAATGGAATCATTCATGTATGTTCACATCCTAACGATGAAGACGTACACTTTCGTATTAGCGAGGAGAAAATTATTAAAGACATATTTCACTATATAGAGATATTGTTCAGTATAATTAAACCACAGAAATTGTTTTTTATGGCTGTCGATGGTGTTGCACCACGTGCTAAAATGAATCAGCAGAGGGGTCGCAGATTTAGGAGCGCCAAAGAAGCTGAGACTGCTGAAGCTAGAGCTAAAGCAAGGGGTGAACATTTACCACTGGAAGAACGGTTTGATTCCAATTGTATCACACCAGGAACAGTCTTTATGGCAAAGCTTCACGAACAATTAAAGTATTTTGTCTCATACAAAATTACAACAGACAAATATTGGCGTAAATGCAAAGTTATACTCAGTGGGCATGAGGTGTAGTATTTCATAATTTTCAAAAGATCCTACTGGTATCAGTCTATCCAATGTATAAAATTCGAATGTTGTATTAAAAATTGTTGCTCCTGAAATATTCTAGACTCCAGGAGAAGGGGAGCATAAGATTATGGATTATATAAGATACATGAAAAGCATGCCTGACTATGATAGTAACACAAGACATTGCTTATATGGTCTCGATGCAGACCTTATCATGTTGGGTTTGTGTACCCACGAACCACATTTCTGCCTGCTTCGTGAGGAAGTAAAATTTGGAAAAAATGCAAAAAGAGCAACGACAGCAGAGGAAACAAAATTTTGTATTTTACATTTATCTATAATGCGAGACTATCTGGAGCACGAGTTTTCATCGCTGAAGACTAAATTAAAGTTTCCATTTGACCTTGAGAAGATAATCGACGACTGGGTCCTAATGGGTTTCCTAGTGGGAAACGATTTTATTCCAAATTTGCCAAATTTGCATATTACAAATGGTGCTCTGCCCGTACTGTATAACGTCTATATTGAATTATTACCCACATTAGACGGTGAGCTAATGACTAGGATAAGGTTCAAGCGATTTTAATTAATCACCTTTTAACGGCCCGTTGTTCTTTAGGATATATAAATGAAGCAGGTACTCTGAATATGGAGCGTTTTGAAAAGTTTATGGAAAAATTAAGTTCTATCGATGTACAACAGTTTAACGAGCACAATGCAAATTTGAAATATTTTGAAGCTAAAACTGGTAGACGACCGAACGAGTATGAGAGAACCAGTTATAAGAAGCCAGATAATTCTCCAGAAGAGAATACTACTCCAAAGAAAGCATCAAACAAAGACTTGGAGGCTTTAATAAAATCTACTAATGACATGGTAATTATTTTTAACATAAAAATAATATAATACGTTCAACATAATATATAATGACACATTATAATACAGTTATTAGGATATTCTGATGAGGATGAATCCTTGGAAGTAGGTGAAGATTCAGACAGCGATACATGTAACATTGAATTTGTACAGCATAAAAGAGACTATTACATGAACAAGTTAGAATATGAAAATGTTGACGAGTAAGTAGCTTCTTTAGATAAGGTCAACAATTCTAATTCAATATTTAAAAAACATTATTTTTTAGGGCTGTTTTACGTTCTCAAGCTGAGGGTTACGTAAGAGCAATTCAGTGGAATTTACATTATTATTATGACGGCTGCTGTAGTTGGTCTTGGTATTATCCGCATCACTATGCACCATACATCTCTGACATAAAAGACTTTAAAGACTTGAAATTAGAATTCGATTTAGGCACACCGTTTAAGCCTTTTGAGCAATTGCTGGCTGTGCTGCCTGCAGCCAGTAGAAAGTTGCTGCCAGAGCCATACCAAAAATTAATGATTGATGAGAATTCGACGATAATTGATTATTATCCTAATGATTTTAAAACTGACCTAAATGGCAAAAAACAGGAATGGGAGGCTGTTGTACTTATCCCATTCATAGACGAGAAGAGACTCCTGAGCGGTATGTGATCTATTGAATTTCTAATGTCTAAAAAAAAAGTACAATCATCTTTTACTTTATAAACATCTTCTATATAGCCATGGAGTCATGTAACAAGCTTTTAACTCCAGAGGAGCAAAAAAGGAACAGTCATGGACCAATGTGCATTTATTCATATGTTACACAAAGCAGGGGTGAATATTCCGCACCCGAATATTTCCCTACATTTATTAATCATGCAGACTGCACATTAGTTTATCGAGAGGACATAACCGTCAGTAAGGAAAATATAGTGAAGGGATTATGTCCAGGTGTGACCCTGGGCACCCACTTCCCTGGTTTCCCGACACTCCAATTTATTAAACACACAAGCATCCTAGAAAAAGCCAAGGTAGTTGAACTGTTTAAATTGTTTCATAAAATTTATTTTCATAATCAGATTACACAGTTTAGGGTACTTTCAGGTGAAAGTCTTCGAACAATCAGCTAGAGGTGAAAGTATTATTTTGTGCATAGACCCTGTAAAAGTACCAAAAATTCAGGACTTTGCTAATGAATATTTGGGAAAAAGTGTGTTCGTACACTGGCCACGTTTAACCGAGGCTCGCATAGTAGCAGTATCGGATAACGAAACCAAAATCGCTTTGCCAAATTTTCAAGCGCGCAACATGGGTAACGAAGCAGATATTAAACGGATACATATTGGCGAATACAGCGTGCAGAAGAAGCATATCGCTGAAACGTTTGTACACTCTCTATATTTATTTCTCAAAATATTAATAGTTTCTATATGTCTTATTATTATTATTATTATTATGGCACAGGTACAAAATGCGAATGGGAATCGAAATAGGAGAAACACAGCTACTGGTATATGCATGTCCCATTATTGGTAGACGATACGTTTTTGGTTCTCAGGGAAAAATGACACTGGAAAAGCAATGGAGCGAATATCCATTGGCTTATGCTTATCAATGTATAGTGAAGGATATTCAAGTTTTTAATCCAAGCTTTGTACAGTTTACAAATGTCAAGGATATCTTCACCCCCAAGAGTATTTGCATCATGTTAGGCCATCCTCACTACGGTGCTATGGGAGAGGTATGTTCAATAGTTAGAGCTATAAATCAATGACATATTGTCAGTATAATTTTACTCTTTTCGGAATTGTGTCTTAGGTTATTGAGCCAGGAATGGATTTAAAGACAGGTCGTGTCAAGGTGGCAATGGCAATTGAACAAGAACCGGATTTGAACGATTGTAGAAAATCTTGGGCAGAGTCAAAATTACGTTATATGGTCGGTAGCGTTGCTGCTCAACGATTGGGCATTAGTAGCCACCTACTTAGTAGAATAACTGGAACCATTTATGTGATGCAAGAAGCGATGGGCGACCAAACTCCCAAATTTAACATAGGATTGAATCTGAAGTTCAGTAAAAGGAATGAAGAGGTACATACGCTTAGTAATATATTTAGGATATGTCATTGCTGATACTGGATATACAAAGAGCAATATATCACTAACTTTTGATCTTTGTCAAGATTCCTGGATATACTAAAAAAGAGAATGGTCAGTGGCTCTACAGTATTAAATCTGTTGAATTGATACGCAGCTATATGCAGAAATGTCCTGATCTGTTTGAAAAGCTGGCGCAGAATGTAATGAATGATATATTTCATGAGACTGATCTCTTCCCTGAAGGGTGAGAAACTTTTATATCTCACATGGAACTATTTAACAGAAAGCAGTCCACCTTTGTTCCTTAATATAGCTTTGGCTTTGTCTTCAGGTCAGGAACACTGAACGAAATCGTTGCCTGGTTAAAGGAACAACCGTATTATAGTGTTGAAAGTCGACCCTGTGGAACAGAAAGTTTAGACCAAGAACTTGTGAAAAATATTGAAAAGATTCTGGATTCTTCGACGGAGTCTCTAGGAAGCAAAACTCTGGTGATGCAAGTAAAGCCGCACTTGCTTTATAAGCCTGGCTTAAACTCAGGATCTATTGTACCAGATTCTACATCTCAACATCATCTCTGTGATCGAATAATCGTCGTCCGGGAGAGTTTCACTGTGCCTCTTGGTAACAAAGGAATCATCGTGGGTCTGTACAAGGCTGAGAAACCTTCGGATAACACGTATGACGTCATCTTTGATAAACCATTCGTAGGTTAGTGCTCAGTCCTACTTAACTGTAGAGTAATAAGAATATTTATCATTATTAACGGCACTATAATATACTTTGTAGGAGGTCTTAAGATATATTCCTGCTCGCCAAATCGAGGATACAGATTATCCTCAACAGATTTTATAAACATCAGCCATGGTCTAAGAGTCGAGAACGTTAAAACTGGGAAGGGTAATCCTGCCCCTGTGGAAACTACATTGTCGTGGCGGCAAAATTCAAACGCGCAAAATCAAGCCCGTGCAAATCAGTCGAGTGCTTTTGCGTCTTTCAACACTTATGTTCCTCCTTGCTTCAAAGGAAATCAGCAAACGGCACAACAGACGCAATCATCGGGACGCGTCAATAAGAAAATCATGGAACAACCGTATCAGAAAAATTCAACAACGAAGAAGAAGATCTTGCAGCCGTCTTCGTCACAGAATACTCCCAGGACCCTACCCAACAGTAATGCTCAACCTTCTGAGGTCGACCGTCCGAGTGTTCAGAAATTAAGTTCCCAATCAGCAACTGAATATCAAGCTGTATGGAACGAGTTACAAATGCTTCAGGTAAACCAATTGTGATATACTATGACAAACTGATTATTTTTTTTTATTTTAATTTTTGTTCTTTATATCACAATTTAATAGAAATCAAATGACGTCTCACTTAAACCTGATCTCATTCAAAAGCCTCAATTACATCCACCTGCTGGTACTAATACAAACTTGGTGAGTAATTTTTTAAATGAAAATATTCTTTGCTACGTTATTCTTAATAGAAAATAAACTATTACACTGTTTTAATAGTCTCAAGATCAAAGTGCATTTTTGAAAGCTGTGCTTAAAATCAGTGATGAGAACTCGCGAAACAGTAGTCCTGCACAGTCAGTCACAAAACCAAGTAAGCCTGCCTTCCCGCCACCGCCTAAAACGTCAGATGCTCCGCCATTAGTTCAACAGTTATTCGACGTAAGTTTTCTTTGCTGTAACTTTAAATTGTTAAAATGAATATAATATTTAAAGATGTCCAGTTCGAAGAAAGAATGAATTTTCATAAATCTTGTAGCAGGCTCGTGCCGCTGGGAACAAGAAGACCGAGGTGTCTTATTGCTCTCAATTACTGACGTATTTCCAAGTACGTAGTATGGGAATGCCTCGTTACAATTACGTCACGAACAAAGAGACTCATCTTATATTCGCTCAAATTATTCTACCTGACATGAGAGTGTTCACAGGTGAATTATGTCCAACCAGTGAACTCGCTGCTGAGACTGCTGCCCTGAAAGTCATCACAGTAAGTCTTCGTATTATTATTGATAAGAAAAATCATAAGGTTTATCTTAGTATAGGTAAATTATTACTTCATATCAATATTCTTGCAGGAGTTAGAGCTAGACAAGTTCCCAAAACCCAATATGAATATCTTAGCAGCGCCTCCACGACAATGGTACACTAACAGTCGGCCGATGAGTGTCCGACCACCGAATGTAAGACCAATGGTGTCGCCTTATGGCTCACCACAAATTCCAGCAAATGCACAAAATCCCTTCATGCCAGGATTCACATGGAATCCTAAAATGCTCCAGAATCCAGGTTATCTGCCAATGCCACCCCATCCCCAGACTAGGCCGCAACAGAGACCTCCTCATCCAGCGCCTTCATCACCAAGCTCGTCCATGAACTGGAGAAGTGAGAGTAAGCAGGAACAAAAGAAAATAGCGCCATTTGTACCACTGCAGGCACAAAAGCTAACTAGAATCCATCAAAAGAGCGCTCCAAAAGGATCAGCACAGGTCAATAAAGATTCTGGGTCCAAGGTACAAGACGATAAGAAACATAAGGAATCATCTGCGAAGGTTTGCGTCAAATTTCTACAAATTTGCAATAGCTGAGAAATATTGGAGATGAAATTGTTTCTACTTATTTACTTTGATAGGAACCAAAGGAGGAAAAAGTGAGCAATAACGAACGCAAGGAAGCGCATGCGCAAAAGACTCCACAGAATCAGCACAAGTCGCAGAAATCCGGAAAGGAGAGAAGATCGCGAATCGCTGCTAATTTTGGTACACCTCCGTCAAGTAACGGTGGCGGTCCACAGTAAATTGTGTTTATAAGAATAAAAGAAAGTTCTGAAATTTGCCTAAAGACAGTAGATATGCGCTGCCGACTATGGAAATTATCCATTATTTTTTACTCTTTTTTCTTTTTTTTATTTAAAAAAGAACGTTCGTCGCACTCCTAATTATTTAGTTGAGATTAAATGTTCAGACTCCGCGGTACTGATGAAAAAAATCTAATTTTAATTACAACTAAGTAGGCGGACATACAAAATAATTACATATTTTATCTCTTCTGTTTTTCTAGGTATATAATGAATGTTATTTTGTTGCGATAACAGTCATATTTATTTAGTTTGTTTTTCCTTGAACAAGATAATGCATATTGAACTGCAATGCGACGAACATAAATTTAAGGGAGGGTCGCTTCTATTTTTGTAAAAAAAAAATATTAACATTGCGTTCTTTATAAGATTTCATGCTACAATTTGTCTTGAGAGTATTACGAGTTTGGTTAACTGTTTCAATCAAATGCGATACATCATGAACAGATACGATATTCTTGGTTATGTGATAAACCTATAAAATAATACGAATTAGTGTATCCATACTAATTATTAGATGCTTAAAAGTAGTCATTAGTAATTGATACTTCTTGAGAAAATAGAGATCAAAGGAATTCGTATCTGTTGACCCTGATATCTATATTCGCATGGCTCAGTGTATATTTACCACTAAAATGTATAGAGCATCGTCCGTTATCATGGGCATAGAAAGCTGTATTTGTTTTTCTTTTATTTTTCTCAAATGAATTTTCGTACCAAACCGATACTGAACTTTGTATTTAATAAAAAAGAAAAGGAGAAAGAGAAAAGAAGTAACGCTAAAGAAAATGAAAAAAAATTCTCTTGAATGGTAACATGAATACCGGCCCCTGTAAATTTGCACACCACAATTCTTAGATACTAATAAATATCTTGTATAATACAGTGATTAATGTACAATGAATCGGCGTCACATCCATGTCATTGTTTTGGGTATCAGCGATTGTACTAATATTGATTACTTTCTTAATTGTCAGTATTGAAACAGTACTGTTCATATTTAATACAATATTTATTAATAATTAATTAACCGTACTTTAACATTTCACATTATTGTAGAGCTTCATCTTCATTGCATACAATCTCTCAAGGTCACAGCCCTATCACGTGCTGACGACAGATGAGATTGAAGTCCTTAAATAACTCGTAGATACGTAGTTTGTTCGTTCTCTCGCGCAGAACGTTCCTGGCGAATATTTCCTTCTGCGCTTCGGCGACCATCGGCGCGCTTCTGTCGGCAAGAGCAAGACGAAGCCATTGGGCAGTCCACTCCACGCATGTTTTGTTTAACGCCCATAAGACCTGGGCGTGAGGTTCTAAATTACTGCTAGAAACTTCTCCTCCTGTAACATTAACAATACGATATGTAGCGTGTTGACTGTACTTTGTTATTGTTCAGAACTGGCAGGTTATTTAGGATGGTTCTTACCTACACACCGTAAAATCACACAGATTAGCTCCTGACCTATTGGGTGTATAAAAGTCTGAAGATGTGGATTCTGCATGATTGCATGACTAAGGAAACTTCCAGCTGCCTTGGTAGTTCCTGCTTCAGGTAGAAGAAGACAGGCCATGCCTATGCATCAAAATTTATTAATTCAGTAAGATATAAGCTCTTTGCCTAAGAAAAAATGATGGGACTTACCACAGCGTAGCATCTCAGATATTTGATCTGGTATCTGTAGTAACATCCTGGAATTCTTCTTACAGATTTGAGCAAGTAGACTCATGTAGGCTTCTAGGAGATCAGACAAGTCTGAGAGATTACCACCGACTGATCTACAAGCTGACACGCCGTTCAGAGTGAGTCCACTTAATTCTTCGAATATTGGTTTAACGATATTATCTGTGTCTTTGCCGAAGAGTAATACTAGCTGTCGCAGGAGATTCAGGGCGGCAGGATGTGGCTGAGTCTTGTAAGAAGTTACTAGGATTGGAAGTAATGGTCTTGCATCGATTTCCGGATGTGAAAGGGATGACAGTGAACGTTGTGTACAAACGTGCATTGCTTCTAGCGTTGCGTCATCTCTACTCCATTCTGGATGTGACACGATTTTAGTAAACAATGGTAACAGCCCTTCCAGGACCACTTTACCCACAGAACCCTCCAGGGTCGAGAAGAGCATCGTAGTCATTTTGAGCTGATTGACAACTGCTACACGAGCATAAGATACAGGTTGTTGTAAGAGTTCGTGAAGCTTCATGATACAAGGACCCAGAGTGGCGTCTAAGTGGCACAATTGGAGTTCAGTCGATTCCAAAGAGTTCAGCAATTTACCCGCTGCATACATCAATCGCAAACCTTCCCCGCCACCAGGTGAAACCGTATGCAGAGCTTGTTCAATTATATCCAGCATAGACGGAACAAAAGGTGACATATGAGGACCGCATTCTCCAGCTATATCTTTCAGTGCCATACTGGCTGGAAGTGCTGTAATTGAGCCATGTTGTAAGCCTAATGCTAATAGACGTAGAGCACCTGCTAGCCAGGGTTCAGGATGATCTCCAAACCATTCTGCATAAGCACCTAGTGCAGAACAGGCACCTGCTAATACCTAAATGTATTAAATATGTTAGTAGCACTTTATTTAAATTAATTTAAGGACATTTTAACTTTTTGGTCTTATACATACCTCATCCGGATACTGACTGTAAGGAATATGTGATAAGATTAAATTCATCAGAGCGGCCACGTATTGAGTCTCCTCCGTCGAGACATTGTCAGCCAGTGCTTTGAAGGCGTGTAAGGTAGACTCTACGTCAGTCCATTTTTGTAACTCATTATGAGGTTGACTCAACCGCTGTCCGAGTAACACCAGTAAATCGCTTCCCAGTACGTTGTAGCAGTACGCTAGGGTATCAGCGGCGTCTTGTCTATAGCATCGAAGTAGTTCACGATCATCGGCATCGCCGGCTTCACTAGGAGATGGAGGTAATGATGCTTTGCGGAGTAAAGCCTGTGCCAACCGGGCGTAGATTGGCTTCAGCGCGTGAGACGCTTGGATATCCTGAGGATAATCCAAGGTCCCGAGGTCATCTTGTAACGCGTACCAGAATCCAAACGGAATGCAACTAGTTTTTTCGTCTATGGGATATCGTCCTTCTTGTTCAGAACACTCCAAGAGAAGTTCGATAAATCGCTCTGATGTCCACCTTTGTCCTTCGTCGGCATCCTTTGTTAGAGCTAGTAGGAAAGCACGACTGTGGACGTCTCCCAATGCTGTCAGGATTTCCGCAAAGTATCCTCCTGAGGTTTCGTGCGCTGTGAACACTAGTCCCCGGGACCACTCCCAAAAAAGTTGAGGCCTTTTGTGAAGCTCTGTATGGGTCACCATTGCTATTACGCATTCTTGTACAACTTCCCAGGTTCTGATACTATCTTCGTCTGGCTCTTCTCTGAGAAAACAGAAGGTAAACCATGAACATTTTCACAGATGGTACTTATGTTTTAATTGATTTAGGATATTACTGTACCTGCTAGGTACAAAACGAGATGCAGCGGTTAATAACTGTGGATAGATGCGTCCAGTCGTTTCTAGAGGTAACTGACCCATTTTCAGCCAGGCCATAGCGCATTCCAATGCTAAGATGTACAGTGTATTGCTGCTATCAGCGGAGAACGACTGGTCGCATGACGAGAAAACCTGTTGAAGAAGGCAGGTGATCTTGCTCCAACTGCCCATTAACCCATCTCGTAGCTTTATTCTTCTGGCTCCTTGTCTTCTTTGAAACTAATCATGATATTTTTAAAAAATGCTATAAATTCTATTATGTAAGATGCAAATTACCTCTCCCGGAAGAGTTGAAAGAACACGTAACAGTAAATCCAATGTAAAAGGACTGTCATATGGTAAAATTTCAGCTAGCTCATCGACTAAGTTTTTATCCTCATCTTCGTCCACCACTGCATGACTATTTGCAAGAAACGCTGCTAACTGAAAAGGAGACTATATGTCAAGAGTGTCTTTCAATTATGTCAATATTCTTTAATATTACTTAATAAATTACATTTTCAATCCAGAGTTCGTGGCTCTTCCTGCATTCAAGATTTTCCTCCACTCGGACAACTGTCGATCAGCAACAACCTTTAAAACGTTTGTATAATTTTACAATGAATGTATTTCGAGTAGAGAAAAATATTAAAGTAAGGAAGATCCATGAAAGAAAGATTTATAAAAGCACTCTGCACTCATGATTAATATACTGATCAATTTAAATTGAATAACAATTAGCAAGTAGAGTAAGAAATAATACTAATTCAACTTTACGATAGCATAAAAATTACCGCTTGACAAAGTCTTGAAAGGACAAGTTTTGGTGTGTGTGGTTGTTTCAAGCAGTTTAGAAGCCGTTGTCTCAGAGCCGAGTATTCACTCGTTGGAATTTCATTCCATTGCTTTGATATCTTAGAATGTAACGTTGTGGCTCCGAAGAACTGTGCTTCACAGCTCTGTAAGTTCAGAGTAATGATACTGTTGTTAATATTTTTTAGAATCATGGGAAAGATAAAATATCCATTTCCTATACCTTAGAAGACTCTAATAATTCCCAGACGAAAGTCCAAGCTTCTCTTGATGCTTGTACCTGTAGAAGCCAGGAGTGAGCTTCGTGAGATCCTGTAGAGTAAAACTTCTTGACAGCATCTTCGACAGTCGCTGCATAATCCATTCCAAATTCTTTCTCGTGGCGTTTTTAATGTTTAATAACAGATATAATTTCTCAACCAAACATTCGGTAACTTCACAAACAACTAGGTTCTACTTGCACTTGTCATATGTTCACATTCACTCCGATTCAGTGATTTTATAAACATTAAATTGCCCGTCATCATATTTTAACTCCGAACTTATAATATTCCAATTTAAATATTCCTACAAGATACGATCACTCGAAGTAACCTAACATTGCCTGCATTCTTATTCGGCACGAATGCGTCGAGTGCATACATAACAATGCACCGGTCAAATAAGAAGAAATGGAACCATAATGATCTGCGCAATTTGACTTATTACGTCACTGGATCCTGTCACACGAATTTCCAACTATTTCGCAATCTCGTTATAAAAGGAACTTTAACGAATAACCGAACATGTGTATTACTTCAACAAACGGAGCATCAAGGTGGGTTTAAAAATTTCACTTGTCTAAATCAGCCAGTCGAAAAAGCTTTTAAACATTTACAGCTTTGTCGCAATAGTTTTACTAATTGGAAACTTCAATAACTCGACTTGTCAATGGTCAAAATCATTTCTCATAAAATAATTGACCAATTAAGAGTCTGTTATTTTATTCGTAATTCCTCTGACAAAGCTGTGAAGACGCCTTTAATCAATGAAAACCTCATCATGTTTACTCATATCTATTTACATAATTTTCAAAATAAAAAATAACACAAAACTATTTTAATTATAAATATAAATATTATCATCTAATTAGAAATTTTTTCCTTTCCGTTCTAAGCTGTACAATATTACAATTAAAAACTTTACAATACTCAGCTTATTTCTGACATTCTAAAATATTTGTATATATCTTATAAAGCAAATAAATAATAGTACAGTACTAAATAACAAAATAATTTCAAAGTTCTTGAAATCGTTACTACAGATAACAGGTTTCGTCTTCCTTGAACCCTTCCCCTTTTAAACATTCAGGTGTTATGTATATAGAAGCATATAAAGAAATTTTAAAATAAAAAATGTAAATGACTAACATTTAAACAAACCCTAAAAATGTACACCGTATCTCAAAAAAGAAATGCATCTTCAAAAAAATCTTTGCAAATCTAGATAATTCAACATGTAATACGAAAAAAAGCAAACAGGATGTGCAATCTACCTGAATCCAAAGATACCTTTAAAAAGTAAAGTGGCGCTCTCTGTCAGTTAACGACGGTGAAGAACTCAACAATTTACGCTATCGATATAGTAGTCTCTCCATGTTCTCATGTTTGTCAGTAAGTAGTAGTAGACGCTGCAAGAGCAGCTGAGGTGCGAGAACGTCGTTGTCCGGTTTTGTTCCAAAGAATCCTTCGAAAATTTCACGTACCACGCGTGTTTTTGTGCTCAATTGAAGGATAATCGACAGCCTTGTGATAATCAAACATTCAGCGTAATGTGACTGATACCAAACGGCCTTGACGGGGCGGTGAGTAACCTTTTTGAATGGCATCTTCCTATCTAGTATGTATACCTGCTATATATTTTCCTGCATGGAATACACACGCTTCCTGTGGGTACTATAGCAGCGGTTTCCCACGGGAAAAATGACTTACTAATTAAAACGACATAGTCCGACAACAAACCCTCAGTAAAGTATCTGTTAGGTTTCTTTAATTATCTCTTTGAAGAATGTGATACAAGAAAAGGTTTTCCTCCGGTAGATATCTCTCTCTTCATTGAACTAATTGGATATAGTAGAGAAAGGAAATCTTATTCAGATTTGATCCAATTGTCTCGTTTAACTTAGAATAGATTCTCCATAAGTTTCGTTAATCCTTTTTTTTTCTTACTCGATTTTTATTATTGTTCTGAATTCTTGAATAACGATCATTTAGAAATTGTCGAGATATCAAAATAATACTACCGATTGCAATGTAATTGTTTTATACGGATATTAAAAGAGTCTGATGAGCTTGAGAACAGAATTTTTGGGTATGAACTTCCATGTTTTAGTCTTTATCGTATTTCGCTCACGCACCAGGAACGCCTACGTGTTTATGAAATTCCAGAGAGCCGAAGATACAAGAACGAAGACAGTATAATTAAAATATTTCTAACGAAATTCCGTAAAACGATAACCCATAGTTATCTCACTTCGAAATATATAAAATTAATATTCTAAGCATTCTATATCTCTTGAAATAAATTGTCCAGCACCCATTAAAAATTTGCTAATAAATCCCTCGTTTATTAGAAATCTTCGTTAATTTAGAAATACTAAAGTTTTATCGCAAGTCATTGCCCTCGAAGAAATGCACCGCCAGGCAGTTTGGTTAGCGGGAATAGCCGTGTGGTTTTTCATTAGAAAAATTCAGATACGGCACGAGGGCTGACGCGTCCCTTAGTCGAGCCGGCGAATCGATATTTGGACGCAAGGCGTCCCGACGGCCGGCGTCGAAGCTGCGATACATGAGTCACTCACCCTTCTGGAGATGCGTTCGCCTCCAATTATCGGGCAGCACTCACCCTTATTTTTGCAGATTTACTAACCGCACTGTTACGAACCAGCATCCCTAATACACAAAATTCGAATTGCATGGACGGACGAGGATAAATATTATAACTTATTATATTTGTACATAATATATCTTCGTAAGGAATTATGGAAACAATATAAACGTCTTTCATGTATATAGTAATCGGTATTTTGTGAGGATAGGGCTAATTAAGATATAACTGATTTTCAAATTCCCGGCTTTACTCAGTCGCGGGCCTAAAGCATTAATTTACTGCCCTTTAAGACGCCGAGCGTGAAATATACGCACCACGAATCTTGAAAACCCGTTTTCAAACTCAAGGGGAACACAGGGGGCTCCATAAAATCGTGCATTCTTGCGTGAAAACTTTATCCAACGCGCGCATCTCACTTGTCCGGTTGCACTGCTTAGTCCCGTTTCCATGATGGACGTTACCTCATAAAAAAATACAGTATTACTAGTGACTTTCGAAATTCTTACAACTTATCTATATATATAGATAATATGATTATAAATATATCCAATATGATTATACATATATAGTCATATATACATATATAGTCGGTCAACGAGTTGAACGTATTTTTTAAACGATTTGTAGACAATGTGATTCTCAGCAAATGACACATGACTTTTTATATAATCACGTAATTGTATGGTAAAATATGAAAAAAAATATTTCAGTGCAAAACGATGTATCTTGTTGAAGACTTCATTGTTTTCGATCTGTCAAAAAATCCTATTGAACCCGTCGAACGACTATATATTTAATATACAAATTATTCATAAAAGAGGTATTAAAAAGTAAGACTTGATATGGACGGAGTATATACATATAGATATAAGAGTGTAACGTTTTATGATAGCAAGATTACTTAGGTGAAAGAAACTGACTCATTGGTATAGCCAAATTTCATTGAGCCAGGCATGTTAATCTGTAATCAAGCGAAACACGAAGGTTTCTGTCTAGACGTAGAGTAACTCTACGGCCCTGACAGTTACGGCCGTGAACCTCGCAAAGAGAATCATCGACTTCTTCTATTGTAATAGTAACGAGAGTCTCACGCAGTGGCTGTCTCATGCGTGCTTGTATGCATGGGAAAAACGCGAGAGCACGAGAGAGAGAGTGAATAACGCTTCGGGTTGCGTGGTAGCATAAAAGAATGAAGGAAATAAAAAAGAGGTTAGCTAGGAAAAGACGAGAATTTGAAAAAGATATAAGCCGTAGTAAAGGCCGCTTCTATCGAGTCTTCTAAGATAATTGGTAGAACCGGATTCCATACAAGTTAAACCTCCTCCTTTCGTAATTAATAGTCTCGGAGGCGGTGGGCGCTCTGGGACAGGTACCATCCCCTTCTTCATTTCCAACACGATAGCGGACCTGCCGAAAATAATACCTTTTACGTTGAGGCACGAAGCCTTATAAAATCCTCCTCATCCGAATATCGAAGCCGAACGAAAAGCGCCTTGCGAAACTGCCGAACCTGTTCGTGAAAACGATGCTTGGTATCCCTTGTTTGTAACAAGATGCTCTTATTGGTCGTTCCTTTTGTAACGTGGTTAGCGATTGGTCGAAGCTTCTGCGTATCAGGGAATGAAGACTGGAAGGCGGAGGACTGAGTTAGAGTTGTAACGGCTGTGTTAATTCTATTTAGATATACGTGATGAGTGTAAGGGTAGATAGGATACGTGGGGATAAAGCTAATACGGAGAATGATAGCGATATCCGTTTAAAGAGAATTAGAGTATCACGTGGAAGACCTTGTGATGTTTTGTGAAATTAATTAAAGGCTGATATTTTTTGGGAGAGATTTTATAACGAAATATAAATGAGATTGAGGATGCTGTAATCAGGTTAATTGAAAATAATCTTTTCTCTGATTCTTTCAGGTAAAACAAAATGCCCGTATTATCCGTTACGTAGAGGATGGAAACCGGTCCGGAATGGAGCAGCGTCCGCGTATAATATGAGGAGGCAGAGCACGTCGTGACATGGCAAGGACAATATGGATTGTTCTGTGCCTGTTGGGCCTTTGGAAAATCGCCGAGGGTTATCTGGCGGTATTATCTTCGAACTTACCAACAGGAACCATCGTCTTTGAGGCAGGTGTTCCTCAGCTTGGTGGTAGACGAAAGTACGAGGCATCCAGCGACAGAACAGCTTGGTTCGCTAGGAAATTACTTAAGGTGCATCCTCATAGTGGCCGGGTTACCCTTGCCAGGAGTTTAAACTGCGATGGACTTCAGTATCCTAGGCTCTTCACGTTTTACATAGACTCGACCAGCTCCAGGCTTGGTCGACCCACTATAGACTATTACAGCCTACCTCTCAGGGTACTGATAACGGGATGTGGAGGAGAGAATCAGGATCTTGCAGCCACCAGGGGATGGATGGCCGAGACCCTGGCTTCCTACGCTATGCCTAGTACTGATAGGTTCACTGAGATCTGTCTTAGAACTTCGCAACTGGTTGCGGCCCTCCGAGATTTCCTGCCTTACACTGCCCTGAAAGAATGCGAGACTCGATGGGGAGGCGTAGCTGATCCAAGATTCTTAGTGGAAGGTGCTGGTGGTGACCTGGTATCAGCAGCCGAACAATGCCTTGTGGATCCTTTGTGGAAGATTTCAGTTTCTGTGATGCTTAGATGTGGATCGCCCCACCTGGCAGATGCTGAACATAGACTTAAAATTGTGTTTCACCATCAACAGTTGGATGACACTGATCTGGGAAGAAGAGTCAGGAGAGAACTGAGGAATCAGTCACCATTCTTTGAACAAGCGTTGTACGTGGGCGCTGTTGAGGAAGAGAAGGAACCTGGTGTACCTGTGACTATGGTCAGGGCGAGAGATCCTGAGGGAGGTACAGTTAGGTATTCCATGAGCTCCCTCTTGGATGCACGCTCTCAGATTCTCTTTCATCTGGATCCCACGACTGGGAGAGTTGTGACCCAAGCTAAGCTAGATCGTGAGAATGTGGACGTACATTACTTCCGGGTCCTGGCTGTGGACGATTCCTTTCCACCGAGGACTGGAACAACCACCTTGCAGGTTAATGTTTTAGACATAAATGATCATGCTCCCGGATTCGAATGGCCGGAATACGAAGCATCGGTCAGAGAAGGCGTACCTGTCGGATCGACCGTCATCGCTGTCAAAGCTACGGATCAGGACGTGGGTAGAAACGCAGAAGTAGAATATGCAATAGTCTCTACTACAGGAGGTGGCACTACGTCCCTTACTGAAGATTCAGCGACCTTCAGGATAGATCCAAGATCTGGAGTAGTCTCAACGAGGATGTCTCTAGACAGAGAGAAGACTGAAGTATATACTATTATTTTGCAAGCCTCTGACCTTGCAACTCCTCCGTCGGCACGGAAGACCGCCTCGACTACCCTGGTAGTACGTGTCCTGGATGATAACGACAACTATCCCCAATTCTCCGAACGGACCTACTCCGTTGTCGTACCTGAAGACTTAGACTATACGAAAAATCCTGTTGTAGGGCATATCCGAGCTACAGATGCAGATGCTGGGTCAAATGCTGCAGTGCGTTACGCCATAATTGGTGGAAATACACAGAACACCTTCTCCATAGACACTCTCAGTGGTGATGTGACTCTAGTCAAACCCCTAGACTATGAATCAGCTCACAGTTATCGCATAGTAATTCGAGCTCAGGATGGCGGCTTACCAGCTAGATCAAATACTACTCAACTCCTGGTGCACGTTAAAGACGTCAATGACAATGATCCCAGATTCTACACCAGCCTGTTTCAGGAAGCTGTGTCTGAAGGCGTACCCATTGGCTTCTCAGTACTCAGAGTCCAAGCCTATGATGCCGATGAAGGACTAAATGCCCAGATAAAATATTCCATCGGTGCCAGAGATTTCTCAGGCGCCTCCACAGAACATTTTCCCGTTGCTGTCAATACAGAAACTGGATGGATTTATACCACAAAACAATTGGACCGTGAACAGTGTGCTAAATATCAATTTACAACAATAGCTAGTGATTCCGGTGATCCACCCAGATCTGCAAGTGCTACAGTTATCCTCACAGTAACCGATATCAATGATAACGATCCTTACTTTGATCCCAAGGATTACGAAACAGTTGTTCCTGAAGACGTAGCTCCAGGTACTCCAGTAGCGTCCGTTACAGCAACAGATCCGGACGAAGATGCGAGGATACACTATGATATCACTGCTGGAAATACTAGGGGAAGATTTTCCATAACTTCTCAAAACGGAAGAGGACTGATTACCGTGGCGCAGCCGTTAGATTATAAACAAGAAAAAAGATTTGTCCTGACTGTTACCGCTTCTGACTCTGGAGGTCGGACTGATACTGCGCTAGTCTACGTTAATGTGTCTGATGCTAATAATTTTGCTCCTGTCTTTGAAAACGCACCTTACTCCGTTTCCGTTTTTGAGGATGCTCCTGTAGGAACTACTGTCTTAGTAGTGAGTGCTACGGATTCTGACGTAGGACAAAATGCTCAGATCACCTACAGTCTAGGCAATGATAGTGGAGAACAGGAAGCTTCGGAATTTACTATCAACCCTCAAACTGGCGCCATCACCACGACCAAAACCCTAGATCGAGAGCAGGTCTCTGGATATTTATTAACTGTTACTGCACGGGATGGTGGAGTGCCGTCATTATCAGATACAACGGATGTAGAGATATCTGTAACGGATGTCAATGATAATGCACCTATATTTGAAGCCCTCCAATATCAAGGTTCAGTCCTAGAAGATGTTCTTGTTGGCACCAGCGTCCTTAGGGTCGCAGCTTCCGACTCGGATATGGGTTTAAATGGCAAGGTTAGGTATACTCTAGAAGACGACGGCGATGGAGCTTTCGTAATTGATCCTACCACAGGTATTGTCAGAACTGCAAAAACTTTAGATAGAGAATCTGTAGCCAGGTACGTCCTGAAGGCTGTAGCTGTTGACACGGGATCTCCATGTTTGTCGTCTGTGGTACCTATTACTATTAAAATTGAAGATATTAATGATTCTCCACCTGCCTTCGAAAATGACAAGATCACTATGTACATTGCTGAGAACTCTCCAGTTGGTTCTACCGTTGGAGAAATTTATGCTCATGATCCTGACGAAGGACCAAACGCCGAGGTACAATATTCTATCATTGGTGGCGAGGATGCTAATAGTTTTGCTTTGAATACAAGGCCAGGAGCAGATCGGGCTGAATTAATCACCCTGGAGGAATTGGATTATGAATCTCCGAAGAAGAGGTTTGAGATCTTCGTACGAGCTGCATCGCCACCCTTGAGATCCGATGCCCTGGTTCAGGTTATGGTTACTGATATCAACGACAATGCTCCGGTTCTCAAGAACTTCCAAATCATCTTTAACAACTTCAAGGATTTCTTTCCTAGTGGACCAATTGGGAAAATTCCAGCTGTCGATGCGGATGTCACTGATAAACTGGTCTACAGTATCCTGGCAGGAAACAATGCTAATCTTATTGCACTGAATAAGACTTCCGGGGAAATCTGTCTGTCTCCGCAATTGAATACAAACGTTCCCAGAGTGGCTACCATGGAAGTGTCTGTAACAGATGGTGTAAATGAGGCCAAGGCCACCATGACCTTATCAGTGAGATTAATTACTGATAAGATGCTCTTCAATTCCATCACGGTAAGACTGGATGATATGACTGTGGAAGCATTCCTAAGTCCGCTTCTTGGTTACTTCCTGGATGGTTTGGCAGCTATTATACCGTGCCCAAGAGAGAATATCTTTCTCTTCAGCGTTCAAGAAGATACCGATGTTAGTGGAAAGATTCTCAACGTCAGTTTTTCGGCAAGAAAAGTCGAACCAGGCGGAACGGATGAATTCTACACACCACAATTCCTACAAGAAAGAGTCTATTTGAATCGAGGTATCCTGGCACGACTTGCTACGGTGACTGTACTCCCTTTCGATGATAATTTATGTGTGCGTGAGCCCTGCCTAAATTTTGAGGAATGTGTTACTGTCCTAAAGTTTGGTAATGCCTCTGGATTTGCAAGCAGCGATACAGTACTGTTCAGACCAATATACCCAGTAACAACATTCTCATGTAAATGCGCTAAAGGATTTACAGGAAGTCGAGAAGCATATCTCTGTGACACCGAGGTCAATCTTTGTTACTCTAATCCTTGTAAGAATGGCGGCACCTGTCAAAGAAGAGAAGGCGGTTACACATGCACCTGCAGTCTCGGCTTTACAGGTGATAGTTGTGAAATATCTATGGACAAGGATACCTGTATTCCTGGACTATGCAAAGGCGGATCTCAATGCCTTACCAAGACTACTGGTGGCTTCATTTGTGAAGCTTGTCCTGTGACGGCTTCGGAAAACGTCACTCCACTCTGTGAGTTAAGATCACGAAGCTTCGGACCGGCCACCTTCCTTACATTTCCATCCTTGAAGCAGAGACACAGACTTCACTTGAGGCTGAGATTTGCTACTGAATCAACTGATGGACTTTTACTTTACAATGGAAGATACAACGAGAAACATGACTTTGTAGCTTTGGAAATAATTGACTCACGAGTTCAGTTTAGCTTCTCTTTAGGGGATGAAGTTACCAGAGCCTTAGCTAGTATTCCAGGGGGAGTGTCTGATGGCGAGTGGCATGAAGTTCAAGTATCTTATATCAACAAAACCGTCACCATATCTCTGGATGATTGCGACATAGCCCTGGCACTGGCGTATGAAGAGAAACTTGGTAAGAAATGGGCCTGTGCAAGTAAAAGTGAACAAATATTGGAACCACGTTGTAGTGCAGTAACAGAAACATGTCATCGTTTTCTGGATTTAACGGGGCCACTTCAATTAGGTGGTCTACCAGCTATACCATCAAGTTTTCAAATTAGAAACAAGGACTTTGTTGGCTGCATAAGTGATCTCTACATAGATCATAAATTCGTAGATTTGAATTCCTTTGTCGCTGACAATGGTACCACAGTTGGTTGTCCTGAGAAGAGATCATTCTGTGAGTCTATGCCTTGTAAACATAATGGAATATGTCGTGAAATGTGGTCTAGATACGTTTGTGAATGCGAAGAGGGCTTTGCAGGACCTCAATGCATCGAAGAAATTGAGAAGCCATGGCATTTCCAAGGAAATGGTTTACTCAGTTTTAATCCTCTGCTAAAATCTATACAACTACCCTGGGTAACTGCTCTCAGTCTAAGAACACGAGAGAGGAATACGTTTGTTATGAGTATCCAGATTGGTCAAAATAGCTCAGCCATGTTGGATATTAGAGATGGTAAACTACATACAACTTTTGACGGTACAGATATTATTCAGACTTGGACCGACATCGCCGATGGAGAGTGGCATAGGGTAGAAATTATCTGGCAAAGTGGACATGTTTTTTTGGATATGGATTATCGTAACAGACCAATAACTAGGCCATCACCAGCTAAACTGCAAAGATCATTTGTCGGTAGAATCCTGGTAGGAGGTCTTGATCAGGCTGGAATCACAGATCAACCGTTTTTCAATGGATGCATTCAAGACATACGGATTGGTACTAATCAAAGTACCCTTCAGCAACCTACTGTTCAAGAGAATGTTGCATCCGGATGCACCTCTGATGGAGAATGCACTATTGACTGTCCTGATACTTCAACTTGCATAGCAAAATGGGAATCAAGTGAATGTGTGTGCTCAGCTGGTCGAGTTGGTCACAACTGTGAACCCGTCTGCGAACTCAATCCTTGCAGCGATGAAGGTACTTGTATTGAGGATGCTGAATCTCATAAAGGATACAAGTGTGATTGTAACTCTGAAGAGTATTCTGGAGAGTATTGCGAAATAAAAGCTGACCAACCTTGTCCAGCTACATGGTGGGGATCCCCTGTCTGTGGTCCGTGTCACTGTGATGAGTCTAGAGGTTACAACCCAGCATGCAACAAGACAACTGGTGAATGTTATTGCAAAGAAAATCACTATCAGCCTCCAGGTCAGAAAGAGTGTATCCCTTGTGAATGTTATATGACTGGAAGCTACGGTCCTAGATGTGATATCGAAACTGGGCAGTGCAGATGTAGAGCTGGTGTCATTGGAAGATCATGCACTGCTTGTCCTAATTCTTATGCTGAAGTTACTCTTCGAGGATGTGAGGTTGTGTATGATGGGTGTCCAAGATCTTATTCTGAAGGACTTTGGTGGCCAAGGACCAAATTCGGAATGACAGCTATTGAAGATTGTCCTGGGAATGCTGAAGGTCAAGCCTCCAGGTCTTGTGATGATAAACTAGGTGGTTGGCAACCTCCGGATCTCTTCAACTGTACATCTGAAGCTTTTGTCGAACCCAGACACCAGTTGGCTGCTTTGGAAACAGATGACTTGTCTCTGAACACTTACGTAGCTGTGAAAATGGCTACAGAATTGCACAAAGCGACTAATATTACCAAGTCTATGTATGGTGCTGATGTACTCGTAGCTGAATGTTTACTTGTTGCTCTACTTCAATACGAGGAGAGTCTAGCTGGTCTGAATTTAACTCATAGTCAAGACAAGGACTATGTTTCGCACCTGGTTGGCATAACTGGTGCTGTACTCAGTAAGAAGCACTTACAAAATTGGGAAAGGATTGAAACTCTAACTGGAGACGGTCCCGATAAAATTTTAGATGTGATGGCCACTTACCTGAAGACACTAACTGCTTCGCAGCATGATACATACACCAGTCCCTTCGAAGTTGTAGATCCAAATATTAGTAAGTCCTTCAATATAAGCTCAATACTCTAAGATTCATCTAGAGTTTCGCTAATAATTATATTATTTTATTTATAGTACTGGGTCTAGATATTGTAACATCAGAAAGTCTCTTTGGATATGAGCTAGTTGAATACAAGGAAGATCTCTCACTCTCTACTGCTAGACCATCTGAGGCAGATAAAAAAGTTATTCTGCCTGACACATCAACCTTCTTAAGTTCTCCAGCTCATCTAGGACCGTCGATCAGTTTTCCAAAATATAACAATTATATGCCAGATACAAACAGATTCGATAAATATTCAAAAATTCAAGTGCCATTAAATCTTCTGGGAATCAAACCTCCAGCAAATGATGAATTAAATGTGAAAAACAGTTTGAACAATCGTAAGGCTGTTTTGAGTTATGTGCAATATAAAGAACTCGGATCATTGCTACCCAAAAGGTATAAATAACGCTCTAAATAAGTTTTGATTATTCTACTTTTCTTGAACCTTTGTAATCCCAAATTCTATTGTAGATACGACGATTCCGTAGCAATGAGATGGGGCGTCGAAATAGCTGTAGGTTCACCCGTTGTAACGGTGTCCGTCCTAGTGCCATCAGAAAACGGTTATGAATCCTTAACAGGAATTCCTCTACAATCTCCTGTTCAGATAAGATTATGGCTCAGCGAAAATGATAGTTTCAAGACAAGAACCAATCCACAGTGCGTACATTGGAGCACTGCCAGAGGGTAAATGATTAATGAGTGTTAATTTTTCTTTCAATTAATTGTAATTAATATAATTCTTACTAAAATATACATATCCTATTTAATAGAATTGGCGAGTGGAGTCGATTGGGCTGCACAACAGAAATAGATGACACAACTTTAACTCCAGATTCGATAGTAAATTGTTCCTGTCTACAGTTGGCAACATTTGCCGTCCTAACCGATGTCCTGGACCTTGAATACGTGCCAGAGCCATCCCTTCTGGAAGACGTGACGAGTTACAGTGCATTCGTACTTGCCTTACCGCTATTACTCTCAGCACTACTTATACTGGCTTTGATTCGTGGTGGCTGTACAAATTCCAACAGCATCCACAAAAATCTTGTGCTTTGCGTCTTCGTCGCAGAATTACTATATCTGATTGCATTAAAGGCCAGGAATCCACTAGTATCAAATGAGTTTCCATGCAAGCTTACAGCCATAGGACTTCACTACGCTTGGTTAAGTACTTTTGCCTGGACCCTCGTGGATTCTGTGCATTTGTACAGGATGCTCACTGAGATGAGAGATGTTAATCACGGTCAAATGAGATTCTACTATACCATGGGATATGGAATTCCAGCAATTATCGTAGGACTGACCGTTGGCGTTAGAGCTGATCAATATGGAAACTTTTACTTGTAAGTGATTAAATATTCGTTTATTTATAGTCTCAAATATGTTTTTTTAATTCACACTGTTTTCCCTTACAGTTGCTGGCTTTCCATTTATGAGCCTGTAGTCTGGTCTCTAATAGGACCAGTATGCGCAGCAGTTTTAATAAATCTATGCATCCTGATAATGTCCGTCCGTGCAGCATTCACACTAAAGGAACATATTATGGGTTTTGGTAATTTAAGGACGCTTTTATGGTTGTCTGTGGCATCCTTACCACTACTGGGCACAACCTGGTCTCTAGCTGTTCTAAATGCATCAGAGAATTCGCCAATGCTGTCGTACCTATTGAGCATAGCTGTCCTGATGCACGCCGCATTCAGTCTAATTGGCTATTGTTTCATTAATGGTCGCGTCCGGAGGAATTTGTACATGAGTCTATTAAGATGCGTGGGTAAAAAGACGCCTCTATTAGAAGGAAGCATGGCGAACGGTAGTAGCAGTCAGAATGTCAATGGCCACTCGGTAAGCTTAAACGTCATTAGCATCGAATTGATTTACTTTAGAATTCACTGTTGCATTATGCAAACATTCAATCTTCTATTTATTTTCGTAGCGTTCGGCATTAGCATACTCATCGGCGTACAGCGGCGCTGAATCCTCGTGCAGACGTGTACACGTAGGTGTATCGACCAGCAGCACCACTTCCAGGAGTACCAATAAAACTGGTTCCAGTCCATACCGTAGCGATGCTCATCTTAGACACACGTCAACCTCCACCAGTAATTATAATAGTGACAGGGATCCGTATATGTCATCCAGGAGTCGTCATTCTACCTTACACGCGAGACAGGGTATAAAGTCACTTATTCTCATGGAAAGCAACTTACCAATATGGCTTTTAACTCTTTTTATTTATTTTTTTTTTTTTTAATACAGATGTTAACGTTCAACGCGAACAACGTAGGGATTCAGAATCAGACTCTGATGGTTCTCAAGCGGATGGCGGTGGAAGGAGCTTAGACCTTGCCAGTTCTCATAGTTCCGACGATGAGGACGTTACCTCCAGGTCTCATAAGAATATGGGCGTCTCCACGCAGCAACCTGTGACCCACAGTTATTTGCCAAACATACACAGCAACCCCGCTGAACACTTGAATATACTTTGCTCAAATTCGGAACTGTTTCCGAATATAAAACCGATATATGCACCCAGATGGAGCTCGCAATTACCGGAAGCGTATTTACCATCCAACGGTGAGTCTCTAGTTTTATTATATAATATATTTATATATACTTTTCACGTTTATTATGATTGTTTACTACTACTACTTTAATATCCAATAGATGTACGCGGTAGTCAATGGTCGGGCGGTACGATATCTGACAACGAAATGGCCTCGAATAAGACATCGAGTCCTAATCCTCTGCCTTATCCGGACATTAATTCACCCCAGAAGAATCATCCTGATGACAATTACTCAGAGGGTGAAGAAAAGCTTCATCATATAGGAGAAAAGTATTTATTCCCCTACACTGCTGAGGAAGATCATACAGTATCCCCGACTCCGTATATGCTGTCCATGTCCTCGAGAATTCTTGCATCCAGCATGAGTCATCATTCGCAAAATTCAAATCATGATAATCTCAGTAGTTCTGAGCGATATGGAAGTCTGAAGAGGGGTCAGACTCTTCATGGCTCTCAGCACGACACCCTCAGCGGCTCTGAACGATACGGTAGCCTCAAGAGAGGTAAAGTAACCCCGAGTGTCCTCGAGGATGCTCCTGACTACATACTACCGATGAGTGCAAGGATATTGTCCAGCTCGTTGACACATGATCTGCAACACAGCAACGAATTGGCGGCACTCAGACAACAGCAGCAACAACAACCACAACAACAACAATACGAACAAACCATTACCGAGACTGAGTAAGTATAAAGAGAATTAATTTTTTTCGAAACTTTGTAAAAGTATAATCCCTCGCAACATGTAGTATTCTAATGAATTGTCTCTGGTAGTCTGTGTAGAAAGTATCGTAGATAATATCATAAAAAAAAAATTATCCAAATAGGCTAATTAATTTGCAATGGTTAAAGCTATTATCCAAAACCATTGACTAATCTGATTTCTTTGATTCCTGTACTATATCTTGGTCTCCAAAAAGATGGTGTTGGAACATTCTAAACTAACAGTATCTTTTCTGTGATCTCTGCTTGCCCCTGGTCTTTGAATATCAGCGAAGACGTAAGTATTATTATATGTAAACCGTGATCTTTGAGCTCGACTATAATAAACGGTCACTGTTTATATATTTTATGCTCAATGAATCTTTCACTTAAAATTTATGGACCAAATCTGTACATTGTTTCAGGAAGGATACTAACGCGGAAACGTCTGTTTGACAATCCACGTCCACAAGGAACCGTACAAAGTAACAGCATAGACTTTAGTAGCCATTTATCTATGAACGAGTACAAAAAGTAATATTCGTTCGTATATTTTAAGCAGCGGCCATGACTGTACTTACGCGAAAAGGAAAGAAAGGAAAAAGAGGAAAAAACGTAGCCATATTGATTAGCGTGTCTGTGTGAGTGCCTGTTCATATATGCCTACATCGAGTTAGGTCGATTGTTTCGTTTAAAACGATTTAGCTTGAATCTTTTTTTATTCTTTTTTCTTTTGCTATTTAAATAAAATAATCGGGTTCGTTCGCTGATTGTCGTGTTATTATAGGTATGCATAAATATTACGTGTGTATAATGACGCGTGAAGAAAACAAGCAAACAAAAAACCAGTGACTGATAACGACAATCATTGTCGATCGGTATTCAACCCTTAAATGATGATCTCTAATTCATTTTTCATCGATCGTTGTACTTTAATATCATTCCAATGTACCTTATTTCCATCGTACTCAGTATTGTGCAATGTATACATTCCAACCTTTATTTAAATTTATAATTAGAATTATTGTTTGTACTTCTCTCTCTCTCTCTCTCTTCACTTTTTTTTATGATTTTATATCGACACTTTTTACATGCCAAGATTATATAATAATTGTAAGTCCAGACATAATATCATATGACGCAATACTCAAACTTTTGTATATATTTATATGAAGAATCATGACAAAATACATAATTTATATACCCTTAATATGGAATCTATTTCCGCGACTTGTACTATATATGTGGTATATTTGATCTTATGATAATAATATTTATTTTATATACTGACGCAACGCACGGGAGCTCCGTATGAAGTATTTTATTTCTTACTTTCTTTTATGCGGTACGAGTGTTTTTATTGATAAAAATGACTTTTATTCTCATTGAAAATATAAATAAATTACAAAATATAGTTAGATTAATACTCGAAAGAGCGTCGTCTTTAAAGTAAAATTGGTATCATTCGGTTTTGACATTAGTACCAAAGAAATAAAGTTAAAATTGTTTCGTATTTAATTTTCCTGAGTATTTCGAATGTCAGGTGGCAGTAAGACTTTGAACGATTTAATGTCAAAACGGAAGGAACCTACCAAGGTACATACGATACATGCAGGTGGGTATAATCCATACGGAATAATGATTTAGATTTCACTTAGATTGTTACAGCAGTTTCATTATGGCTAAAATCCTGGTGTCGTGCAAATCCCATTTATGTCCGCCTCTATCTTTTACTTATCAAACAATTTATCCTCTAGAGAATTTTTTAAATCAAAATCTAATATCCTCTCTTTGTCAATTGCAACGTTCTATCCAGTCAAGTTTCAAGATTTTGTTACGGACAAAAGTATAAGCCAATGATCCATGGGGATGGAACTGAGTCCATCCACTCGTATAGAGTCAGATCTAAAATTCTTATGGTATTCGCGCACCAGGTCTAATCGCTAGGACTAGAAGATATAATTGCTACACGCTGCTCTCTGCATCCGACGCCATGGAGAGTGTTTGTAACTTTGGCACAGAGTAATTCTCAGCGTGTCCAGATCCCTGGATCCTGTTAGGGACCCGTTCCAAAGTTGAAGGTGTAGAAGGTATGTCCTGATGTGCTTTTGGTGGAATTGGAGGTGGACTTACCTTTAAAGAAGATATTAAATATTAATATTGCTCATGGCAGTATTCACGTTTTCTTATATTAGTATAGTTACCTCCTGACTGAAGACTATTTGTGACCCCTGGAATGTACCACTTGGAAAGTTGCCAGCAGTAACGTTCAACGCATTTATCACAGAAGGAGGAGAAATGTTCATAACGTCATTGCATCGTGCGCGAGGTTCAAAATCCTCGTAGCTGAGATTATTCAAATTTGTCAAGTGAGATTGAAGATCCGAGATACTAGCTGTCGAGATTCCACTATCGCGTAGATCATTCGATTCGCTTGGTAACTCTGCGTCGTCATCTGTGCTCCATTCCGTGTTACGTTTGTGCGTCAAACGTTTTGGCGGTGCCGGTGGCGCTATTGAGCTAGAGTTTGAATCTCTTTTGTCAGGTGCTGTATTAATAATAATCATATAGTACACCCAATTAGCAAAGAAGATTATTACAATTATACAATCAATACAACGTACTGCATCCTCTAGGTGGTAACGGTGGAGCTGGTTCTGGTCCTGGTTCGCTCCAGGAACTCCTCATGTTTGTCTGATCACTACCATCTGTAGGAGTAGGTAGAGAATGTCTTAATGGCAACTTTGGACTGAGTGGCTTGCTCAGTGATCTTTGGTGTGTCGGTCTGGGAGGTGTTGTTCCATAGCCTACAGAACGTGGACGTACTTCCCTTTGAGGGATTGGTGGTGGTGCACCCTCTAGTCTTGTGTAGAATCCCTCATCCTCAGGAAGACCATCACTTTCAGCGTGTGATATCCTGGAGCCAAACGACTCCAGGGTAGCTGGTCGTTGTTTCTCGTTCACCGGTAATGGTGGCAGTGGAGAACTTAATAGTATCAAATTAAAGTTTATTTGATATTCCAGTTCTGAAAACGCTTCTTAATTGATTCAATCTTTTATCGTGTACTTACTTCACAATACTATCCTGATGTACAGTTCGCTGTCTAGCTAATGGATCCAATCCTTGTTTCAATTGTGTGAATCTTTCAATCAATCTTTTGTGCAATGGCTGAACACCTGCAGGTGCAATTTGTCCGTGAAGAACAAGACCAGATTCCAATACACTCATTTGGTCCAGTATCAGACTCTTGAGTCTATTCACGTGCTGTACCATATCCGGATTCTGTCTTGCGAATTCAGGCGTTAGGAAAGCTTCCTGGTACTTTGTTATACCACCCATAACATTCGCATCGATTATTCCCTGAAGTCTCATACTGAATGGATTTATGTTTCTATGAGGTTCGGCTGTATATTGTGCTACCAGCCTTCTCAATTCTCTCTCCACGCTCTGCATTGTCTCACAAGCGTATTGCACCGGAGCCAAGAGTTCAGATCTCTTTTTGATGACTTCAAACCAACGAAGAATACCTGGTAGCTTAGCTTCAGTCGTTAAGATCGTCCGTTCTATCCAGAGAGACTTGAATTCGTTCTCACGATCCACTGGTCCTCTGTGTAGAGGACGATCGAATGTAAACTTTCTTACGTCATTCACCAGATAAAACGCTACCACTCTGTCTGGAACTTCAGCTGTACTAGAACCTAAGCTACCTTCTTCAGGGATTGGTTTCACGTTGCATATTTGAATATCTTAAAGTAAAAGAGGTATATATTCAAAAAGGTGAATATTAATAAAAAATATATGTAGTGTATATATAGTTCTAATGAATCTCTTACATTGTCCTTCCGATGATATAATACTCTCATCAGGTGGTGAATTCTTCATGAGAATCTGCGCGCTTGGAAATTCGGTTTGCAGGCGCTGAGTGAACGCACCTATCCTCTCGTATTCCAACCCCCGATAAATAAATAGTTTGTTCTAGAATATAAGAAGTGTAAATATTATAAGATAAAATATTGATATATACATAGTTGTTCAAAAAGTAATATAATATTATAGCAAACATACCCTGACGAACAGTGGAAAACTCAGACCATAGAAACCAACTCTAAAGTATTCAGGCTCAGGTCGAAGCTGAGTCAAAATATTATCCAGAAATTTTGCTTGTGTTTTAAGTATATGACTCAATTTTGCATAATCGTAGAGTCTGGTCTCGTATAAGACAGCCAACTCTTTACACAAGGGTATACCCTTTTCCCAGCACTTTCCACGATCAAAGTAATGAATGATCTGATGATACAGAAGCTCCTTCCTTTGCCACTCAGGCTGCTGAGGATGAGCATGATCAGGTGGTAATGGAGTGGAACCCCAACTTAGCTGATCGGCGTAAAGTTTCATAGTGAATCCAGCCTCAGTGTAATTTTCAGCTGCTAAGTGAAGATCGTGAAGCTTGTAGATATATCGTAGATACATTTCCTTGCGATTGAACTCGTTTTTGTAAAAGTTCTGAAGAAAGAAAAGAAAATTGCCCATTTTCTTTAACTGATTATAACTTCTAAAATGGCACAGATGAGACTAGCATATCTATAACAACACTTTGATAAACTTTCTATTAATAATAGTTAACTGGTCCCACTGTTAAATGACATTACTGACTGAAGGATCTTCATAAATACTAGTGTGAACATACATATTAGACATATCAATAGAGAATGAGCGAAGCAATGAAGTAAACAGATCCTCGTTAGCAGACAGTTCTAAATTAATATTTGTCTTTGCTTATTATTTCCTCTTATCCAATCGATACTTGAATGATTCTAGGCAATGAAAAATTCTTACCAATAGATTCACAGTGCACGACATTCGTTTATCTCGATTCTCATCACCCTGTATTACACTCCTGTAGTCCAGTAATCTCTCCAGTAATCGTGTGACTGATGTAATGAAGGCGGTACCACTGTCCTTCCAGGTTGGATCTTCCGACTGTACTCTGTCTAATAATCTGTGAGACAATGAAATTAAATAATAGTATTTCAACTGCTAAAAATAACTAAAGCCCTGGAATTTAATTTATTGAATACATATATCTTATACACGATAGGTATAAACTTACACAGCACTGAGATGTTCCCTTGATATGCGTGAAAGGATAAAGTTACTTGATTATACAAACTATATCATACCATTGAAAGGAAAGCCATAAGCAAATAAAGATAATGATAAGAATAAGATAGCAAAAAAAAGTAAGAAAAAAATATAAACTCACATGGTATTGAATAGCTGCCTATACTCGTCGTCTCCTTTATTCTCGCTTATCAATATATCCAATTTATCAATAAGCTCAGACTCGACAGACTTAAAACTGCCTCTGGCCCGTTGCTCACATTCCATCATGTCAAAGAAAATATGTAATGTAGCTTTTCGCAATTCGCTCTCCGGCACGAGGGTGACTTCCAAAAAAGGTCCCACCATACCCGGTATAAAGTCCAGCTTCCGTTCGCCCAAGTGAGACCACATCGATAGGATTTGAAAACCCATAAGGACTCTCATATCGCCATACTTTTCGACAATCTTCTCTCGCTTTACCTCGGAGAATTGTTCGAGTTGTAAAGATGGCTGCGTGAGATAGGTCACGGCAAGGTTGAAGTACGTGGACCAGAGTTGAGAGTCGAAGCTCCCATGAAGGAATCGGAATGCCAGAGGCTGAGCCAGTTCCTGTAGAGACTTTAAGATGATATTGTTTGCTTGCATCCTGATGACGAGCCAGTCAGGTGGAAAAACTTCCTGGCGAACCAAGTCTCTGAATACTAGGAACACCCTGAGCAGAAAATCCTTGAGTGGCTTTCTCTCACCACCATGAGTTAAGTCTTCGAAGAGCCTCGAGTAATGATATTCATCAAGAAGTTGTAAGAGTCCAATCAAACAAGCCACAAGACATCCCAAAACAGGACTATTAGAGTCTATTATTATGAGGATAGTCTGTATAAGAACGTCAAGGGTAGACAAGCAGAGCGTCTCCACGTCGTGATGTATACAGTTATTAACTTTATTCGTGTCGCGGCCTCTTTTGTGAAGGAAGCTCAGGATCTCACCAAGAATATCTGTGCAGGATCTAAGCTCTTCTCTTCGAGCTAAATGAATCCGCAAATGTCGACAGATAGTAAGTAGCAATAGATTTCTGCTCTCGTCGTCCTGAAAAAGTTTGGAGGTCACGAGATTCTTTATGGCTACAAGTTTAGCTTGCATAAGCTGTGGCGGAGGTTCTCTTGGCACAGAGTCTAACATGGTGCACGTCAACTTGGCAACTTCCAGCACCGGCAGTACTGCCATCAGCTGTTCAAAAACTGCTGAGATTGATAATAGTAGAGCAACCTGGGACAGTAGCACCATGTCATATGGTATACTCAGCATTTTGTTAAGGGCTGCAAATACGCAGTATAGATCTCTTTTAAAACTATCCTCGTATTGACCTGCCGTAGCTCGTGCAAATAAGAGCCGACTTTGTATGATAAACTTGAAAATGTATTCCAAGGACCGAAAGCACTTCATTATGGGTTCCTGTTTCTCTGCAGCCGTTGCCCAATCGGCACAGTGCTGTACGCTGCTCAGCAAACCCTTATAAACTAATGCGGCAGCGAAGTGATCCGAAATATAAGCATCCATCACAGGTTTGAAGTGTTCGAACTTGGAATCCTCCAAGAGGCTAAATATAGAAACCAGCACTTGGAATACCAAGCCAGAATGCGCCGTTGAGTTTCCGTCTTCGGTGTGAAACATGGAAAATAGTGCGTCCAGGATATCCTGAAGGAATTTGACTAGTTCCTCACCGCCAAGTCTGAGTACACGACCTAACGCTTCGGATATTCTTTCTGGATGAGCTTTCCATTGGAGGAGACTTAGTAGATCCACATTTTGAGTTAGTTTTGTGCTGCATAATAACGTGTGTACGAACACTGCTTCCTTTTGTGATCTTGTGAATGGCGCAGGTCCTAGAAACATATATATATATATATTCATATATATATAATGAATTGATATAAAAAATTATATTTCATGAATATAGACAACTGTCTACATTTATCCTGGACTAAATATTATTCTATCCGGATAGAGTTGACAGGTTTTTTGTATTTTATATATAGAAATTTTTTGATGTATATATATTAATTTGATGTTGTTTACTAATATGCGTACCTGGTGCATTTGGTTCATGTGCACTGCTAGGTAAAGATAAGTAACTCAGAGAATCCAATTTAACACGCTCTTCACATTTATATATATAGAGTTCATGTTGACCATCTTGTAAAGTCGCACCACCAGGTTCCATTAGACGTACAAAAGCAAAAGCAAAGAGCTTTTTGTCGTTCTTCTCTCGAGCTGAAGTTAACATAATAAGATGAAATTAAAATTCGTATCGTACGTCTCAAAGAGATCAGAAGATTATTAAATATCAAATTGCTTACTAGAACAGTGTCGAAATTCAAAACGCACATGGCTGCTATAGAATTTATCAATAGGAATAGCCAGTCTAACTGATTCAGCCCATGACGGACTGTTATGATGATAAATAACTAAACTTTGATATTCCGAACTTCCATCAGCACCCGCTGCACCGAACAGACAGCCTTCCAATGAATGACCTTCTGCATCGAGTACAAGAATAGTCACCTGTACAAATAAAAATTGATATTAACACCTGCTTCGTATACGTTATAATAAAATTTTCAAAAATTATCTTCGTGCCTCGATATTTTTTCCAGTAGATTTTCCACCTCGCTCAAATTCTCCTCTCTCTAGCCTTAAATACAAGTCATTCCTCACGTCACCAGGCATGATAACATCGGAAAATCCAAGCTTCTTCGTCAGACATGTGTTCTTAAAGAGAAGAGGATGTTCCTCACGAACTTGAGACAGTTCACCATGAAGAACACGTAGTGACACTACGATACCATAATTCGGTTGGCCAGGAAGCGGTGAACATTTATTATTACGAATGATCTGTTCGTGCAACTGATGAAATTCTTTCTCCTCGCCTTGATAAACCTAGAAGAAAAAAGGGTATAGAATAATAATAAACAAAAGTAAATGAATTAAAGTCAAACAAAAAAGTTCAGATATCTTCTCTTAACAGACTTTGAACATCATCTCCAATTCTTCAGTGTGATCCTGAGTGGCCTCAGCTAGTGACAAAGCAGCTACTCCATGAGGTCTTCTATAGACAGAGCTGCCAGCTTTATTTTTTCCAGAATCGGAATACAGCATTCTACCACAACGCATAACGTGGGCAACCATATAGAGATCACGCCCAAGATCAGCATTCCCCAGGTCGGTGAAGATGGTACAGTTGTTGTGCATTTTCTCAACGTAGTTGGAGAAGCCCTCCTTGGATATACGGACTAGAAATCGTTCGCTCAGGTACTGACCGCGTCTTGAGTCATATAGAGAAAAATATATCTCAGCATCCTCGCCAACAAAATGGCCGAAATCGCGCATACAAAAGTATAGATGATGGGTCAGGACTTTCTTGTGTTCCTTGCGCCTTAGGGTACCCCTTGCAGATGCGCCCTGAGAATTTTCAGCGCTCTGTACATGCTGTAAACAAACAATTTTTCTGTCAATTCCAATCCTATTTTTGATCTATGTAATGAAAATTATATTATCAATTTATTAAATTGTCAAATATTTACCACGTGATAAAGTTCAACAACCGACATCGTATCTGGATCCACCATGTGAGCACCCTGACGTGGCACGAGGTCCAGACCGAGTTTCCTGAAACATTCAAGTATGCATTCTTGAATAGAGAACAGTTTTTATCCATTCATGAATTCGAGCACAGTTACGAGTGTACTTCCGTGTTATGAATTTTGGATCTGAACAGAATTTTTTATGCAAACCCTACAACAGTGCCATCTTATTGTTTGAATGAGAATAAAAAACAATATACATATATAGATATATATATAAATTTGGTATTGGGCTATTTTGGAGACGATTTCATTTACGTATTGGCTATTTTGAGAAAATGTGTCTATTTTGAGGTCTGTACCTAAAGAATTATATACATATATATATATATATGTGGGAAGAATAAGTATTATTATCGAATGAGAAGGATTTTATCTTCTCTCATCACTCAATAATGCCCATAAAATATATGTTAATGTCAAAAGACAAAGAACGTAAGAAAATAGTTTTTTTATCATGATCCAGAATAAATAAAGGAGAATTAGTACTGCGGTTTTTTTTGTAATTTATTATAAGTATAGTAAAATATATACAGTCCCATGACCTAAGAATTACGATGTGCCTTGTTGCATTCAGATGTATGAGGTGTATGGGTATGTGTAGACTCAACAAGGGGGCCCCAGAGTAAGTCCCCTCTCTTGATGGAATGCAGGAAAGTCCCAACGACTTCGATTGTACATAAACGTAGTATTAAACGTATAACAGAGCCAGCTTTGAATTTAATAAACGTGTGATATTCACAGACGGTTAAATCCTTCGGCAGGGACTTATATTACTATTATAAGTATACCAGGAGCATTGCAGTAATTATGCTTCAACCGATCGATTCTCAGTTTGACCTGACCCCTGTCCCTCGAGGTCTTAAAGGATTTCCACCGTCGCATATCTACAACATTGCAGCTCAAGGTTCCCACACCCTCGCAGTACTCAGTGACGGACCTATTCGTAAAATCGAATGGTGCCACAGGGGTCCCTTGTACGTAGCGCACCAAATATATGAATATAACCAAATGTAACTTTTTGATCATCATAAAAATATGATTAAAAAACAAAGAAAATTCTATATACGATAAATCAATCAGCATTATGTGCACAAAAATTTTTAATATTTCTATTGGTACGTAGCTTATCGTCGTGGAAAGATGAGGAATTTGTAAAAAAAAAAGTTAAATTCTTTGTAATTGATGAATCAGAATAAAAAATGAAAAATGACAAAAGTACTGAAATAATGACTCAGGGCCTCGATAGAACACTGTTCGATCCTGAGATGAGACCCCGAGTAGCCCCCCGCTTCATGGAATGCAGGTGAGCCCGGAGACTTCAATGCGTGGGGACAGGTACAGGCAATGTCCGCCGTCTTGGGACCTACGATCCGTTCCAAAGATATCGGGCAGTCAGGACGATGCCACGTCCGTCGAGTAAAACGGGTCCCCGGCGAGTCACCGGCATTCGACATTTTCGCCGGCTTATGAATATTCACCAGTAACCGGACTCCGGTAAAGTTCATCGTAGCACTTGGACATTTTACTGACCCATTCCAGGGGCGTCTCCTACCTCTTGCAAACTGGTCCCCCTACACTAGCCAGTAGTCGGATTCATCGCTTACTAGGAAAACCCTTGCGGGGCCTTAACGACCCCATATAATAAACCCACCCATATACCATACGCCGTAGTACGTACGTACCTATTGTAATACCCATTCGTGAGAACGAACGCATTCTGTTCCTTTCTCTCTAGTATCCATTATCGCCGTACTCTCTTTCTCTGCCTCTCTCGCTCTATCACTCCACATATACTCCATTCGCGTAAACTCAGAAAAATATTTCTCCCATTCAATACAAGTAATTCAGTGTATCACTCTGAATATATTTATACGTCTACCTTACGTACTATACGCGACTATATAATACACCTACAACGTATCTAGTCAAACGATCCCCTTGGGCACACATAATGTGATATCTTGAAGGGGACAGGCGTATATCTTTTTCGTGGGTGTACTTAACGATATATCTAACCATGTGGGTTAGGACAGAAACGTATTTGAGGACTGCGAAGAAGCCTTAAAACGGAAGAGGATGTCAGAGAGCGTAACCGTACGTTTCCTTTGTTATCAGCCACATTTTCCGTGATAGCTCGAATTCTCAACTGGAATCCCACCAGTCGATAAGGAGAATAAGAATAAATTTGTTACATGTGTGATTCTTATACGTCCTGACATCCTACCATGCAATCTGATACTAAGAACAGTTCGATTCGAAGAATTGCTTGCGCAGTACTTTCAACGTCGTCATTCATTATTCTTCACGTACGGGTGAACATAAAGGAAGCCACATTGAATTGGTAATATAAGTCACAGGTGGGCATCTAAAATAGGTGCGAAGAGACGTTTAATGATTAATAGATATTGTTTACATGAGGAATAAAAGAAATCAAAATATATTAGACCTTTTTAAGAACGTGGTCAAAGACAGGATTTTTAACGTCATTCATTTATTTTGTGTCGATCTTTTTTTGACTTCTGCGGAGTCTCCAGGGACTCTAAAGAAATTACGAGGTGTCTGTCCCAAATGGGTCTGATGGGTTAGAGATACCAGAGACTGGGGCCTTTTGTGTGGGAATTCGGAAGCTGGATCCCTGGATCCTGTAGAGAATGAAAAAAGAAATCATGAGAAACAGAAAGCGTGCAGATACGTGAATGGAATTTTGTCGGGAACTCAATGACCCGATAATGGATTAAATTCTGTAAAAGAGACGTCGAGAGCGTCGTTCCTTCAAGAAGATGGCGGATACCTATCGTTTTTTCATCGCCCTTGGCGCCTTAGGATACTTCCAGCACTCGGTTCCCGTTCGGTAGCTCTAAACACTATAATTACATTTCACTTGAGCTTCTAGTCTCTAGCTTCAGTGTAACTGAAATACGATTTAACGGTCATTTCTTACCAGTTACTCATCTAATGATATAATTTGAAAGATATGCATTGTGACTTTGATTAAGTATATAAATAATAGAGCCTATGACTTTTTTGAATATTTTCAGATAAAAATGCTTCCTCTTCCTGGACTGGATCCATTCCATAACACTCGCGCCCATGTCTATTGAAATTATTTGAAATTCACGTGACAGAGACAAACGAAGACATGAAAATTACCGTGACGAAGATCCAAAAGAATAGAAAAATCATTTTTCCCGTAAGATCCTAAAAATAATAAGGGACAAAAATTAGTTTTGAAAAAAACAGATAACAAGAGAATATTTTTGCTTTTCCTATGAACTCACTGAAGCAGCAACACGTCCTATGCACTTGGATCGTGCAGTAAAAGGTACTGGCAATAGATGTCAGGGTCATATCCCAAGCCCCACGATGTCAATTAGATCAAATAGCGCATGATTAAACTCGTTCAGGAGTTTCTCTAGCTAAAAAGTTCTATTTTTATATTAAAAGAATATACTTACCACAAGTACGCGTAGGCATGGTACAGTCAAATAATAAAATTATATAATCAAATAGTAAAGATATTCTGATAACAAATTTTTGTCCAAGGATCCAATAGTTGATCATTATATAATAATATTAATATACCGAAACCGAGTAGCGCAGTATCCGGTTCTTTGAAAGCAATCTCAGCTTCTCTATGGAGGTACAAGTTTAGTCATCAGGCGTGATGCTTATTAAGAGCGACGATTGCTTCCATTCATTATTTTTCATTTTTTTTTTTTTTTTTTTTTTTTTTT